TTCAGGTTCTCACCCTTCCGGTGTTACCTTTTCACCGCTAACGGCAGAATCTCAATCGAGCCTAGCCCCGCTGTAAGGTAGGCTCATCATCACACCAATGTAGGTCAGCGCTAGTAGCATCTCCAGGGTATTTGTTCGGGAGCTCGCTTTTAAAGACCTGCGCGCCGGCACTCATGAAAAACCTCCCGGCGAGATGGACTAAGATTATTGTGTTGATATTGGGTTTTGCTTTCACTTTGTCCCACAATCCGTCACAAGATCGTTGAAATAACATCCTAGGACAAGGACTGCCTTTTTCCACTGGCAATGGATCTCCAACTCCACACAGGCCGCTTCGCAACGTCGTCACTTGCAACGCAGAATGATGTCGATGGTGATGTCTGTCGCTTCCCACAACGTATCGAGCAACGTATCGAGGACGTGGGGGTGGGCCGAGCCTGTGGGTCTTGTTGCGGACAGCAACAATGCTCGACCTCTGACTTGCTGGCGAGAGGCTGGCGACCGCGGGGCCCCGGAGCATGGAGAAGAACACAGCTGGGTCGCTGCAGCTCAATGCTACGAAGACGGGCCCATTGTCAAGTTTTCCTGTGGTGCCTGTAATACGTACGGATAAAACGTGCAGAGCTTGTTTAGTAACATAGGCACATGACCAAGACTTGGAGCATCCCCCGCACGAAACCATGTCGTCATGCCAAGTTGGAGAGGAGGGCCAGCTGTGTGTGAGGAGTTGAGGGCTGTTTGAGTTTCTCCTCTGGACTGGAGACTGGAGAGGCCCAACCACAGGGTCAGTCATGCACCCCATGTCTTAGCCCAGATACTAGGCGAAGGTTGTATCGCCCGACGACAACTCGTGAAAACAAAGGGGGAAAATGTTGAGTGAAGACTTGCGCGACATAAAGCACCCGGGTGATATTTTCGAAATTGAGGCTGAAAATTTTCAACAAAGGGTCTGGTCTCGGTCCGGAGAGGCCGCTGCAGCTGGCGGAAAAGGATAGCGAGGGGCGCCGAGTCCAGTGTCCTTGGTTGGTGGACTGGGGTCAACAACTCCTTATTACTCCGTACTGCTTGCAGATACTTCTTCGCCAGTGTCGAACCGAAGATCTCTGCAGGTGGGCTATTGCAACACCATTGAGAGGGAAAATTTGATCAAAAATACGGACATGGGTATCGCGACTTTTTGTGAGTGAATTTATTACTATTAGTTGGTGGAAGGTCGGCCGCTGCTGTGCACCGCACACTTGTGCAGTGATGATGCTATTCAGAGGATGCACAAGTTGATTGCCATTGCCTGCCCAAGTGCCTCTGTCCGTCGTCGGACCGCTGCAAGCGCTTCTGCTCCAGCAGTTCACTCCAACCTCCCCACTTTGCCCCAGCCCGGTCTGGTTCGCTTCTCCCAGGCGCTAACAATGAATTGACATGAGGTGGCGTCTCAGCTGGGTCAGGGGCTGGATGTTCATGACTGCAATTAATCGCGGCAGCAGAGAATGAACTGCTTGGGCTGCAGCCTGCAAGCCGGCGCCGGCGCCTGCCCCACTCCAGTCCAGTCCCTCCCACCTGCAGCCTCGCCCGCGTCCTCCAGTGGCCCTCCAGACTGTCTGTCGATGCGGTCGCTGTCCCATCACCGTTCGCCTCAGACGGGTGCTACATCACTCTGTGGCAACCCCCTCTTCCTCCTTTCCACCTTCTCCTCCTCAATATCGCTCGCCCAAAGACTCGATCTTGACTCTGACCTGGTGTTGGTTTGCATTCCCTGCCACGCTTCCTATCAAGTACGTACTGACAGCCTTCGACCCAGAGCTCAGGCCCATACTATCCGCAACAGTATCCATCGCCGATCGGCCGGGGTAACGCGCAAATCTCGCTCCTTAGCAACGCCAACTTTTTGGTTGCCGTCTCTCCTCTACCTAGTCAATTACCCTCCTCGATATCCTCTGCAGCTTCTGCCGATTCGAAGAAGCGTCGCTACATCTTACAATTCCCTCCTGAGCCTGAGCCTTCGTCCCGCCTTGCCGCCCGAAACAGTCCCTCCAAGCGACGCTCGAGCTTACTACCGGCGCCATGGCTTCTGAAGGAGAGCAGCCGGTGCGCGATGTGAAGAACCACCTCCTGTTCGAGATCGCGACAGAGGTAGCCCACCGAGGTAGGAATTCTGCTGCCGTTGTCGCCCATGAGTCGTGCTAATGGTGTCAACAGTTGGTGGCATCTATTCCGTCATCAAGTCAAAAGCGCCCGTAACCACCGCTGAGTATGGCGACCGATACTGCCTCATTGGGCCTCTCAACCACCAATCGGTACGACAGCCCATTGTATAAGCGCATCATAAGTCGTCGCGCTAACAAAATGCTAGGCTGCTGTAGAGGTCGAGGAGATGGAGCCTACATCACAAGCTGTCGCTGCCACAATGGCGAGCATGAAGGAGCGCGGCATCCACATTATGTACGGCCGCTGGCTTATCGAGGGCGCACCCAGGGTGCTCCTCATTGACACCAAGACGGCCTACGGTTATCTGAACGAGTGGAAGGCAGATCTTTGGAACGCTGCCAGCATCCCCAGTCCTCCTGGCGATGACGAGACCAACGAGGCCATTGTCTTTGGCTACCTTGTAGCATGGTTCCTCGGCGAGGTTAGTTGTTGCTCAGCATCCTTGCTCTTGATCTGTGACATGCTGACAAGGTGCAGTTTGTGTGCCACGAGAAGGAGAAGGCAGTCATTGCCCATTTCCACGAGTGGCTCGCTGGTGTAGCCCTGCCCCTCACCAAGAGGCGCAAGATCGATGTCACCACCATCTTTACAACCCACGCCACCCTTCTCGGCCGATACCTTTGCGCCGGTTCCGTTGATTTCTACAACAACTTGCAGTATTTCGATGTCGACGCCGAAGCTGGCAAGCGCGGCATCTACCACCGCTACTGCATAGAACGTGCGGCCACACACGCCTGTGATGTCTTTACCACGGTCTCTCACATTACGGCGTACGAGTCCGAGCATCTTCTCAAGCGCAAGCCCGATGGTGTGCTCCCCAACGGTCTCAACGTGACCAAGTTCTCCGCTGTACACGAGTTCCAGAATCTTCACCAGCAAGCCAAGGAAAAGATCCACGACTTTGTTCGCGGGCACTTTTATGGCCACTACGATTTCGAACCCGACAACACACTCTACGTCTTCACCGCCGGTCGATATGAATACCGCAACAAGGGTGTCGACATGTTCATTGAGTCACTGGCTCGCCTGAACCACCGACTGAAGGCGGCTGGCAGCAAGATGACTGTGGTTGCCTTCATCATCATGCCCGCGCAGACCACCTCTCTCACGGTGGAGGCCCTAAAGGGACAGGCCGTCATCAAGTCGTTGAGGGATACTACGCACGTCATCGAGCAGAGCATTGGCCGCCGCATCTTCGAGCGGTCCTTGAAGTGGCACGAGGGCGAGCCCCTCCCCGATGAGAAGGAGCTCATCTCCCCACAGGACCGTATCCTCCTGCGTCGCCGTCTCTTCGCCATGAAGAGGCATGGTCTCCCTCCTATTGTTACCCATAACATGGTCAACGATCACGAGGACCCCATCCTCAACCAGATCCGGCGAGTCGAGCTCTTCAACCACCCTTCTGATCGGGTCAAGGTTGTGTTCCACCCCGAGTTCTTGAACTCCGCCAACCCCGTTCTTCCCCTTGACTATGACGATTTCGTACGTGGCTGCCACATGGGCATCTTTGCTTCGTACTACGAGCCATGGGGCTACACCCCTGCCGAGTGCACTGTCATGGGCGTCCCCAGCATCACAAGCAACCTCTCCGGTTTCGGATGCTACATGGAGGAGCTCATTGAGAACTCGAGCGACTACGGTATCTACATTGTCGACCGTCGGACCAAGGGTGTGGATGACTCTGTCAACCAGCTCACCTCGTACATGTTTGACTTTTGCAACAAGAGCCGCCGACAGAGGATCAACCAGAGGAACCGCACCGAGCGCCTCAGCGACCTCCTGGACTGGAAGCGCATGGGCATGGAGTACGTCAAGGCTCGCCAGCTGGCCCTGCGCCGCGCCTACCCCACGTCCTTCAGTGGCGATGAGGAGGACGAGGAAGGCTTCTTCAGCGGCACCGATGTCAAGATCTCGCGACCCTTCTCCGTGCCCGGGTCGCCGCGTGACCGCACTGGCATGATGACGCCTGGCGACTTTGCCAGTCTTCAGGAGGGACGCGAGGGCTTGAACACGGAGGATTATGTCGCTTGGAAACTGCCGTGAGTCCCCCCTTTCCCTTCAAGCCTTGCATAACGCATCCCATGCTGACAATCAAATGACAGTGCCGAGGAGGATCCCGATGAGTACCCCTTCCCGCTCACTCTGCGGACAAAGCAGCAGCAGCAGCAGCAGCCTCCCGGCCCAGGCCAGCCGCAACCATCTGCTGGAGCCCCAATCAACGGCAGTTAGGGTTAGCCGGCCACCAGACGCCGTTATTGGATAGCCCCAGCTACAATTGGCATGGGGCACTTGGGGTGACGGGGTGATCGCTTTGCGCGAGGAAGGAAAGAGTTTGCATCTTGGGGTTTGTTTTCCCACATCATTTCCTGTATAGTGGAGAACCGGGTCATGGGTAGTATGATTATTGGTAATCAGTCATTGCGTAGCACTCAAACAGCAAAGATTATGGAATACGGCATTGAACATGAGTTCCTTGTGCTTGTGTCTGTGCTTGCGCGCACTGTTGGCCATGCAGTACCTCATCCAAGGGGCGGGCGGCCGATAAGGCGAGAGACCCGCCACAGGAGAGATTCTTCAACTTCGCATCGAGGGAAGATTGGCTTGCCATGTATCGACATGGTAAGACCGTGCGAGGAAGTCTATGTCGACTGCTATTCGTGCCAACACAGCGTCAGATGACAAGATGAGTTGGGGTCGTTCTCAGACTCAGATAGATTGTATATGTCGAAAGAGCGAGCATGGGCCAAGGTTCACTGATGAACGACAATCTACGGATATTGGCCAATATTATATCAACAAGGTCCTGGAGCAATCAGCCTGGAGCAGTCAGGCCACCCTGCTTGATCGACTCAACCAACGAGCCAACTTTCCGCAGACTACCAGCTCTCTGTGCAATGACCTGACACCGTCAGGCCAAGCATGCACGTTCGTGTCATGTTGACAGATCGCTCCACTGTATGTAATTAGCACAGTCTCCAAAGTCACCAGCCGTCTTACCGGCCCTCATAAACATCTGTAATGAATTCTCCTCCAGGGACAATGCGCAAGAAACACCTTCGACAATCTCGCCGATCGAAACATTCCGTAATCAGAAACTACACGCTCAATGCGCAAGGACCAGCATCCCTCGCCAACCCGTCCACTGCTCTGTGATGCTACCATCACTAGGTACGGAGTACGAGCCGACACCTTCCGAGTCCAGATCGAAATGGGGCCAGCGTCGCACTCGCAAAGTGGAACACCTAACGCCGATTGCCCGCCCGCGTACCTTGCATATCCGTACGCAGCATCTGCAAGGAACGCTTCGATCCCCAGGCAGACCCCCCGTGCGTGTGATGAACCGCCAATGCCCCTCTTGGTAAGTGCGTAAGGCAGGGAGAATGCGACGGTAGCAGTTCTGTTCTGTAATCGTACAAAGATGATGTTCGAATAGTACAGTGTATGTACCTCACGTGCCCATCACAACGCTGGCGCGAGCGCAGAATGTGGCTCGCGCCAGTCGCAGATACCAGACTGGAAATAGCACTGCCATCCACTGGCATTGATCACTAAAATAAGGTCCCAGGCTATCCCAGCATACTGGGAGAGAAAAGGAAAGATAGACGTTAGTCTGAGTTGGCACGTTTTCTCATGATCCACCACGCGGTGCATGTTTGGGGTTGACTGAGGTCCATGTCATGTCTCAGGAGAGTCGGCGGGTCGTGGGCGTGATTGGGACAAGGGTATCTATTTCTCTGGGCGAGGCGGCTGGGTGGACGAGGAACCGAACCACCTTGGCATCATCCTCCTATCTTTTGTCCTCCCTCTGCCTCAAAGTCGAAACCCCCTTGGATTGGGCGAGTGTTAGCCTTAAGCATCCTCACCGTATAAAAACAGGGTGGTTCAGATCCAAGATCAGGGATACAGAAAAAATAGACTATCAAGCCCGTGATCCGCCCTGATTGCAGACAATGATCAATCAACCTGGGGTCGAGGATCACTGGATCACAGACGACCCCCTGCACGCCGACATCCCTACCCCCAGCGTTCTGTCGCCGAGTGCCAAGACAACATCACCGTACTGTACAGTGTACTTGTTGACCTCGTATCGCAGAGCGGAAGGAACTCGTCAATGCGAAAATCGTGAATAGGATCTTTGTCCTGTCGAGACCCGAGAGCCCGCTAAAACCTCAACCGGGCACGTGGATCTGCGTCCTCGTTGAAATGAAAGTCATGCGCGCTGTGCCATTGGCGCGAGTCACGCTGAGGCGATGACTTGCATACGGCCGGCCGTGCTCCGCTTGTGACCCTCGAGAACACCGGGGAAATTTAACGACCCATACTATCCTTCAATGCATCAGCCATCAAGACGAGGAATCAAGCTTTTCGTCAATGGAGCTTTCATGTTGTAGGATGGCATTCTGGGAAAGACGAGAGTGCACAATGGCACACACGCGCCGCCAAGTCGTAGCCGCCGCCGCCGCCGCCGCCGCCGCCGCGCGCTGTGCACTATCATAGCGGCTTAATCTTACTTCTGTACGGCTATGATGAGTACAGTGACATGCTAGTCCTGCGGGTCTGAGTCTTTCGCCTCGTGTCACTCAGAATTGGGTTTCGCATGAAACGGCTGACGGTTGTTGAACCAGATGAGAAAGTGTGATTATGTCTACATTGGTATCATGAGGGTGCGAGAGGGTCAATCTTATCGGCTAAACAAGAATCGTAGCGCATCTCTAAACGCCTGGCCTAGGCAGTGCGCCTTACAACAAAAGGTATCATCGAATCCTCCGGAACGCCATGCGAAAAACAACTGAATGGTGTATGAAATGCAAAGGGCAAGGCAGACTATGCCTTGCGTCGCCCAAGTGAAATAGATAGGCCGTTGCGTAGTCGCGAATGACCCTTTGCGAGCTTTGACGAAACGGGCTTGGTAGGAACGTCCTCTGGGATGGGTGGTGGCTCAACCATGACAGTCCTCCTCCTGGTGGCTTTCAAAGCAGCTTCTGGATCGAGGGAGGGAGTCTGACTGTAAGGTTCCACGGAGACTGGGCGGATGAGAAGATCATTGGACGACTGAGTGGCGGCTTGGTTCAAGTGCGGCTTGCTGCGCTTGCGGGCCAGAGACAAGGTTCGCTTCAGCATGGAGTTGCTGCTTCCCCTGGGCGTGCGAGGCCTGTCAGGGTCATGTGCCTGTTCTGACTCGGGCCGCGAAGGGCAAGGGTCGATGCTGAGGAAGGCTGGCTTGTGCCTCAGTGGGCTGCTGCCCATAGCCGTACTCGATCGTGACACTGTGCTGAACCGACTCGACGAGTGTGTGGAGGAGAATGATGTGCGTCGAGTGGGCGTGATGGGTTCTGTGGTCGTGCGTCGGACTTTGCGTGGCTGAGAAGAGGTGCTGTATATAGTTTCCGGCGAGGTCGACCTCTGAGGAAGTTCGACAATAGATGGCTTGCCCCAATAGACAAAGTTGACCACGCGAGCTGTGTCCTCCTGGCTTTTGCGTACAGGCGTCAAAGGGTCCACCTCAGTGTCCGAGTCAAGGTCATTGTCGGAGAAGTCGTCCGCCGACGAGGAAGCTTCTTCCTCTGAGGAGAGGTAGACCTCATGCGGCGGATGGGAGGGCGAGAGAGGCGGCTGTTCGTCGAGGAAGCCTGTCTTGGGGTTGATAGGCTCGAGGAAGCGCGATGCACGTCGGTTGCTTCTTTGTGGCAACGCCGGTGCTTGCTGGATTGTACTCATATTGTCGAGACTATTAGGGAAGATGATCGATGTGGTAGAGTGTGGAAAGGGTGAAGAGTTGATTGCGGCGAGGAAGAATTTATCATTCGTAAACGTTCAGTGTAAGTAGGTAGGTCCTGGCTTTACGTTGTTCGCACCAGGCCTTGATGCGGAATGTAAATGACGGGGGACCAAGTTCTCAGCAGGACAAGAAATGCGATAACGCAATAAAGCCTTTGTAGACGGAGCGTGGGTGAAAAAGAGTCAAGTTCCCTGGCGAGGAGGTCCTGAGACACCGACGGGCTGGGCCAAAGGGCAGTCGATCGTGTAAGTGGTTGGGTGGGTGTGTCTTTGAAACTCCGGGTTCAGAGCCAAAGGGCGAGCGAGTACTGTGTGCAGTGCCGGCGCACACAAAGGCTGGTGAATTTGTCGGCCAGCAGACAATGAGAATGGAAGCTCGAAGAGAAGAAAGCTCCTTGGCTCCTTAGAACAGAATCAGATATTTTGACAATGAATGGGACATTGGACTAGACAGGCGCTGGAGATGGCGGGTGCATTACACTTAAGAAAGGGCCCGTGAGATGGTTGGCCCACACCTGCAGGATGAGGCTGTACGTGCGAGCTTGGCAGCGGTGCGCACTGTGTACTTCCATCAGAAGGGGTTCCCATCATCCTCCTCGATTGGCTAGCCCACCAGAGGCGCCACAGTAGCCGCTCTTGGCAGACTGCCAGCTGCAACTGGCTCTTTCCCTCCCGCTCCTCAACGCGTTTCACATCTACGAGGGCGCAAGCAGCAAGAGGGCAGGAGCGAAGACGCCAGTCCCGAAGCGAGCAGGAGCCTCCCCTCCGTATGGTAAGGTAAGGCAAGGCACGATAAAGTCCACCGCATCGCATGACTTGCAGCTGCTGGATAAGGTAGGGGGAATCTGGCATGTTAAACATGGATTCCCTTCTGTCGTTATCGCTAGCAGCTGGAGCTGCGAAGATCACGTCGCAACACGGATACCTACGGTGTCGGGCCTGGGTATGACCCTCAGGGCGGCCAGCCGATCTCACCTCGAAACAATGTGCTTACACGCGAGACAGGTATCACCAGTAGCCGCTCGTGATCCGAGTATGGATGGGCATCGCAGGAACATTCCTAATGCCGGCGAACAGATATCGCGAAAATCATTGCATTCATCGACCGCCGCTTGTGGTCGGGTGATCCACCACGTCTGGTCAAAAGCTATGTAATAATACAGTATTGATCTCGTCGTCCCACTCGTCGACCGACAAGGACGAACGCTGATGACTGGCAGGTCGAACGCAATAATAATATTGCCAAGAACATCGTAACGGTGTCGCTGCAACCTACCAAGGCCTCTCCGTGATTGGCTTCAAAGCCACACAAACCGTCGGCGAATGTCAATTGCGGTTTCCAGAATGCAAGGAGTTTGTTCAACCCACGCAATAGATCCCCAACCCTGTTTTGCACTTCGCCTGAGATGGCCGGCTTCGACAAATCCGACCACGAAACTAACTCAATACCAAGGAGCATGGCGCTTCCGTGAAGATTGTTTCCTGGCGCGTCGAAGTCTGTCGAAGTCAGCCGTGTGTCGACAAGTCAATCTGCCCCCATTTGCTCCGTAGCGGGGGGCTCACGCTGCATTGAACAACGCATGCCCACGCCATCGGCAGGTCAATGATGCCGCTGCTGCCACTATGAACAGGTTCTCCAAAGGGCTGCTGCGTTGTCTTGCGCACCACACCATCATAGCATGCGTTAGCCAAGGTAGTAACCCCTTCGTGAAGTGCGTCGGCAGTGCATCTCTGCCAATGGCGTCGACGCTCCACGCAGCATCGTCACTAGACCGACATTTTAAGAAAATTTTAACCTGACAGGAACACCATGCAATGATGCAAAGCTCGTAGCCCAAGCACACTGTGAACAACTCCCAGAGTCGTATGTCGCGTCTACCCAAACTTGTCGATGTCTCGATTCTTCCTCATCACGCGCCGACCCAGCGACCTGTGTAACAGCCCGCCAACCCTAGACACAGGTCGCGGACACACCCACCCGTCAGCAGCCGCTTCCAGATGTGTCAAGTTGCCATTTGCACGATGCCACTGGGAATCACAATGGTTGTGATCTTCTTCTGGTCGTCATCAAAGGAGCGGCTTCCTTGTAAGACCCTTGGTGGCGATATCAGCGACGATGCTGTCAAGTGATTATTTAGCTCTTGGACCCTGACGCGGGGACCTCCAACATGGCGGGCACAGTTGGTACAGTGCTCCGGCGCGAGGTGGGGGAACCTACGGCGTCATGGGCCCGGGAGTCGGATCTTAGGAGTCTGGACTCGGCCGACGCCAGCCAGACGCCAGCCACACCAGCCACGCTATGACGTTGACAGCCGAGTCGCGGAATGTAGCCCCATGTGCTTGTTGATGTCGAATGTCTCGACTCTCGACGTATGTCGAGACAGGACACAATGAAAGTGCTCACCGCTCATTTCGTCAACGCAAGCGTGAAATTCCTGGGATATCACATTCATAGAGTTCTGGGCCTTTGATATGGGATACAGACCTGCTGGACCCTGAAAGACCCCCCATCTCATCGTCTGGCCCACGACGGAGGGATTCTGCTCACGATCCCAGGATTCGGATCCTGCTCTGTGACGTTTGAATCCCACAGGGTCTCCGGAAGCCTGCTCAAAGGTGAACTGCGGCGAAATCCACGATGATCAGGGTCCCAGACACTCCCGCAGTCGGCATTAAGTGCCGCAAGCTTGAGGCACAGCACTCCAAGTCGGATTCGCCGCTGATGGAATATGTCGTCTTGAAACTCGACAACCCAGAGCAGCACAGTGAATGTGACGTTGAAGGGATACCTCAAGATAGAGGCGGTTTCGAGTGATAGTGTCCCGCCCAGCCCTACAGATGACGTTGGCCCTTGGATATATGATCGGCGGATTTGCGGTATCCCCGTTAGTGAGCAGAGTTACGTCCTACTTATACGCACTAAAGCGATCCTGTATTTCACGATTGCATACTACGTAAATGATCAGCCATAGGTCTTCAAGGAGCCTGAACTGTTTGCTTCAATCTCGGACTTTTGCTGCTGGAGCGTTGGTCCTCATGCTCGCGGAGTAGCTTTCATAGTACGCGACCAACCCGAAGAATGTTGGCTCTGCAAGCTTCAGATACGATAACCTCTGCCATAGCCGACTTTGCAATGTGTTCTGGAATCACCACACAAACCGTATCGTATATGATCAGGAGGTACCTTTTCATCCTCGCAACACTGTGCCTGGTCTCGTCATGCAGTTGTCTCTCGTCCCCACGCAGTCCACGAACTGAAGACTTAATTATAGTATCTTCAGATGACGTGGAATAGTCGCTTGCGAGAATGCTATCGCGGCCAACCCCGGTTTTGGTGCCAAGTATTGCTAACACGAGGCGTTGCTGACACGGGCGAGGCGCAGCAGTGGCTTGGAGGAAGAGGATAGTTATTGAGGCTTTGGACGGACGTCAAAAAAAATCATTTGTAAGAGCTGGAGACTGCATTCGCTTGTTCAATTCATTAGATGTCATATTCTAATGGCAGGTGATGAAATGGTATCCCGGATTCCCTCGCCAACCCCCCCTTGGTGCTTCCGGCCCCATAGACATACGTATCATCATGTATCTTATCCAGCTCATTCCTATCCACATATACCATCTCTTATTAAAGGTCTTACTTATTCCATCATCGTACTCTTACCTCCCGCCACCTTGGCACTTCTTCAGAGTACTGGTGAGGGGCCCATCTACCTCCATAGATCCCGGCTCCCCCTCATCGAGTCACCACCACTGCTCTTTGGTCGGAATGAATCCATTGAGCCTCTAGCACCAGGGGGCGCCCCAAAGGGTGGCAGGGGAGCCGGCTCTTCTTGGCCTGGAACTGCAAGGAAAGCCCCCGTCCCGTTGCCGACCATGACACTCTTTCGAGCCTCGCCAGCCTCCCACCCCATGCCACCAATGTCACCACCCAGACCATATGTGCTGATGGGTCGTCGGCTGCTGTCGCGAGCGAAGCCCGGTGATGTTGGCGGTTCAAGCTTCTGAACCGAGTCCACGCGTGCAAAGTTCCAGCTACCAAATTCATTGCTCTTCGTGAAGACCTCGAGCTGGTGCGTCGGCGGCAAGTGTGACATGAATGGGTTGTTGGAGCTGAAGCGGTTGGCGGGGTTGACGTTGGACATAGGTCGGGCGCGACCACTTGGTGGGGAGAGGGATGGGCCACCATCTGCGTTGAGACGCATGGAAGGGATGTTTGGTCGGCCACCGGAAGCTGTATAGCTACTGGACCTTACGCGACTAGCGCCAAAGGTCGCATTTGGCGGAGGCAGACCTTGCAGCTGGTCGGGCATTGTATCGTCTAGCACATACAGCTGGCGAAGCCGTGGGAAGTTGCCCCCCAAGATAGAATTGGCGAGGAAGCTGTAATAGCCGCTCTCGAACGAGCTATAGGGCCCAGCCGAACTGGCCGACTGGATCTCGTAGCGCAAGGTCTCGAGCGACCGCGACGCCATGGGTTGCACACTGTTCTGATGAGGGAACGCCTCTGCCACCGTCGCTTGTACGACAATCGTCTTCAATCGTGTCGCCATGCCAAGAATTTCTCCGAGATGCGATGGATGCACACCGGTGTTCTGCAACGTCAGGACTTTGAGCGCTTCCTGCGTTTCCAGCCACGACAAGAAGTCTCCTAACCCACTGATCGTTAGGCGAGGGGTCTCCTTGAGTACTAGTTCCTCCAGAGGTGGCAGTGAAGGCAGCCCGTCCTCAGCGACCAGCACCTCATCGGAGAAGCTGTGCGAGTTCGACACCTTCAAGGCACGCAACCGCTGCAAGGAAGCCAGAGCGTGCCTCAGCGTTGTAGGATCGATGTGGATGCCGTCTAGTTCGAGCACCTCGAGTTGTGTCCACACTCGTCCGGAGGCCAGCGCAGCCACGCTCTGTTCCGAGCCTTTCCTGTATGTCGTCTTCCTTATGCTGGGGCAGCGCGCCTGGATCTCAAGACGCAATGTTCCAAAGCTCGACTCGTCTGCAAACATACCCTCGGGCAAATCGACATAATGCAGGTTGGGTAACACGGCGATGGTCTGTGCCAGCTCGACGTGGGAGGATTCGCGCAGCATGTATGGAATCTTGAAGAACTCAACCAGCTTGCCTAGGCGTGTGGGATCGTCGCGAACGGTTCGGCGGAATAGGCGTAAACGCGCTTGTGCTGGGTCTTCCGGTATTCCATTGCAGTCGAAGCGGGACGTCTTCTTGCGTTTTTCGGCCAGGACCGCCTCGAGGGAACAGTAATGAACAGGGTCTATGCGGACAGAATGATACCTGACAAGTCAATACGGCGTGTAGAAAGCTTTTGAGTAGCTATTAGCTTACATGACAGGCACGGCATTCCTGCGCCACGACTTGCTCACGCGCGTGCAGTGAGCCAGGTCGCGCAGGTCGCAGAGCATGCAGGCAGCATCGGACGCGCTGTCCTCACATGTCTCGTAGGACTCATCGCACGCATGAGGGCAAACAAAGGCGAAGATGCGCTGCAGGACGCGTGACGGTAGGTCAGCGACGAGTTGAGAAGAGTGGTGCGTAGGTGGAAAGACAAAGAGGGGTCCCTGGTGGCGGGCAACATCCGCCGAGCCCAAGTAGTCGTTGCTGTCTTTGCTCTTCTTGTCCTTGCGGCGGAACGGAAGTCTCATGGTGACGAGAAAGTTCTCGACAGAGCACTGGGGAAAGTAGAGGGCTTTCCCGATCACCGGTTGAAATATTAAGTGAGTTGGGGAGAAGGCACACTGTTGAGGAAGGATGGAGGGATGTAGCACAGGGACAAAGGGCAGCGCAAGGCGGGATTGGGTTGGAAGCGAAACGGCGGCGGCGATCATCCATGACCAGGACGGCTCCTGGTTGATTACCTTGGGTTCTTCATCCACATCTTGCATCGCAGTCATTGAGACAAGCTGATGGATCACCTCCCTCTTATCAAGCTTATTCTCCCTTGTTCACCAATATGGTTCTTTTGTTGCTTGACTGTGTCAAATGAGCACGCGGTTGCGCTCTTTGCCAACCCCTGGGACCCCGATTCTCACCCCTTCTCCACGCGCCACGCTCGCGCGAACATTCTTCTTCTGGCATGAGACTGGGACGATCGCCTGGGACGCCCAACCTTGCTTCGCGCCCTCGGCTTGCAGCCTTGCTGTCGGCGCAGACGCCGCGAGATGACTGGAGATGCTTGGATGCACAGCTTGGGTATGATCCAGTAATTGGTAGGTATGGTGGAAGCTTGGATGAGCATCCACACTGGTGCGACACCCTGCTGCCGGCGCCACGCTGTGCTTACCTTACTCTAATTAATTGCCAGGTACTAATTGTGTACAGACTATCCATAAGGAAGCTTACTTAGTAGCTGTATGGATGGAATTTGGTGGTCCCATACAAATTCTCCAGATTCCACCATACCACGGCAATTGTTTGTCCTCTAGCTTTAAATCGGCGACAGTCATGACTCCGAGGAATGTTGAGCATGTGAAACCCAATATTGATTATTCCGCCAGCGCACACAGCCCCGTGCGCATGATGGATGTAGACGTTATACAGAACGATCATCAGAAAAGTATTACAAGGCAGTATTATACCATGCGTGCCATCCACCCAAATGTCCGATACCGTACCATACTTCGCTGGCAATGCAACCCTCTCAAACGTGTTGTTCTTTTATGTATGCACGCATCCCATCATCATGACTTTACAAAAACAAGACCTGTACCACTGGCTACCAGCCAGCAGCTGCGGAGGCCCACCACGGCCAGGCTCAGGAACTCCTTTGAGCAACAGACTCCAGCACCTCCAAGAGCAAACCATATATATCCTATTGTCGTCATTGGTACAGGCGAGCAGGTTATTGCCAACTAGGGGCCGTAACCTGCCCAGTCAAAGGTAGCAGTGTCGCTGCCCTTTTGATTCATCTTCCCACCGTCTACGCCTTGCGAGAGCGGGTGGTGACACCATTGGTCTTGGCGCCGGTGGTCGTGGCGGAGCTGCTGCCCTCCTTGTTGGAGATGGCGCTCTCCATGTGCAGAGGGTCCGGCAGGGGGGCCTGCGACAAGCGGCGGAGAGACTTGCGGGTGGTCGAGCCCTTCTTGCCGTCCTTCTTCTTGTAGGTGGCAGCGTAGAATGAGATGAAGAGGACGAGGTAGGAGCTGAGAGTGCCAATGCCAGCAAAGGCGGCAAACTCCTCGCCGGCGCACTTGCCAGCATTGGGCATCCAGGGCCAGTAGGTCGAGGTGAAGTAGGTGTACGAAGCGAAGTAGACGAAGCCTGCGAGTCTTAGTCAGTGGGACGGCCAATGCGGTAGCTTAGCTTGTACGTACCAAGATCGATGATGAACTGGATAATCTGGAGACGAGTGACCCACTCCTTCCACCAGATGCGGATGCCACGAGCACTCTGGAAGTAGTACCAGTACATGACAACGTGAACAGTCAGGTTCAGCACAATGGGCACCCAGGAGACCGAGGTAGATCCAACGAGCTGAGTGTAGCAGAGGAAAGCGGTGGCACCGTGGTGGTAGCAGTGGAGGAAGGCTGTAAGGTCAGCACCTGTTTCGCGGACGCATGAGGAGCGGCTTACTCAAGGGCTTCTTCTTGAGGAAGAGGAAGACGGTGTCGAGGAGTTCCAGGTACTTGGTCAGGTAGTTGAGCTGTTCAGCAATTAGCGAAGATGGCTTGCAAGGCGCATCAAGTGCCCACTCACATAGTACAGAACAACAAGAGGCTGTGTCCACCCGCCGTCAACATTGCAGATAGCGTAGAAGACGCCGTCACGGACCAGGGTGGGAATGAGCTGTTCAAGGAACAGGACCAGCAGGATGAAACTGATGGCGGTGAGGTAGAAGTTGTGGATGAGGAAGATGGTCTTCAGCTGGAAAGGTTCGCGGTTGCGCATCATCTCGCGGCCACCGAAGATGATTGCATAGTAGACCACGATGAAGATGCTCGTCGACTTGAGGGTCGACATGGGCGTCTCGAAAGGCACGAAGCGGAACTCCTCGGCCGGGTATCCGACAACAGCCTCCCAAGCCTTGCTGAAGATGGGCCATAGGTGGATGCCAAAGGGACGGTCAACCGTCGGCAGCGGGAGCTGCTCGTAGAATGTTGCGGGGGCCGACATGACAGGCAATTGCTTGATTGCGGTGCTGTCGTTTCTGGACGGACGTCTTGATTCGAAAGGGGGCAGCGTTGCGAATTGAGTTTAAATCGTGCGGCGCAAGTCTTAACACGCGCGACGGGATGCGGTCGTGGGTGCTGAGGTTTATTTGAATAGGTAATTAGAGGCACTTGAAGGAATGACGAGAAGAGAAGCAATTAAGAAGCCGCGACAAGAGAAGGGCGCCGCAGCGGTGAAACAGGACGCTCCAGAGTTGTGTCCAAGGAGGAGTTGTGATGATGGGAGAGGAGGAGAGAGAGGAAGACAGCTAATAATTATGGTACTTTCCATTCGAAAAGGGGAAATTTCGCATCGACCCTCCCGCGCCGCCGCGATCCATCCTGTCGTCTCTCCTCCACTGGAATCCGTTGGCTCCGTTCAAGGCGAGGTACATGGGCCCGCTACGCTAGTCCTAGGAAGGTAATTGTCTCCCGCCGCTTGCTTGTAATCTTCCTTTCTCACGCGAAAATGTCACCGCAATTGCGTATCCCCGTGAATCCCGCATAAAGCAGCGCTGACATGTCCAATGCCATTCGTACCCGGACGTGGCTCCGAGATTGGACCTTGGCAAATCACCATCATGGCATTCGGCTTTGAGGGGCCTAGCTCGAACATGTGATTCGCCTGTGTTGCGAGCTTAATACAAAAGCAGCTGAGGAATAGTCTATCTCGCACTCACGTGACTTGCGTGGCTGAAGGGTTCACGATGAAGGAGCTTCATTATCTCTTTGCTTCCTTATTACATCTGGATTGGCCACACCCGAAACGGTACAAAAGACTCTGGTTATGGTACTTGAAATGGGGCCGTTGTGCACCGCTCAACACACACCATATGTTTCTCGGGGGCATTCAGTATAACACGGCGGATGCTTTTCATTAGGCACGTATTTAATAGAATCCGCGACGATATGAGCAACAAACCACCGGCGTAACATCGCGTGTTTCGATCCGCCACGTAGAATGCGAGATCCATACCTGTTGAGCATTGCGAACTCCAAGCTGCCGTCAAAATCATGCCATGCTGAAAGTGGGACAGTGTCTACACAGTGTTCACGTATCAAATTCGTCACGAAACTGAAGACTTCGCACTGTCCACGGCTTAGTCAGTAGCTGGCCAATCAAATCTCTTCATTCACCAAACACCTGCAGACTGCAACCGCATCATCCCGAGAAAGCTTTCCCACGCCTGCGAACCCGAACCGAATCTCGACCTAGCATTGAGAACGAAACTCCCCTCCTTTCCATCCGTCGACAAGCACTCCAACTACCGTCGCCATGCACTCCGTATTCCGCACCGCCGCTGTCCGCAGCTCCTTCCGCTCGGTCGCTGCCCGTGCGCCCGCGACTCCCCTGATGACTCGTGCCAGCTTCAGCACCACCATCGCCCGTCGCAGCGGCGGCGAGCACGCCGAGGAGAGCTTCGAGGAATTCTCTGCCAGGTGAGACTTGAATGGAGGCGATTGGGGCTCGTGGTGGCAGACACGCTTCGGATCAGAAAAATCGTGGACGTCACGTTGCTGCTGGCACAATAACCACGCGAAAATACCAGCATCGGTCACCACGGCCGCGATCGGGCATGAAAACGGTCAATGGCTAATGCGTTGCCTTGAACAGATTCGAGAAGGAGTTTGACAGCGTTCAGGATGTTTTTGAGCTCCAGGTAAGGTGTTTCTTACATGTCGCAGGATAGCCGGGCTGACTCGTACGACTACAGCGCAACCTCAACAACGCCTTCGCCTACGATCTCGTCCCCTCGCCCTCCGTCGTCGCCGCCGCTCTCAAGGCCGCCAGGAGGGTCAACGACTTCCCCACCACTGTCCGCATCTTCGAGGGTACGACCATCCCCGCCCTTCCATATGCAAGGAGCTCGGCTAACGTTATGATGAACTACAGGCATCAAGTCCAAGGTTGAGAACAAGGGCCAGTACCAGCAGTACCTCGATGAGCTCAAGCCTCTGCGCGAGGAGCTCGGCGTCCCGCTGAAGGAGGACCTCTATCCCGAGGCGCAGAAATAATTTTGGACGCAGCGTAGGAAACCCCAAGACGCCCTGACGGCCTTTTTATCTACTAGCCCTCCCACGTGGGATCTTGTTGTACATGTTAGAAGAGGAAGGAATGATTCGATAGAAGACGGGAGTTGCTTGCGGCGGATCAAATTTACTTTGTTACATCAAATGCACTCTGAGTGGTAATGCCTGACGATGAAGACAAGGGACTTTTAAGAATCGATGTGATTGCCCTGATGCTCAGTCGCATCGATAACCATCCGCGAAATGCCTATAATGCTGGGTATTTTAAATACAATGCCATGCGAAACCAGAAAATCAAAGGCTCTGGCCTGAGATATAAAAAGAACAAGCCCACCACCCAATGGAACGCCCCAAAAATGATCAAGAGCGGTCTCCGGCGCCGTTACTCGTCGACGTGAATTGGGCTCCTGGCGTCCTCGAGAATGCCCCATTGCCGCCGTTGTAAATGTCGGCAAGCGAACCCATCACCGGCGCAGGGCTGGCTCCCCTGCTAACGGAGCTTGGTCCGGCTGGTCGTTGAGGTCGTGGACTCATGATGCCCGTGCGCGGACTACGCGGCACGCTGGAGTGTCTCGTGTCTCTTCTTGCCATCTTGAGCTGCCGTATTTGCTCACGGAGTGCATGATTCTCCTGGATCATTTCCCTCATTGCGATTTGCTCCGCCGACAGCAGGTTCTCCAGCCGCTTGACGATGCCATCCTTATTCATGCGATGAATCTCGACAACGTTGGCATCGGCTCTGCGCTGTAGGTCCTTGTTAGCTTCGGCCAGCTTTTTGACTTCGTCGCGGAGTTCTTCCGCAGTCGAAGATGCCGCCTGATACTGCTCAAATGCAAATCCCCTGTCCGCCTTTGCCTGATCAATCTGCTTTTCCAACACCTTGATCTTTCCTTGGGCTTCCTTGACAAGGTTCTCTGACCGCACGAGGGGATCACCACCTTCCGCAGTCAGTCGAGCAACTTTCGCTGCAAGCTGGGTGATCTCGGCAGCATCCTTCTCCTGGCGCTTGAGAGACTGCGCGGCCTCGGTATTCAACTTCTTCTGCAAATCACGGGCTGCGCTCTCAAAATGATCGCGGTCCCGTAGGTGGGCACGCTGCGCCTCCTCGAATTTGGTATAATCCGCCTCATGTGTTTTGTATAACTCATCCAGTTTCTTGAGATGCGCTTGTTCCGCAAGCTCCAAGGTGGTCTCTTGCGGGGAGCGCCGTTGTGCTTCGGCAAGCTTGACTTGTCAGCAGTGTGGAGTGTTTTGATGATGATTATCATACCTGAGCTGCTAACGCTCGTAAGATGGCGATGGGCATGCCCACTTGGTCCTCGCCGGTGGCTTGGAGGGGGCCGCGCAGACCAGCCGACTTGAGCAGATTTCGGACATCTGACGGCACAGGTATAGTGTCGGTCGGAAAGAGGGGCTGAATACACGAGTAGCGGCGCATTCGCTTACCAGGGACCTCGGGATCGTCCGCGTCGTCTTCCTAGATTTAGTTAGATCTTTCTTCCAACGTCGCTCTTTCTCATGCGAACGTACTAGCTTGCGCTTGAGGTCTGTAACAGCGTGGTCTTCAGCTACCTCATTCAATGACGCAGCCGGAGATGATTGTGTCAAGAAAGCTTGCAGAATATGCGTCGGCACCTGCACGGGTTCGTAGTCGAGATCGGTCACTTGGCCGTTGAGGTACGCAGCAAAGATCTTTGCAATGCGGTGCGGTTCAGCCTGGTCTGGTATACTAGGTTCCCCTGGTTCTGGAGTTCCGTCAAGCAGTGGCTGGGTGTGGACAAGGGCCCAAACGAGTCTCATTGTCTTTTCCAAATTCTCCATAGGTCCCTGGTCAGAGCCGGACTCTCCGGCGATTGCGAGTTCAAGATGCTCAACCGAGAGTGTCGTCACGAGTCTCAGAACGGTGGGGGTTAACTGGGTTACGGAGGCAGCTGCCATACTCGAGGCCATGGCCGATCCATCGAACGACCTATCGTATGCGATGATAAGATCGAAATCGCCCGCATCAGCATGCCTCGACGTAGCAATAGTGATCCGTGGAGCTTGCAGTGCATCAGTGAATAGCCGTGGATCGCATTGAGCTGCAGGGTTCTCGGGACAAGACCACGGCAATTTGTGAATGCGTGAGATAAGGTGTATCATCAGCCGTGTTAAGTTATCGGAGCCAACGACGATGAGCACATTGATTGGCCCAAGCGCGGGTAGCAACTCGTGCAGGAACTGGACTTTGGAAACCTTCTCCACGACGTGCCGCATCTGCTTCTCGATGTCTGTGTCAGGCATGATCTCGAGGGACTCGCCGCCATAGTCGCAGGTATAGACCAGGTCTGTCAGTGCTTCTTCGATCTCGCTCTGTAACTGCTCATCTGGTGTGGAATAATCTTCCGCGCTGTAAGTCGTGTTGAATTTCTCAAATGTGCTCATATAGGATCGCATCGTGGCAAAATATAGTGCCCGGGTGCTATTATGGAAAGGAATCGTGATAATGTGGTAGTTCGTAGCGGACGGCTTATGTGATGCCGCCTGCGACGTTGAGAGTGACAGGGGTGTTTGGCCCAAGGGTATTGAATTTGACGACAATGCCTGCGAGCCAGATGACGGCATTGAGTGGCCTGGCAGTAGCGGAAGTGTGGTGGACGACTGTACTCCCAAGGTGCTCACTTCAGCAGGGGTGACGGTCGACATGGTAGGACTGGTCGCCATCGTTGCGTTGAAATGCTCTGGCAGAAGTTGAGGCTCAGGATGTGCCTGAGCCTCGCCCTGAAGGGTTGTATCATTGCCCCAGGGAGCTATCGGACCCTGTGCCTCGGGGTCTTCTTGACCGCTCGGCGCCATTGTAGAGAACTCGGGCGATGCAGAACGAGACGTGCCAGAGCTCCTACACCGGCCAGCGCGGTTCAGAACCGTGTTTAAAAAAGCGTGACGATGTGTACTGCGTTCCTGACTATCGATGTCGCGCAATCGCGACTGCCAAGATCTATCGCTCAGGCTGTCGTGACTTTGAGGCTGATGTGACGGGATTTCTCCCTCGTCAATTGCGTGAGGCCGGCTTTCTTCAGTAGCCGGAACCACAGAACTCTCGCGTGGGTCTTGATAGCCTGGAAAAGCCGCGAGCGCCTCTCGGGCCTGTTGTTGAAGTGTTTGCTCGTTGGCTGATGTGACTTGTAGATGAAGAGGCTCTGGCTGACCCGCTTCGCCAGGTGGCGTCCACAGTCGGGATTCGTGCGACGCTTGGCACGTGACTTTTGTTGCCTTTGATGCCACTGTACCCCAAGCCTCAGATTGTTCCTCAAGGGAATTCGCTATTGATTCGCCAGATAGGGGACGTGAAGATGGGTAGGGAGGGCTTTTCAGGGCCTCTGCTCTTTCTCGGCGTGGCTCCTCAGATACCTCTATTTCCCAGTCCGCATGGGAGGCTTCATGAGAACTAGCGTCGTACTCAGATTGAGCTGCTGGGATTTCCGAGTAGCTATCCCATTCTTCGCTTCCAAAGGTGTCAGGTATCTCTTGTAGCGCGCTGGTGGTGTCGTTGTTCACAGTCCCGCAAGGTGTCGGCGAAGGCGAAGGCCAAGAGGACTGTTGTGTGCCCAGCGGTTGGGACCGTTGGGTTGATGTTTTAGAGGATTGCGTGGCTGTAACTTCTCGACTTCGCCTGCCTGCGTCCTGCTGCTGCTTTCGCTGACGCTTCTCTTCTCGCCAGTCAGCTAGGTGCCGCGAGGGAACATTGGAAGCTCTCTCCTGTTTCTTCTCGTTAGTCGTTTGATAAAACATGTATCGTCAGAGGCTCTTACCCAGATATTTGCTTTCCACCTAACCAAATGCTTCTTCTTGGTTGCATCTAGTATGCTCTCGACTTGAGGATACCATTTGATTAGGTCCTTCTTGTTAACCCAGATGTCCACGAACTGGATGCGGTATTCAGTCCGGCCTTGCCTTTTCCTTTCTCCCGTGACCTTCTCGAATTCCCACTCAGCGTCAGAGGCAATGTCGCTATTGAACTATCGCTTTCATCGCCCTCTGACGTTGAGAGCGACATTTCAGCACAGAGCTGTGCGCGTTTGACCGTGAACCTGGATGATGGTCAGTTCTCACTGGTATCGTGGACAGGTGGACAGGTTGCCCGCGCCCTACTCACCCCGAGATCAGAAAGTCGACTGAGGACTTCCAAGTTTAACAAACCCGCACAAATCTTTCCTCGATCAATGAACATTCCTTTAATGTTGCGAGAGGTACTTACCTGGTACTGGCAGGAACGTCACGTGATGATTGAGACAGCGTTGCTCGGCAGACGAAGCAAACGGCCAAAAGAAGCTGTCGGGAGATGCTTGGTCAACTCAAAAAAAAAAAAAAAAAAAAAAAAAAAAAAAAAGGCGGGAAGACGAGGCGGTGATGAAGAATGAATCGAAAATGAATATTCGGCTGGATAGGTACATTAGGTTGACAGCGGCTGGTTGAGCGCCGCTTCCTAGATAGGCGCGCAGGGAAGGCAAGGGCGTGTTTTTTTTGGGAGGTACAGAGACAAAGGGCAGCCTGTGCATTCAACATGGCACGCGGCATTCACCTGCGCCTTGGACTATCGCAAACAATGTAGTGGCTGCAGGCAGTGTGCAACCGTCGTCAGCTGATGTGTCGACTAATGATTGATGCAGCTTAGGGACTCTCAAGTTAGTTAAATCGCATCCAAAATAAAATCACGGGGAGCCGCCTTAGGGACCATTTCATTATTTCTATTGCCATAGCTACCACCCGTTTTGGGCAAAAGGCATAGGGTAGCCTCAAATTGAGAACCGCTAGCTGGACTTGATTGGAGACCGGAACTAACAATTGTCAATGTCGGGAGGCATGGGCATTCACTCATGCACCCTTTCGCGAATCGTACATCAGCACAACTACTGTACTTGCCTATTCGTGGCTCTGATTCAACCAACAGAATTGGTCCGCTCACAAGCATGTGTCCGGGCGCACAAGCCAAGCCTAAATCGTCGACACATTAACCGTCTCGCGCCCGCTATTCAGTCAATCACTGGCTGGTTCGTCCGACAGCAGCGCACAGCTCAGCCATGTCAGGGAAGTTTCCGATACAGCCCATCGGCCGCTTCGCCGGTGCCAGCCAACCCGTCAAGAGACCAAAGGTAACCACTACTTATTCAGGTACTCCCGACAGAGCTGACGAGAATACCAGGAGTTCGCATGCTTTTCATATGACGACAATCATGAGTTCCATCTGGACGATTCGTCCATTAGGTACTACTACACACCGCGATTAGGCGCTGATCTAAGTAAGGGCTATGAGTCGTTCCAGAAGCTGGATGACTCAAAGGATGGCCATTTGGATGCTCTACTCAAGACCATCATGGCCTACGAGTCGGAGCAGGGGAAGAATATCGACGCAGAGATCATAACATGGAGAGGCATGATGACCAAGGTGAGCCAGCCCAGTCGCGGCCACGTCATCTATGACTGACAAGCAGGCAGATCTTGGGGGCCCCTTTTGAGAATTTCGACGGGTACGCAGCTTTGACGCCTCTGTCCCACCCGTCCATGGCTCATGATCAGCAGCTTCGAGATGAACGCCACCCTATATCAAGTATGGTGAACCCGAGCTCATGGATTCGTTCACTAACGCTGTAATCGTTGTAGGGATCTATGTGAGTACACCGAAGACTGAGACAATATGTACTGAGACATGAAGCTTCATTGAGGAAAACCACGCCTATAAAGTCGCATCGAAGGAGGCTCAACACCAGCAACAGCAGAATCGATCCAGAAGAGGCCCGCCCCCTGAAGTCATGTCGTACTGGGGTTTGTTCCGCTTAGGACATCCATTGAACTACGCTCACGAAAGCCAGGATACAAATTCGAAACCCTATCCACCCTGCCGTCTATATGGGCTGAAACATCCCGCGACTACATTGAAGCGCGAGAAGACCACATAGTCAACAACAAAGCGCAGTACTGCTCAGTCGTCCGCACAGGGATTGGCAGCTCTATCCTCTGTCTCGGCGGCGAAGTCGATGCCAGTAGGCCTCGCCCACATTCTTGACAAGTCTTTTTACATACTAACAAACAGCGCAGTCTGGGACTCTAAGCCCGTCGAGCACGGCAAGCCGATCAATTGGGTTGAGCTCAAGACATCCCTAGAAATTCGCGGAGCCAAGGATATGGAGATCTTCCACCGCAAGCTCATGAAGTTCTGGATTCAGTCGTTTCTCCTGGGCGTGCCCAAGATCGTGGTCGGTTTCCGAGATCGTGATGGATTTCTCGTCAAAGTGGACGAGATTGAGACGCAAAGGATACCGCAAACAATCAACGCGACGCCGAACCCGAGTTGGAACGCGGATTTGTGCGTGAACTTTGCGGGCACATTCCTGGAATGTAAGTGGCACGACGAACATTGTACCGCCACTAGATGATAATGCTAATCTCGACTGCTGTGCAGGGCTGAAACAGACCATCAATGATGAGGGCGTTTGGCGGATCAGGAGGCTGCCTCAAACGCCCGAGATTGAAGTATTCAAAGTAGAGGAGACAGGTCATGGAGACATATTGTCAGAAGAGTTCAAAAACTCTAGGATCAAGCTGGCTCTGAAGAGTCAAGAGAGCGCGTCGTAGTGGCATAGTGTCACTGATCGGAAGCAGTTTCATCGCAGGTATTGCCATTCATACAAGCCTTGGTATTGACTTGACGTACACTATCTAAAAAATGGACATGCTTGGACCCCAACTCCCTTAGAAAACAAATATGATGCTAAATGATGAACAACAAATCATATAGAATGATCCATCTCCGTGAATCTAGGACCAAAGGAAGAAGCACATTCTTCGCGTGCGGCAATGCAAGTTCCGCTACCGGAGCGCCTTCTCCATGCCGTCATGCGAGATGTGAGCTTAATAAAACAACAAAATCGTACAGTCAAACGAGGCTTCACAGTGAAGATCGCTGACATTTGTCAACCAACGCTCGCTAAAAGTTGTCATGGATGCCGTAAGAGGTCTGCACAAGGACAGACAAGACCTCAGGAGCCAGGCCAGCGCAGTCGGAGACCATCGGTCCACCGTGCATAGAGCACGTCAGACAGTTGCTTGCTATGCTCCATGCCAGCGCGTGGCTCGCGGCCGGGATACTTGGCCTCAACGGCAGCTCTTGCCATGTCATGTTCGGTGTGCCCCGAGGAATCTGTCTGTCGTCGCTTGTGACTCTTGAGATGAGGGTTACTAGAACTCAACACAAGTTTGGTAGGGCTGACATGAGGCGGGACAGCGCTCTTGATAATGACTGTCCCCTGTGGCGTCCCATCGTCAGGCGTCTTGCAGGCAGCCTGGTTCAAGAAAGCTGCATTGAGCTTCTTGTCCTGCGACATTGCTGAGACGATGTTGATCATGAGGTGGTGAGCGCCTTCGGGGTCGCATGCGTCTAGAGAAGCCAGAGCCTCACTGAGTTTGGCGAGGGCTTCACGCTTCTGGAGCCCTGACGTCTGAGCCTGCAGCTCAGCTAGCGAAGGCTCAACAGCCTTGTTATACAGCCTTCGGCCCAGGACAGCCTCCTTTCCGAAAGGCTCGATCAGTGCGACAGCGGAAGGAAGAGGCGCATTCTCGTCGCAAAAGACATCATCGGAAGAGCCAGGCCGACCTGACTGACCAGACGTCGAACCGTCTGATGGAACTCGTCGGAAAAGACGCATAGTAGAACCCGAATTTCCAAAAGACATGTCCGGCTGAAGAGGCTTCTTCGGTGCAATGGACGCTCGGGGTGATGCGTTGCGAAGGGATCTGTTGCGGATGGAGCCGCTGCGCGGAGACCCGTTGGAGTGCATAGCAGACACTTGGGCCACGGACGGAGTGCGACGCACAGTCGACTTGCGGATGGTGCTGGGAGCCGGAGAAGTGGCACCCAGTGGAGCATCCTTGAGGTCAAGCTTGCGCATCGATTCTTCTGTGGTGAAGACAGAGGATGGCTTGCGCGATTGCTTGACGGTCGGGCGCTTGGGTGGCGCTACAGACTTGACTGTGTCAAAGATCCATTCATCTTGCTCGTCCTTAGGAGAAATGGTCTGAAGGGTCTCTTGGTAGTAGATGGGATGCGTTTGGCGGTTCTTGTTGGCATCCCACATCTGTCGTCGGGCAATCAGCTCCTGAAGCGCCTCAATCTTGCCAGCGGACCGAATGAATCGATGTCGCAGCAGCTCCTTGGCCGACGGTCGGCGGTCGCAATCCTTTGTCAAGCAGAGAGACACAAAGTCCCGAAACTCCCGGCTGAAGTTATTGTCAAGGGCAGGAGGGGGGTTTTTGGGGATGTGGAAGAGGACCTTCATCGGATGGATATGAGACAAAGGAGGTTCACCGTTGGCAAGCTCCATGGCAGTGATTCCCAACGACCAGATATCAGCCTTGAAGCTGTACCCGTCTTGCTGAATGACCTCGGGTGCCATCCAGAAAGGAGTTCCCACGAATGTGTTGCGCTGAGATTTGATGTTGGTCAACTGCGCAGCGACTCCAAAGTCCGCCAGCTTAACCTTGCCGGTCTCGGAAAGGAGGACATTGGCGGCCTTTACGTCTCGGTGGATTTTCCCCTCATCGTGCAAGTACTGGATACCAAGAAGAAGCTCGCGGCAGACGATGGCGATGTGTGTTTCGGTGAAGTTTGCGGGTTTGAGCTGGCCCAGTCAGGATAGTTCACAAAGTTTCAGGAATAGATGCTTACCAAGTCAAGGCATGAGCCGCCACCCAGATACTCCATGATAATCCATAGCTTGGTGCCTCGAAGAAACGAGCCTTTGTATTGGGTGACGAACGGGCTGGCGCACGTGCTCAGCACGGCAATTTCAGCTTGTATGTCTTGGATATCATCGTCGTTGGATTCGAGGTCGATCTGGTTCTGTTAGTCGCAGCGGTGATCAGGGAGTGGCACTTGACTTGCGTGTTTGATGGCGACAGTCTCCCCCGTGGCTTTCTCGATGCCCTTGTAGACTACACCAAAGCTTCCGCCTACAGACAATTTTGTTAGCTCGAACTCAGGAAGCATAGGACAGAGTGAACTTACGACCTAGCTCCTCCAAGACCTGGTAGTGGTCGGCAAGACCATCGGCAGCCATTGTGGCTCAACGTCACACAGATGTCTGGCTTATCGAAGAGATGGCTCGAGTAGGAGCAAGCGAGACGAATGGATGATGCTGAACCTGGCGCCGGTGGCTGCGTCGATTCCCAAGACGACGCAAAGTTGTCAATTGGATCGCAAGTGAAGTCGAGAGGGGTTGCGGATAGGTAGGCAGGCTCGAGACCGGGGGATTGAGGGCGATGAGTGCTATTTACGTAGCTTGCCGATCGCTTAAATGAGGGTCGCCAGGGAGCTGAGGTCGGTGCACCGGCCAGGGCCGAGTCGCATTGAGATTGGAGCTGGGGGGCCCTGTTGTTTACGTTTCTCCAGTTTAGGACAAGACGATTCAGCGGGGCTGCTGAGGACGCAGATCGCAGCGCCGACTTGAGAGCTGGGAAAAGTGACGCTTCGCAATGCGCCAGAGAGAAACATTGGAGGAAGCGATGGGAAGATGATGAACTTTTCTGCTTGTTTCTTTCCCCGGATTTTGACTGGCATGCTGGGTGCCATTGATGCCGCCTGCAGCAGGTTACTGTCAAATGCCAGCGAGGGACCATTCTGCAGGTACGGTGTGGCACAGTGCTAACGCCTGTGTTCAGGACGGGTTTAGTAAAAAGAACACTGTGCAACGGCACTGTCACGCATGACGTCGCACGTTGCTATGCTAGGCCCAACGACCGAACATATCGCAAGCTGCCTGCATCTATCGGGGATATGAGTTCTCTGGGAACAGACCCAGGCAATAGCCTCGCCACAGCTAATGGCGCCGTCTAATCTTGATGCATGTTCAATTGAGGTGTGATGCGGCGAAATGATCGAATGCTTCCTGATGCTATCGCAATGATACGGTCCCTGCATTTGGCTGTGCCGCAGCGGCATTGAGGTCTGAGGTGAGCAGCCTGCGGTCGTTGCCCTAGCAACCCACCCCTCTGTTGTCGAAGATATGACCCCGGACAGCCAGCCGCCCAAGCCCTTGCAGCGTGGGCCAGAGTCAACTGTCTCTGCCTGATCTTTACTGGAACCACCCATACAGATACAGCTAAGGCAGTCTCAGACCGCCTCCAGACAAGGCGAGTGAGCAAGACTTCAATATCCCCAGGTCATATCTTCTTCTCCCTTGCTCATCAGCATAATCATTCGCTTTCTGTCGAGTTGTTCGTGGCGCCGGCCGCACTCACCTCTTCTTCACCTATTTAGTTCTCATCCGCCTGGGGTTACTCAACGATCTGCTATGCTAGTCATTTCGAGGAACTAGATATCTATTCCGGATATCTCACACCGTGCTCCCACACACACCGCAAAGTGCCCATCTGTGCGCACTCGTACGAGGCAAACGACCCCACGACACCGACAAAGTTGCTTTGAGCAACTGGCAGATACACAATGCCGCCAGCCGCACCATCTTTACCTGTCCGATTCCCTTGTTGGTGTCGGGCCGTGTACTCATGGGGTGGAGAGGTATGCTCCCTCCGCGCATCGACAAGACATTCTTGCTAATGGTTCAAGTCCAAACGTGATCTTGGCTTCGTCGAAGGGGACTTGATTGAATGCCTGAATGCCGGCGACGGTTCATGGTGGGTTGGACGACTCTTCCGAGATCGCAGATCAGTCGGCTCGTTTCCGTCCAACTTTGTGGAAGTCCTGCCAGCCAACTTTCGCCCAACGACCAAGTCCATCAGCCCTCTGCCAGATAGCAACACGCCCAGCCCAAAGAACACGCCGCAAAAGTCGAAAACGTTCCGCAAGCCCTTTGAGGCCTACTCTAAAGCGCCTCATTACACCACAGCCAAGCAGCCGGAGGTGTTCAAAGAGGTTGTGAAGCCGCGTCAGCGAGGAGACTCAAGTGCATCTTTTGCGAACAGTGCCCGACCGAATACACCATTGAACAGAGCCATATCGCCCGCGCCCGCACCATCTCCCGCACAGCAGTATGCCTCGAGAGCCCCGTCTCCAGCGCCATCATCATTCCCGCATCACGCCCGCATGCCCTCGCCGGCACCACCACCTTCGCGCGAGTATGCCAGAGTCGCCTCGCCAGCACCGCCGATGCATCATTATGCCCGTGCGCCATCACCAGCGCCACCTGCACATGATTATTCAAGGGTTGCTTCGCCAGCACCGCCAATGCACCACTATGCGCGAGGGCCGTCGCCAGCACCGCCTGCGCACGACTATTCGAGAGTAGCCTCGCCGGCTCCGCCGATGCATTACCATGGGCGAGGGCCATCCCCAGCCCCGAGGCAGGAGTATCTGCCGCGTGCTATCTCGCCAGCGCCAGCGGCTCATGACTACATGAGGGCCGCGTCTCCTGCGCCGCCTCCACCTCATCACGCCCTCTCCCGAGGACCATCGCCTGCTCCTTCGTTTGGCAGACACAGCAGCTTTGACGTGCGTGATGGCGGCGACTCTCCACCTCCCCCTCCGCCGCCTCATCGGCACGCAGCCCAGAAACCCTCGGCGGATTTCGAGGACACGCCGTATGCGCTTTCGCGTCACGGGTCCAACGGATCCTTTGCTCCTTACAATCCGTATGTCAGGTCCCGCCATGGCTCCAACGCATCCTACAATCCGGACACTCCCCTCTCTCGCAACGGATCAAGCGCCTCACATCGCGAACACCAGGAAGAGCCCAAGACACCTGGACATGAGCAGTATCGTGCCGCTTCTCCTGCTGGAAGCCATATGACGCCATCCCCTTTGCGAGAAGCTATGGATGGAGTCATGGAACAACTGGACGAGCTCTCAGGGTATAGTGGACACGAGGAGAAGGGTTCCCCGACAAAGGCTGTGGATCTGTGGTCGCCTGAATCATTCGACATGGGTTCGCGGCCAAGCCAAAGACGACAAAGGGAGCAGGTGAGACCGTTAACTTCGATGGGTATAGCAAACGTCGACGAAGGATACGAGACATGGAGTGGCGGTTCCTCTCAAGAGGCATCTCTGAATGGCGGCCAAAAGGAGAAGGCCGGTCTGCCCAAGCTCAACAACTACGTTGCGCGAATGGAAAGTCAGTTCCAGAAGATGCATCAGCACAGTCTGAGTACACCAGCGGCCGCTGTGAGCGATATGCCTCCACCCCCACCGCCCAAGGGGCAGATGTACGAAAGGCCCAAATCGTCCATGGGAAGCGCAAGGCACGGCGCGTCCTCAGACCGACAGCTGGGATCCCGCAAGTCGGCTTACGACGTCGGGCGTGGCGTCGGCCGCACGTATACGACCAAGACAAACACGACTGAGCAAAGCCACACCAGCTCATCAACGCAAAGCAGTGACAGAACTCTGTGGAGCGGAGAGTCTGCAGGTGGCTTCAGTGCTACTAGTGCTGGCAGCCTTGCCCGCAACGCGCCCCGACCTCAGAGCGCCTTTGGGATGCGTCACGCGGAACCTGAACGACCGGAAACGCCTTTCACAGGCGTCACCTACCACAGCAGCCACGCCTCCAATTACCAGGCCAACAAGCAGTCCTCTTCGCAAGCCGTCTTCCAGGACGACACCACTGCTGGGCTTGGAGGGCTTGTGCAACCCAAGGCTCCGAGGCGCAACATTTTCAAGAAGATATTTGAGTCTGCAAAGACAGGCGTAGCCAGTGGTAGGGCCGGCATATCAGGCACGACCATGGGGTCGATGGACTCTGCCAAGCCGTCGCCTCTCGCGCGATCGCTGACTTCAGGAACGCCCTCGATGCTCCACGCGGGCACTCTGCCGAGGGCGCGGGATTCTGTACCCGAAACAGGTCCCGGCAGTGGGGTCGACTGGGTGCAGGTTCGGCGCGACGTCAATCGTTCGAATTCTTTGAGTCAGAACGAGCGCCTCGAGCGGCATGAACGTTGCCAGATGTTGGATCATCCCACATTGAACCCCGTAGACGAGCTCTACCAGTGCGTGGAAGGCGACGAAGGTGCCGATGGCAACGCAGTCGCAGACCCCGTCAACTACCACGCGATCAATCTGAGCCAAGTCGATAAGAACTCGCGATTCATTGCTGGGTTGCCCCCGACAATAACCGCCATTACTCTGGCCACGACGTACATTTGCCGTCCTTACAGAAGTGATGTGCAGAGGCTACGTGCCATCTTCACCTGGGTCTCGGAGAAGATCTGTTGGGAGGAGGATTTTGAGGGCGAAATCGACACTCGCCAGGTGATCCAAAGCAAGAGAGCATGCGCCGAAGAGTATGCAGTCTTGGTACAGGAGATGTGCTCAGCCATCGGGATCGACTGTGAGATCATACGTGGCTACCTCAAGATCCCTGGAGAGGTGCCTGACCTCAACATGATGCCTCGCTCGAACCACTGGTGGAACGCAGTCATCGTTGACGGCGAATGGCGGCTGGTTGATTGCTGTTTGGCTAGCCCGTCCAACCCTCGACGCAGCCATTACTCCAATGCAGCCAACAACACCGCCGACTTTTGGTATTTCCTCACACGACCTGTCGAGCTCTGCTGGACCCATGTGCCGGAGCACCATGACCAGCAGCATATTGTTCCTCCAGTGGCGCACGAGACACTCCTCAACCTCCCATGTACAAATCCGACCTTCTTCCGTCAAGGCATCGAGATGGTCGATTACAGTACCAGCCTCAACAGAATAGAGGATCTGGAAATGGTCCACATAAAATTCAACGTCCCGGCAGACGTTGAAATCGCAGCAGAAGTCGAAGCTCGCGCTTACACGCGCGACACAGATGGCGACGTCTTTGAGAGTGGTGACGTGGTCAAGAAAAGAGCCTTGGCGCAGGCCGAATGGTTCAACGGTGTGAAAAAATACACCGTCAAAGCCCTGCTGCCGGGGGATGAGGGCCAGGGCACGCTCAAGATATACGCCGGTAAGCGTGGCCTGATGCACAGCATCAAGGACATTCCTCACCCGCTGGCGTTCTCTTTGCCCATCATCCACACGGGAGAGAACCCGCCATACGACTTTGTCACAAGGCATCCCACGCCTCATGCGCAGAGACATGACATTTACGTTGTTCAGCCGCAATGCCAACGCCTGGCACTGAACAACACGTTTGTCTTTGCTATTCGCCAACACCCTAGCTCTTTGTGCAATGGGCCGCATTCATCGCTGACGCCAGCGTCCAACCCGGGGTGCGCTAGTCCCGTTCCTTTCGCGCGACCGTCCTCGGCCATGAGCATGAACGCATCGACCAGCGGCACCATGTCCAACCCAAGCTCAGCGAGCGGCACAGTGGCGGGCAAAAAGCCGGCGAAGCTGGCTATCCAGACACCAGGTGGCAAGATCCTTCGCCTCATGCGAAAGGAAGACCGCAGGGGCATCAGCGTTGGCAGCAAAGGCTTCAACATGGATGAGGAAGTGAGCGATGGTGGTACTTGGGAGACCATCATCAAGTGCTCTGAAAAGGGGACATGGCGAGGACTGGTCCTCGCAGATCGAACAGCAAGGTGGTGTGTTTTCGCAGAATGGACCTGTGTCGGCTGACCAGGTCACCGGAACGGAACCTGTTGGCGTTCCTTGCACATGTTAATGGCCATGATGAAGGATACTATCGCATATCGAGGCGTTTGGTTGATTATGGACAGGTTGGAGCATCGCAATGTGTATATACGTTTTTTTTTTCGTTGTTGGCATCTGGCGCTTCATGGCAGGAGAGAATGATATTTCCTTTAAAAAATTCAAAGAAAATGCTTCAAAGTGTGTGGTCTATCGTTGGTAGTGCAGACATCGTGGAGCACCGCCCTGCCAAGGACGATATTAATTAGTATCCGCGCGCATGGTCTCCGCGCACAGTGTCACACTGTAGCTCACACGTGCCCGCGACGACAGCCCATCCTCAATCGACCTCGCGTCGCCTGTAGGGAATTTACATCAAGAACAACCGCGCGTACTCAAGAGTCACAGTCATCCACCAGACGCGCTATGTGTATCTCTACAGCTATTTGAAGCCAGGCCGCGACCGCGCGACACGAAGCCTGCGCGACCGATGAACCTGCCGACATGAATCACGGCTCGAGGCCCCATGGGCAGCAGCAGCAGCAGTCCTACCCAGGACAACCTCAACAATACCCGCCGCAACAGCAGTACATGCAACAACAGTCGGGCGCCTACCAGCAACCCTTACCGCAACAGCCGTTCCAGCAGACATATCCGACGCAGCATGTACAGCAGCAGCAGTACCAGCAGCAACAGCAGCCGCCGTTGGAATATCCGAGCCAACAGCTACCGTTCAACTACAGCAACTTCCCTCAACAGCAGCCGTCGCCACATCAGCAAAATGCACAATGGAATCAATACAATGCAGCGGGTAGCTACCAGGCAGGGCAGACAGTACAGTTTGGGCAGCAGATGGCTGGCGCGCAGGGCTACATACCGCCAAATAATGTCTGGCAAGAACAGCAGCAGCAGCAACCACTTTATCAGTCTCCGCAACAGGGATTTTATCAAGGATCTTCGCCCCAGATGATGCAGCAGAATGCGATTCCCCAGGCGCAGCCTCAACCGCATGCGCAAAAACAGCCAGGCTACGCGCAACATCTTCAGCCGCCAAAACCGAGGACCACACCGTCGCCACAGGTTCAGCAGCGAACTATGCCATCACCTTCGATGCGCCAGGGCTATGCGCAACAACCACAGCAGCAACAGCCGCGATTGCAAGCGCGCCAACCCTTGACCGAGAATTACCAGCAACCGCATGCTTTACAGCCACAGGGCTCATCGCCATCCATGGTTCACCAGACCATGAAATCGCCTGCGCCCCAGCCGACTACTTCAAAGAAACCGCAGGTGATTCGTGTAGGAAATGGATACCAGCAATCGCAGTCGCCTGTATTAAATGAAGCGGCGCGTATCAAGCCGGCGCCCGTGCCACAGCAGGTGCAACCCAACAGAGCCCCTGCCCAGCCCAATGTGCAGTCACCGTCGCCTCACCAGGCACCACCTCACAAGTTCCTTTCACCAGGGCCTCAGTCTTTGCTGGCTTCGAACAATCATACTCCGGCGGCCAAGTCGCCGGCTGCTGTCGACACGGCGCAGTTTGTTAGTATGCACGACATACAAAGACTGCCTACACCACCAGCGGCGCGTGCGAATAAATTGCACACACCCAATCAAAGTCGCGACGCGATGCTCAAGGGCCATCCTGCCTTGACTGGGAGCGTGACGCCCAAGGCAAAACCCCAAAGCCCACGGAAGGCCAGCTTGCAATCGCCCGCAACACCGCTGGCGCAGCAGGGGAGCAGATCACCTGCGTCAAGTAACAAATTGCCGACACAGAGCACTACCCACATGATGATCAACATTGCAGAGGATTTGATCGACACAGCGCGCGATGCAGCTGCTGAGATTTCACGGACCATGAGTGAAGATCAGGTGGACGAATATCAAAAAATGATCAGCACGGCTCTGGGCTGTCTCGAAGCCGCCATGCAAAGTCAGAAGCTCTCTCCGCGTGAAGAGGCCCTCGTACGATTGCGCTACGCCGGTGTCATCCAGGAGGAAACTGAGGACATCATGGAGGCGGAAACGACTCTCACCAAGGGCATTACGCTTTGTGAAAAGGTGTGTGTCACGAATGCAGCACATGGAACGTTTGCAAATGACTAACATGTGCAGCATCGAATGCAAGATCTCAAGTACGCCATGCAGTACCTGTTGACGAAAGTGCTCTTCCAACGCAATCACAAAGCGGGCATCAAGGCGCTCGACCAGCACATTGTCGAATGCGACACGTCAGTATTTCCTGCGCCTGCCTGCACCATGTGCTAACAGTTGAAATAGGTATCGTCACTTCCACTGGGCCTATGCTTTCCGTCTATTGAAGCACTCATTCTATACCGAAACCGGCGGGTTTGGCGACAACGCAGCGTTGGACAACATACGGTCTGTGTACACGATGGCTTCCGAGAGGGGGGACGCGGCGGTGGCCGTGTACGCTTCGCTGTCCGAAGCGTTAATGCTCATCAAGACATGCAAGGGCCACTTCGAAGGGATCAGAACTTGCTTGGCCCAGGCTGCAAAGTACCAATTTGATCCCACAATCAAGATTCCACAGCTGGAGCTGCTGCATGTTCTGGTTGACTTTCTCGGCGGTCTACAGCGGGATCCGCCGGCCGAAACAAGCGCACGACTCCAGAGGCTGCAGGCGTGTAGCGATGCACATCAGAGCGCAGACGCACAGTTTTGGATCCCAATCAAGAAATCGCAATACGAGTCCACGACGATAAGTAAGGACACTGCAACGGTTGTGCGGCCCGGCGGTGCCGGAGAGACTTTTGACTTTCTGGCTATGGCGTACATCTCCGTCAACGACCTTGTCCTCGTCTCCCTCGTTATGGGTGGGACTTTCTACCTACACAAGTCGCTGTCCCAAAACACGGCGCTGGGCATGTGGGAACGGGCGCAAGGGATTCTACATCAGGCTGAGAAAATGCAGTCTAACAATACCCGAGCAAGGCCGGCCCCTTTGGGGCTCGCCGTCAAGGAGAGAGAGTGGCGGGAGCAAGTGCAGTGCTACTTGCATGTGCTCTTCAGTCTGCATCACATTAGCGAATGCAATTGGGGCCATGCGCGGGATTCCTTGGTTCTGGCCGAACAGGTACGAAGGAAATTGAAGCTCGACGGGTTAGCAAAGACATATTTGGTGTATGCCGAGGGCGCATATCACCAAGGCACGGGGTACTTCCAAGACGCGCTCGCTTGTTTCGTGAGTGACTGTCTATCTCTGCATGCCCAACCGAGCACCGACTCGCAGCGTCACCTGGCATCCCTGGCTGCGATGAATCGCTTGTGGATAATGCAGAGGCCAGAGTTCACCGACAATGAGATGACGAGCCGTCTCATGGACGAGGTAGACCCATTCTGCCTCAACCATCCCAACGCCGACCTGCGCGGTGTATGGATGGCGGTCAAGGCCTCTATCACCATGACGCCGCCGCGTCGAAACGACTCTCGCACGACGGAGGCCAAGGGCGCCATGACCCTGCTGGGACAGTCAAAGAGCCTCGGCAACTCGCTGGGACTCGCCATCGCTCTCAAGGTCACGCACACACTGCTGTTCAACACCGTTCTTGGCGACAAGGCTGTGTCGTGCCTCGAGGCTGCCAAGAAGTGGGCCGACTTCAGCAACAATCCTCTCTGGCAAAGTGTCGTCGCCGGCTCGTTTGTCGAGCTCGCAGAAAAGGGCAATGATCGGGAGAAATGGGTGAGGCACAACGCCGAGGGCGTAGAGGCGGCGCAGCGTGCTTTTCAAATGTCATAAGACTGGTGGCCAGGACGATGTCATCACCAAGCAAGTAATGTAGCATATAGCACTGGACGGCGTTTTCTGGACGACACAAATCATACAATGCTCTACTTTTGTAAAAAGATGGGACCATACTAGGAAGAAAAAAGGGGGCATGCATGTTTTGTACATCTTATATATCTGGTAATCAGACAACCGCGCGAGGACTCAAAACTACAAGTGTCTTCGATAAATCGCTCTGTCCATGCGCCCAAAGAACAATCCCAAAACGCCTCCCAATGCAATATGACATGTCCTCTCCGCCTTTTCTTGTACTACTATCTCCCCCCAAAGCCGGGCGGCGGCTGGAAGCCAGGAGGAGGCGCAAAACCTGGCGGTGGTGCACCAGGCATGCCAGGGGCACCACCAGGAGGCGGCGTGAACCCGGGAGGCGGCGTGAATCCGGGCGGCGGTGCCCCCGGGAAGCCCTGCGGCGGAGGGGCGGGCGAGCCACTCTGCGGCCTGTAGCCAGGATGGAAATCGGCCGGATTGGTGAAGCCCACAGGTTGTCCCTGGGGAGGCCTGGAGGGCAGACCGGCCGGTGCCGGTGGTAATGGTACCGCGCCGCGTCCTGGGACAGCGCCTGGCGGAGGAGGAGCGCCAGGGGCGTTTTGATAGGGCGATGGGCCACGTGGAGGCGCCGCGAAGCCGGCGGGTGCGCCGAGTGGTGGTGGGACGCCTGGAAAGCCAGGAGGCGGCACGCCACCTATGGCCGAGGGGTCGAATCCAACGGGGACGGGGGCCGGCGGCGCTGCCATGGGAGCTTGTGGGGGGTTGAGGAAACCTTGCGGCATGGGCTGGGCCTCGGGGACAATGTTGCGACTCTTGGCCTGGGCGGCCAGCTCGCGCTCGGCCTGGTCGCCGTGTCGCTCACCCCGGCCGTCCTTCTTGAAGGCGTACTGGACCGAGACCTCCTTGCTGAGGATGTACTGGCCGTGGAGGTTGGCGACGGCGGCGTCACTGCTCTCAAAGTCGCCAAAGCTGACAAAGCCAAAGCCCTTGCTGGCGCCGCTGTCCTCGCGCGCGACCTTGGGGAGGCTGAGGAGGGGGCCGAAGCGGCTAAAGGTGTCGTAGAGGATCTTCTCGTCGACCATGGGGTCGAGGTTGCCGATGAAGAGCTCGGCGCCGACGTCGGCCGTCTTCTGCTTGTCGGCGCTCGCCTTGTTGACGCGAAGGGACTTGCCGTAGAGCTTGACGCCGTTCATGACGGCGGCCGCGTACTCGGCGTCGGTGGGCGTGCGGAACTCGACGAAGCCGAAGCCCTGGTGGGATTGGGTGACGCGGTCGCGCGGCATGTGGATGTTGTGGATGGGGCCCATCTGGAGCATGATCTCGTAGATCATGGCGGGCGGCGCGCGCTCGTCAATGTTGCCAATGTAGACGGTCGCATCTTTGTCTTGCTCCCTACGGAATCGTCAGTCTCGCAACGCTTGTCTGGGATGAGGGAAGGGGACGCACCAATGGCGATTTTGCGCCATGACGACGAATGTGTTTGGTAGATATCAATGACCCAAGGGTGTGGTTATCGAGTCTCTTCTGGATGGATATTCGCGTGGATTGGGTTTGTCGCGTCGTTGTTGGAGAGCTTGGAACTTTTTGGTGGATGATGGCTGGCGGACAGATGCTGGATGGATTTTGCCGGGATTGAGCCGGCCCAGATCGTCGTCGCGCGAATCTTTCTGGCCTTTGATGGGCGTCTGGTACTTACTTGCCATCATCCAACATCCGCTACAGCTCGACTTACTTCGACGATACCTGCCCGTGCAGTCGACTCAAGGTCTTCCAGAATCAATACTTTATTCGACGAATACTTTCCAGCCCACCGTCACGATGTTCGCCCTTTCTGAGGAGACCAAGGTTCGCTCCTCGAGACGATGCCTTGACTCGAGACATTCTAACTCTTGGAACAGGAGCGCATTGCCAAGGTCATCGATATCTCGCGTGTCGCCATTCACTAGTATGTTTTATTCAGCACCAGGCTCTGCGCATTCGCTAACCATCGCATAGTGGTTACCTGCCCCTAGTCCTCTATCTCGGTACGACCACGACCATCAACCGCACGACCAGCGCCGCATAGATCTAACATTGGCACAGGCTACACCCGCAGCAACCCTCGTCCTTCAGTCATTCGGTATGTTGCAACCCAAGACGGAGCTTCTTGGAAATGCCAGGGCTAACAGTACGCAGCCTCTTGTCCCCTCTCTCTTAAGCGACGAAAACGCCACGATTCACCATTACCCAAACAGCCACTGTTACAAAATGTACAATATGGAAGGAATAGACGGAGAAAACGAGGTCCCACCAGCATTTCTGGCGTTTGGAAGCTGATGCACGGACGGGTGTCGAGAAGGATGCGGTCACCACCACCGCCATCACCACATGTAATAACTGTCAAGGAAATGTACAAAACTATGACGACTCCCAATGAAGGCTTATTTGCGGATGGTTGCAATTTCTGGTCCAACTATTTGCTAGATAAGCGCTCTAACGCATATTAATTACTGACCCCCAAGTCATCTCAATCGGCTGTCAAATGTGACGTGCTCCCCTGACCTGACAAGGCACTAAAAATTTCCCCCAACGTCGCACGCAGCCCACCTCACATGATTCCTCCGCGTCGCAAACGCGTCTTCCATTCTGCTCCTCTACCTCTGTTGAACATGTAAATGACCTTTCGTACTCGGCTCGCATGCCCTCTCCCTCTCATCACCATGGCGGCCTCTCGCCCGCTGTCGTCGAGTCCATTGCCGGCCTGTCAGCCGGCGCCGTCTCGACCTTAGTCGTGCATCCGCTCGACATTGTCAAGACGCGCATGCAGAGTACGTCTCCCCCGACCACTGCGCCTGTTGCAGCAGCAGCAGCAAGAAGAACGATCTGACACTTGGAACAGTCAGCCGCAGCGCAGGTCCTACCGAACGCATCAGCATGCTCGCCATGGTCCGCAGCATCACATCCTCCGGCAACCCTCTCCTCGCCTCTCTCTACCGCGGTCTGACGCCCAATCTCGTCGGCAACGCTACATCATGGGCGTCCTTCTTCTTCTTCAAATCGCGCGTCGAGACGGCCCTGTCGACATTCCGCCCGCCGGGCAGCAAGCCGAGCGTGGGGGAGTACCTGCTCGCACCCGCGCTGGCCGGGGCCGCCACGACCGCGCTGACGAATCCCGTGTGGGTGATCAAGACGAGGATGCTGAGCAGCGACAAGGGCGCCGAGGGCGCCTACCCAAGCATGAGCGCGGGCATCCGGACAATATGGCAGAGGGAGGGCGTCAAGGGGTTCTATCGAGGACTGGGTGTCTCGCTCATTGGGGTGTCGCATGGAGCGGTGCAGTTCGCCGTCTACGAACCCGCGAAACGGCTGTATGCCACGGCGCAGCTGGCGGAGGGGGAGAGGATGCCGACAGAGGTCACCATGTTCCTCTCCTCGGCGGCCAAGCTCGTCGCCGGCGCAGTGACGTACCCCTATCAGGTCCTCCGGTCCCGACTACAGAACTATCAGGCTGAGGAGCGGTTTGGGAAAGGCTTCCGAGGCGTGGTCAGGAAGACCTGGCGGGAGGAAGGCGTGAGGGGCTTCTACAGGGGCTTGGTACCGGGCGTGGTGAGAGTCATGCCGGCGACGTGGGTGACGTTTCTGGTCTACGAGAATGTCAAGCACTATCTACCGAGGTGGATAGATGGTTGATCACATGGAAGGGGAAAGCATGAGCGGGGCGTTATTTTGCTCTTGGAACTGCATATAGATGGTTTTGCATATATGAATATGATAGAAAGCATTGTGCTGCCTCTTCGCAAGCTACGTTGTAAAAGGGGTTGTCTTTTGGCGCAGCATGTCGATATCTAGGGACTGCCAAGTGTGATTGCATGTGACCTGTCTACTGAGGTCACTACGTATGTAGATATTACTACGGCATGTGACAAAGCGAGATGCGTTTGCTTGAGTTCTTGGCCTTCCAGAAAAGGGGCTGCTGGCTATTGCGAGGCAACAACGTCCAGTACAGGTGCGTGACAGCAAATGTCATTTACGACACAGCACGTTGATACTGTATCAAATTGAATGCTATATAACAGTTTATCATTCATCTTCGAGTGTCTTAATAATGGAGGTTGCGCGACCCCCACGACAGATAAGATACGTCCCCTCATCCGCCATTGCTGGACACAGAGTCGTGCAGTCTTGATCTCACAGCCCTATACAGTCAGAGTCGCGACTGGTTCACCATAATGGATACCGTGGATGATACATGACAGGAGAGCGGGGAGGTTGTGCATCGGAAAGTGACGAGGAAGTGAGTGTGCTTCCAGATGCTGCAAAAATCAATCTGGTGGTCGTGAACTGAATCTGCCGCCCTCTGTGCAGAGTCCAGACACACCATCGCCTCCTCCGGCAGCACACTCAACTTGCAACGTAGACAACCACACGTAAATACCTTACACATCGTTGTTCTCTCGTCGAAAATCTGACATGTCCTCTGGCGGCCCCCGTGAACGACCACGTTCTTCGATTTAAGCGACGTTTCCTGCAGATCATGCATCTCAGGGGGGCATGGGAGGGGGCGTGCGCCTCGACACAGGCAGTGGATTGTGGTCACGTTCCCTGCACACAGCGCCAGAAGCTTCTTGCTGACGCGCATCTGAGGCAGGATTAATTATGATTATTGAGCTGGGCGGCTTGGGAGGTGGGGAGGAGACAGGCGCGTGTAGGTAGAAAGTGACAGGTCACGTACATACAGGGAGGCTCATCCGCGAGGGCCCCAACGCGCCACAAGAGAAGAGGAGTCGAGCGCCTCAGGCCAGGTCAGGCTCGTCAAATAGGCGCACAAATGCGCTGCTCGTCTCGCGGCCCTGTCCCAGTGATGCTGGGGGATCTTCAGTCGGGTGGACCGTGGACCAGAGCTGAAGTCTGAAGAGATGACCCATTGGGATTATAATAGATCTCGGATATAGCTGGTGCCCACGAGCGAGGGCCAGCTACGACGACGCCCCTACGTAGCCATCGACTCATCGCTTCCCAAGACGCGCACACTGCAGTCCCCTTTGGCTCTGAGCCCTCCTTGGCTGATGGGTTCCCATTGCGCCTCAGCCCTCATGAGGCGGCGGTCCGCCCTCGTCATATCAGCCTGGCGGAGCTGATGAGATGCCGGGACGTCGCATGCCCGACATGATCAAGTGCCATTCCGGGAGTCTCGTGCGAAAAATATAGGTTGCCGGCGGTGCTCACCACATGTCAGGCGGGTGACAGGTAACCTACATGTCCTGATCAACCGCTTCAAGCAATCGGCACCAGCGGAGAGGAGATCTCGTCTCGCGGAGAATGGCCAGGCCTCTGCTTGTTCCTGCATGTCGGCAGTTGATCGCAGCCATCACCGGCGGATGACTGGAGAAGGTATCATCCGTGAAAGTCTTGCCGACGAGTTTCCCGCTTGCAACCGTGTTGATGCACAGGTCTTGTCCCCCTCTCGGCAATCCTTGGCGATATGAGCGATTGTGATGACCGACTGAAGCGTGCGCACAAGTCTATCAAGTTATCCGGGCTCTGCGCAATGGCTAGGCCTTTCAGTTGCGCTGGCTGAGCCATAGGGGACGGCTTGGACAGAAGATGGCGAGCGCCGACGGTTGAAGTCAAGTCACCTCACCTCGTTGCCGTCTAGTGAATAGTATTAGTGACGTACTGCAATATAGGTCAAGACCAAGACATGACACATATTATGGTGAAGCCGTCTTGCTCTTCGATCGCTGCGCGCCACAGATTCGAGCCACATCGGGTTGAATACAACCATGCTGCGCCCCAAGTGGACGACGAACCGTCAACCATTCTCGACAGACATTGATGTTTGACTGAGACGCACCTTTGACGTTACAGGCTGCCCCGCGGTTTCGAACAAGTTTAGAAGTATCGGGTGATCGCCCAGGTTGGCAGGGCTGGGAGTGATTTGTGACAGATGGTCAGCATGTCCATTTGCAGTAATCCTTTGCGATCTTTGCAGAAAAAAGGCACGCCCTCTCGGCCAACAAAACTGATAATGTGCGCAGGGCAACAAATGGATACCGTCTAGGCCCGTCAATATGCGTACGTACTTGTACAGTACTAGGTAGCAAGCTCTTGGGGCGGCCAGCTTCAGCTGTCACGAGACATATGCGGACGCTCAGGCGCGGCAGCTCTAGCCATACGCATAGCGCTTGCCGCGCGGAGGGGGCAGGGGATGCATGTTACCTGAGGAACCCCCGAGCTTGAATCCCGAGGGCTTCGAGTCCAGTATGTCGTTGGTGTGTTGAGAGACGTTGCATCGGCGTCAGGAAACACGGCCAATGCAGGTTTCTCGAGGATAGAGTAATCATCGCGCCTCAGCCGTGCAGGGCTCAATGTTGGTTGCTCTCATCCGTGCGATGGGTGGCTCAAGCGAGACCATGAAATGCGGGAGGGAGCAGGTGCATATATCGATGTTTGTCATGCGGTGGTGCCGGGTATGTCGTTCTGTCTGATGGCAGTATCGGTCATGCTGAGCACCAGTACTGCTACTTGGTCTTGTAAGATACTCATGGAATACTAAGACGAGTCTCACTGGGGGAGTAAACATGGTCATCAATAGCAAGCCCAGTCGTGAGCGACCCTCTGCGAGCACGAGACGGAGCATGACTTGCAGTAGCTGCCGCGCCGCCGAGGGACGTGCACTCCTCCCTTGGCCCGATTAAGTTGTGATTACTGAGACAAGTTCTTGCCAGGACTGGAGTCCAGGACCCTGTGATGCATAGCTGATGACGAGCGGGCCAGTTAGTTGCGGGACCGCTGGCGTGATTATTGTCATCATCAACAAATGTCTGAGAGCCAGGCACCAACCTCCAGTGAGCGGCTCCCAGCCGGCAGAGAGAATAGCCGTTGACTATTAATTAATTACTTTGCGTATCCGCAGCGGGCTGGACCCGCTGGACCCAACTGGTAGGCATGACTCTACTTAGGTAGTCTAGCGCCTGATGGGGGCGGCACGGCTCTGTCGCTGGTGCTCCCCGGCCCGTCTCAGCGCGGCTGATCAACCTGATCTCGCATCCCCAATGTCCTCCGTACACCATACATGCACATGTAGCTGAACCGATCTGGCGGGAAGCCCTCTACCGACCAGCGACGCAAGGCAGGCCAGTAATTAGTGGTATAGTCTAGCCAAACGCGGGTGATGATGGTGTTGTGGTCCAAGGCCTGTGGACGCCTTCCAGGTTCGCGGTTATTCTCATCAAAAATGGGTGTACCTAGTTCTGGACTCTGCCTGCCTGCCGGTGCCACGCAACACTGAATAACCGACCACTCCTCTCACGACAACGCAAAGCCCGGGGCTGAAAATATTTCTTCCTGTGTCTGCTGCTGCTGGCACTTCGCAAGCCTGATCGATGCACAGTCCTCACTCATTAGACTCCATGATTCGTGCACAGACAGACAGAAAGACAGTGAAAATCCAGCGGGACGGCTCGTCGTCACTATAGTCTATCCGTCCGATCGGCTCGCGACGGCGCCGGGCGGGATCTCCACGCTTGTACGTGACAGTGCTAGGCTGGTAATATACAAGCAACTCTCCACAAACTCAGCATCTCCAGTCGTCGACTCGTCGCCGACTGCTCATGATGAGCCGGGCCCCCTCCTCCCCTCTTCCCTCCCAAGCGATGCGATGGAGGGGCAGACTGCAGGATCTCATCCTCTCTGGCGGTACTCCGTAGCTAGATGACGCTAATGAAGATCGGGCGTCATCAAGGCTTCCCACTCTCAAGTTGGCCTAATGGCCGCATGAACGACTCGAACTCCTTGCGTGTGATCGAATCATGTACCGAACATGAAGACGTTCTGCCAGGATCCAACGCGCGCAGCATGTTTCGTTGGTACTGGCCGTCCAATGTTGATGAGCATGCGTGGAGCGCGATGCCCTCGTCAGACAAGATGTCATAGAGTCTGTCCTTGAAATGTTCATCTCATCGCAGCGATGTTGTCGCTGGCCGTCTGAAACAAACCACCATGAAAACCATCACACTGACACACTCCATGTCGTTGTGGGGACGAGGGACGGACGGACGGACGGGGATTGGGGCCGGGGCCGGGATCAGGGCTCAAGCAAGAGACACCGTTGCAGCCGAACATTTTCGGCCTGGCCCTCGCCAGATTCGGATTGGCTGGCATGGCAGGTGAAGGCGAGGGAAGAGACAACATCTCGTCTCGTGCGGGACTACGTGGTACATGCCTACCCTATCGCATGTGGAATTGGTTGCGAAACGATCCTCTTGTTGCCGTGGCCTCAATTTGCTGGCTCGCGAATGATGGGTTGAAGGAGAGTTAGTTGAACCTACAATTTAGTAATAGTGCAACTGTTGTGTATGTTCGTCGTTCGAGAATGTCTGTTGTGGTGATCGCGCCTTGGGTAATGCGAGGTATCTGAACCGGATTTGCAGAACGTTGCGCGATGGCGCGCAACCTCAAGCATTACAGGAATTCCAAGTACAAGTGGAATCGCACAGCTGTGCACCCAGCTTCGGGCAAAGGTGGAGCGTAAGGCTGGGTTTGGTCGAGGTCAAGGACAGGACTTGAGATGGCCTACTCTCGCCGTGATCTCCGTGTGGTTGGCGATGGGCACCAGACACAAGTACGCCACTACGGGTAATTAGGTAAGGTACGTACATATTGTTGAACGTCGCCGACCTCAAGCAAAGCCCCCCCCTCCCCTGGTGGCTGGAACCGTTGCGGGCTCTTCCGCCCCAAGGTAAGCTAACACCCCCTCCTATTCCCAGGCATTGGTAAAGACAAGGTGCTATTGCCGAGGGGCCTGCATGCTGTAAAATTAAGCGTTCTTTCCTCATCTCTGGATGCGCGGCAACATGATCTGCGGGCGAGATCTCAACGATTACTATACATCGAGGCATGCGCATCATCCGCTGCGCGATCTCGAGGTTGGTACTCCGTAGAGCGAGTCGACCTGGCCAATCTGATGCAATTCAGCCTGCCGCTTGTCTCATCGCATCTGTGACTGATGCTCGCCCCGTCACCTCGCTGGTACATAGAAGTGGCAATGGCATAATGGCCTCTCGTTGCCGCAGCCTCACCCACGAGCGAGGATCAAGGCTTCCGCCAGCGGAGGCTATCGCCGCGCCTTGAGGCCGCTGCAGGCTGCAGCCAGGGACGGACGGACTGATCTGATGGGTGATCGCCGTACCCGTCCAAATCGGTTGGCGGCCTTGAGCTGAGGCTTGCAGGGGCATGGTTCATGGGCATGGAGTTGTGGATGGAGCTTTGCAGAGCTAATAAATCAGCCAGCAGGGGTGGGGGGGCTGGCCTGGAGGGGGGACTGGACGTGGTGGGGGGCTTTGGCTGCCAGGCTATCGTGGGATGTCAGGATGCCAGCCAGGACAGACTGGAGGTAATTAATTAGCAAAGAGCATGTGCTCGTCAGCTCAAGCCTCAACTACCTACCTACCTTCGGGATGGACGAAACCGAGATTGCGTTGGATGCGCGTCTGTTGGGCAACAAGGCATGGGACCGTGTTTATACGTAATCGCGGATGCTGCAGTTCAGTTCATCCAAGGGCCTTGTGCCATGGGGACGCAGAAGCTCTCCCTTGAAGCTTGGCCATGTGCATCCATCTGTCCTGGTGTAGCGTTGATGAGCAACGTCCGTGGTTCAGCATCGAGGTCAATCCCTCCTCACTAGATGCTACCCATACTAGATAGATAGAAACATTGCAAGAGAATCGTGCGTCCTATCCATTGCACTCGTTGTCACAGCTATTCTGGTGTCTTCCCTAATTAGTCTACAGCTTAATTACTACCAAACACTTCCCCACGGACAGTCAGTCCCCTCTGTGCAAATCCGACCGACCTTGCGAGATTCACCATCCACCCCGGTCGTCAGGAACGGGTGCCCGGTTTTTGATTATCATTCTTCAGAGATTTGATGCCACTCTCTGTCTTTCAGTTGCGTAAGGTACCTGACCTGCTTGCATGGCCCCGCGGCATCGGGGCCCCCCCTGGCTTCAAGGTTGTTATGCAGGCTCCAGTCGCATCCACCGGCAAGAGCGCTCGGACACACCCTTGCACAGATCACATCTTGCTGGCCTGGCCCTGTCCCACACACCCACGCCCACGCCCACGCCCACCCACATACACTTTCTGATCGCCTGTCAACGGCACTGCAAGCACGTCGTATCCTGTTATGCTCTCATGACGCCTCGTGCTGCCTGCCCAAATACGCAACGGCCGCAAGCATCTTTGATGCCATCGGACACCCAGGTCAGGGACCGGACTCACCCACCAAAGCCCGATGCCCCAAGAACGTTGAGGCGGGCAGAGACCGCTCTGATATCGCACACATTGCCGCGTATATACCCAGGGCCAACTGTGCTGTACAACGATGTGGCGCCGCACGCTAATTCTTGCCGGCCGGGTGCCGTCTGAGTCTCAATGAAGCTCCTCCAGTCTCTGGGCGCCGTTCCAGATTCCCCGTTGTCTCACAAGCCACGGGTGCCATACGGGAGCTACAATGAACTACCGAACATGGCCAGATTCTTCCATCAACCAACCCTACAGCCACAGTCACCTCGCCATGGCCCCCGGGTGCTTGTGCGCTTGAGTCACGGTGGGGGTGCGATCACACTCCCTACCAAGAGAGATACTTGCTGGTGGAGCTAGCCTGCGTATCGTCTCGCTCAGGGATATCGTCTCTTCAAAAGCCCTGCCGCTCATGTTAATGTGTGATCCTGGAACCCCGGTCGATCTGATGCGCGCACCCTGCTCATCAGATCTCCCGCTCTGGGCTCCATACGACCGCTAGTCTAGTGGGATATATATTCCTCTTCCCTCCTCCGTCTTACACGCTCCGTACTCCGAAGACCACATTCCAGCTCGATCAAGAAACACACTCCACTCTCTGACTGAGTCTTTCTTCTCTCCTGAGTCTCAAGTCCCTCCGTGTCTTCATCGACAATGTCACGGCCAGTCCCCTTCACCACCAGTCCCTCATGGGGACCATGGCAACCACAGTTTGACGAGCAACTGGTAATGCGAGCCGCCTGCATGTACTACAACACTCCTCCCAGCTCTTCGATACTAGCTGCTCCAGCTGGGGCCATGCCGTACATGATTGCCGCCCCGTACAACCCCGGGATGCACTATCAGAACACAAACTACATGCAACAAACGCCCATGCCGACCACCTACCACCAGCAACACCACCAGGACACCAACGCCCTCTACGTGAAAAGGGAGTTTACTCAAGACTTCAGTGATGATCACACGAGGTTCATCATGGCACCCAGCAGCAGCAGCAGTCGGGGATCGAGCTCTCTGCCCGAGCCCGAGTTTTGCTCGAACCCATATGACGCCACGCGCGAGATGAGGCCAGCCAAGACGATTCTCCCCAACGAGTCAGTTTGTGATACGGAAAAGGTCCAGTTCGACACGCCCATCGACAACTTCCTGCGCAAGATTGACTCGCTCAACGTCAGCCTGCCCGGAACACAGACCGCCACCAGTCCCCAGTCATCGGTTCCATCATCGCCGGCCACCTCGCTTACCCGCTCGCCCACTTCCATCATGACTAGTCCGCCCTCGACGCCAGGTACAGCAGTTGACGACGTCTTCGCCTTGCCCGGGACCAAGCCTTCCAAGCTGAAGAAACATGTCTGCCAGTTCTGCCCCAAGGCCTTCAGCCAGAAAGCCCACCTCAAGCAGCACGAATACACCCATACCGGGGAGAAGCAGTGGAAATGTCCTTATGAAGGCTGCGACTACGCCAATGCACAGAAGGCCAACTTTAACGTAAGCACCTACCCACAGACCTTGATTCTAGCAGTTACTGACTCTCCATGCAGACGCACATGAACCGCCACAACGGCGTCAAGCCCCACGAGTGCCTCAAGTGTGGGAAGCGCTTCACCCAAAAGGGTGACTTGCGGAATCACGACAACACGGTGCATCTAAAGATGAGGCCCTTTGTCTGCCGAATGCCCTCTGTCGAGAAGGAAGGCCACACGTGTCACAAGAGCTTTGCCACGCGCGGTAATCTGAAGGTATGAAATTGATCCCGTGCTTTTTCGATATATATAGTTGACTGACCACGGCTTCAGACCCATCTCAACAAATTCCACTCCGAAGATACACAGCGCCTGCAGGACTCCTGCATGGACCTGCTGGAGAACAAGACGTCGTCACAGGAGATGCCCTGGCTGGTCCAGTGGTTCTTGGTGACGTTTCAAAACTCCAACAAAGGCGTCAAGGGTCGAGGCAAGGGCCGGAGGGTTGCTCCTCGACCTGAGCCCCTGCCTGTCAGGGCTTGACCTCCATGAACAATAATTACGCCCTATTAGGGACACTTACGAAAGGACCCCATCGTTTTCTGCATTTCTGCTTGTCAACCAAAAAGGGGGTACTCAAAATGGTGGATGCGTCGTCGAATTTGGGAGTATATTCTCATTTCTGCCCTTGTTGAGCGTTTGTTTGTTTAATTATACATGTCGCGCAGACTGGGGTCTTGGCATGGACAGCACCGCTCGAGATTAACAGATCTCATGGGAGGGTAACGGAGTCTTTGAGAATTCGGGGAGGGTTTTTGTGCATTTTGTGCGAAAGATACCAGTTGGCTATTTGATTTTTACGAGCCTGAGCAGATTCTGTTCTTGTCCTAGAGACGACGATTGCGCGATATCCAGTAATGCCATCTTATTATACAACGATTGTCTGTTGCCTTACACCTGCTACGTATCATGAACGGTTCAATCTCTTAGGTGGATGTACAGATCCGAAACTCGGTGACAAGTAATTATTAGATAGCATCGACCAACAGTCAAGCGCGGCTCAAGGCGAATCGGCTGGACATACATGGTTCCTTCTCATCCACACCCCTCACTGCCTACGTACTTCCAACTTCCCTGCTTGCTTGCTTGTTTGCCAGCTCGTTTGCTTGAAGTGCTGCTGGTTGCTCGCCTGATTGCAGATGCATTAATCCAACTGAGCTCTGTTGGCTGTCGCCCGCGTCGATATGATACCAGGGCTGGGCCCTGCGAAACGGTGCAAACAATTGTGACAGATCGCCATCCAACGACAGCCCGAATTGCGCCTCTGAATAGATGGGAAATTGGAGTTTCGGCATGGCCCGTCTTGACAGGGATCGCATGAGCAGCGATGAGATCCCCGCCCGCTCCGTGAATGATGATCAATAATTGGTCCCTGACTGGGGAAGAGATGTGCCCGCTTCGCCGACCAAATCATGTACGTACGTAAGTACGTTTGTATAATACCACCTACAGTGCAGTGTCATCTCTCCCCCATCTCGTCTCGTCGAAGCCAAGGCGCAGATGTGACAACTCTGGGTACCATTAATTACGTACGTAGTCTACGCAGTAGGCGCGGGTTGTTATCACTCCTCATGAAATTGATGCGTGTGATTAGATCGAAAAGTGGCTCCCCTTGTATGCATGCAGGTTTGATCCATCCAAGCTTGGTTGGCCAGCAATGATTGCCTGGCCAGTCGGCCGCTGGAGTCTAGACGGTGAGGGAGGGACGCAAGCGCGAGACAAACAGCGAGACCCAGTTTGTACGTGGATTCAGGTCCATTACGTCTGGATGAGCTATGATGATGGACAGGAGCATATGTCTGTCTCAGCGCCCAGCTCCATCGAAGCTCTTCCCCGGGGGGCTAGTAGCCGACGAGACACTCAACCAGGAGGGACCTAGCTACGTAGAATTGACGAGCTTCGCCCCATCGTGGCACAGTCACGTCGATGGTGATTGTGGGCAAGGAACCACCAACTCTGCCATGCCGGCACGCCTTGCAAAGGAACAATGATATGGCATCGTGTCAATACTCAATAGCCCGTCGGTACACGATGGCGGCGCAGCTGGCTGCTGGCCAGCAAGGATAGCCCTGTGTAGATGAAGGTATATTCACACACATCCACGCGGTGGGGCTTCTGCCCCGTCTCGAATTGCTCCTCCTCGCCCAATCTGTATGTACGACTGGAATGCTATGCCTTGTCTCCAGTGACCGACTTGGCCTGAGCCGCGCGCTCGCGCAGCGTGCCTACTTGTACGTACTTCCGTACATTGTCGCGTGCAGAGCTGAGAAGTGACAGGCCTGGGTAATTGGGCATGGCTGCGGCTGAGCTGGTGGGTGGTGGTGTGGCGCGGGGGACCCTGGCGACCACTCAGCACAGCGAGACTGGGAGGTCAGGGTCTGAAACCCTTCGATTTCAGACAAGATGGCAGCGGCGGGCAGGAGAGTGTCTTGCTTGGGATTGGGAGTTGGCGTTGGACTGGCCCCCATGGTCATGTTGGCTCCAGTTGCTAGCTAGCCTCCATGGAGCGTGGAAACAAAGAGCACGTTGTCGCCCGACTGCAGCTCGTAGGCCTCCTCGCCTTCGAGCTCCCAGTCTGCGTCGTTGATGAGGACGAGGATCCCCGGTCGACTGTGGCAAGACATTAGCTACGTGTCCGTCCATGTACCGCCGGTGTGCGCGTGCGCGTGCTGCGACGACGATGCCGTCTCATGCACCTGTCCACAGAGGTCGAGGTCGAGGCGCCAGCGGTGTCTCTGCCGTGGGTTTGTGGTCAACGTACAGGTGTCCGTCTAGGACAAACAGGTCCTTGCGTGCGTCCCCCATCTCCTCTTCACAGAGGTAGTCTACCAGGTAGGCGATGGTGGCGGGCTTGTTGTCCTTGTCTGTGGCTGGGACATTCAGGGTGAGACGCTGCTTGTCGGCGAAGAGCATTTCCAGACCGCCACTGTAGACAGTCAGCCAAAGATCCCGTCAAAAAGCTTGCTTGTCTGAGGCAGTAGTGCCCACCACAGACAGATTGTGTAACGACGATTGTGGTGGTTGGACTGCAGGCGATGGAGACCACTCACGAGAATTCCACCACGACGGGGATAGCGGCTGAAGTCATCGCTTCGCCCATGATGAAGTTGATTTCCAAAGGGCTATGTGGGGTAGCGGCGAATGTTGGTACCGCAAAGTTGTGAGTATGTAGTGATGTGACAATGTGTTGATCATCCTCGTGAAAATCACAGCGAGGGGCTTCCGCTGAGGTGCCTGCTTTCGGCGTTAAGCCCCGCCACGTTAACGCCGCTGAAACCGCAAAACTCATCCAACTTGGACGAGCCTCGCGCGAGCCAATCACCGTCATCGAAAATGTGATATCCAGGCTTCACTTTTACACAATCCTGAGCTATCAAGCAGACACACAGGCTGGCCACGGAGAGCATGTCACCTAATGCGATCGCGACAGAGTACTTGTCGACGGGATCGAACAGACAGACCGCTGTGGCCGATTGGAGCCAGAGAGGCATCGTCGCATTTGGAGCGGACAGCAATGTTGCCATCTGGGAGCCTGCGGTGAGCTCTTCTTGCTCTTCATGTCGAGAGCTCGTGCTGACAGTACTTAGGCGGAGCCCCCTCGTGGCATCACGGCTTTGTTGAGCGGCCACAAGGATGTGGTCAAGGCTGTGGCATTCTTGCCTTCCAGCGAGGCCGACACCCACGACTACCTCATCACTGGGTCGGACGACAAGACACTGATTGTCCGGAGAGCTCAAGCTGGCTCTCATAGCTTTGAGACCGTCACCACAGTATCGGATCACCAAGGCCCCATCAACTGCATCGCACCATACAGCCTACCAGGCACTGAGCCGCGATGGTTGATCGCCACCGGGAGCGCAGACGCGACTATCAAAATATGGATCTCACGAGATGGACAGTTGACGCTTCTCCAGTCTATCAAGACGATGCCCAAGTTTTTCCCACTGTCCCTCGCCATCAGCCCGCTTGACGCAGAAGGGAATCTGTTCGTTCTCGCGGCAGCTGGGACCAGGGACTCTATTCAGATACTGACAGCCACGGACGTGCGCAGCGGCATTGAAAGCGGGAGCGTCAACTTTGAAGTCCAGGCGAAGCTGTCAGGTCATGAGAGCTGGATCCGATCCCTGAGCTTTGTTCGCGAAACCTCCGCCCCGGAGAGCGATCTTCTGCTCGCGTCGGCCAGTCAAGACAAGTACATTCGCATTTGGCGCGTGCACCAGGGCAAAGAACTACCCGCCCTCGCCACGGAAAGCAACGATCCCCTGAGCGGTGCCTACCTCCCCGGGAAATCCCCTTCCAACAAGGCACATATGCTGAAAGCCGCTGGACTGGACTACTCCATCACCTTTGACGCTTTGTTGCTGGGCCACGAAGACTGGATCTACAGTGCCAAGTGGCATGCCCACGCTGATGGCAAGCTACAGCTCTTGTCGACGTCGGCGGACAACTCACTCGCCATCTGGGAAGCAGATCCAGGTTCCGGCATATGGGTCAGCATGGTGAGGCTGGGCGAGATTAGTAGGGAAAAGGGCGCTACCACAGCCACGGGCAGTACGGGTGGTTTCTGGACGGGGTTGTGGTCTCCCGATGGTCAGTCTGTCGCCTGTCTGGGGCGAACAGGCAGCTGGAGGCGATGGCAATGGCAGCCCGACAGCGACCTTTGGAAAGCTTGTGTTCCCGTCACTGGCCACACAAAGGCTGTCACAGGCATTGCATGGTCGGGGAATGGTGACTATCTGCTGTCAACTAGCTTGGATCAAACGACTCGACTGCACACCAAATGGACGGCCAATGGTCACAACACGTGGCACGAAATGTCGAGACCTCAGATCCACGGCTATGATCTGAACTGCATTGACGCCTTGGGGGCGTCGCAGTTTGTTTCGGGAGCCGACGAGAAGCTTATGCGCGTCTTCAGCGAACCCAAAGCGGTGGCGTCCATGCTCCATCGCCTTGGCGGAATCGGTGAGGAGAATGTCGAGCACATGCCTGACGCCGCCAACATCCCTGTCCTCGGGCTATCCAACAAGGCCATCGACATGGTAGAGGACGACGAGGAGATAGCAGCCGTCGATGACCGCGACAGGGAAGCCATCGATCCGGCCTCCATCGTCAAGAGGTCCTATCTAGACATTGACCACCCGCCACACGAGGAGACGCTTTCGCGCCATACCCTCTGGCCCGAGACCGAGAAGCTCTACGGCCATGGGTACGAGATCTCGTGTCTTGCGGCCAGCCACGACGGCAAGATCGTCGCTAGTGCCTGCAAAGCCAGCTCCATCAACCATGCTGTCATTCGTCTCTTTGAGACTGACAAGTGGACGGAAGTCCGTCCGCCCCTGACAGCACACACGCTCACAGCCACGAGAATCCGCTTCTCACTCGACGACAAGTATATCCTGAGCGTAGGTCGGGATCGACAGTGGGCTGTCTTTGGGCGCAGTCCAGACGATCCCTTGCAATATGCATTGCTGCAGGCGAATCCCAAGGGCCATACGAGAATGATCCTGGACGCAGCGTGGGCGCCAAACGAGAAACCCCTGTTTGCCACGGCGGGCAGGGACAAGCAGGTCCGGTTGTGGCACAGCCAAGCGGACGAGGCTGGGAAGCTGAGCTTTGCGCAATTGGCATCGATCCCGACAGGTGAACCGGTCACGGCAGTTGACTTTCTGCCCAGGGTTGTCGGTGGGAAGTGCGTATTGGCCGTCGGTACGGAGAGTGGCCAGCTGAGTCTTCACAACATCGATGAGGCTTCGGGAGAGGTGGTGAACCTGCCAAGACTGGAAGAGTAAGCTCAACTTGTCCCCCTCGTGGTGTATACAAACTAACACGGTGCCCCAGACTACAGATACCAAAGACAGTGCTGCAACTTTCCTGGCGGCCTGGCACTGATGCCGACAAGGCAGAGCTCGCAATAGCAGGAGATGATAGTTCACTGAGGCTGTTTTCCCTATCGGAGGCATATCTCAGGGGAAGTAGTCCGTAGCGGATTTGAAAACAATGAAGTAGTCAAGCCCATCCATGGCAAGCCCTGTGCCAGTGTAGACCTCTCAACCATGGTATTTCTACATGCCGGTATGCTTTTTGGAAAAATCAAGGCGCAAAAATATGCTTTGTATCATGAATCCGTCGGTTTAGAATCGTCCTCCTGTATTATCATTATTGCCAGGTAGTTTCCTAGCGAGTCTATGTCTGGTTTCGAAACAAGTGCCAGCCCAAACGCCGTGTTGCATGCACCAAGCCCGCGGTGATCTCGCAGACCATGTCATCTGCATGCATACTATGCTCCAACACCATTGAATCCACTCACGCTTCCCTAGTCTCCCCCCAACGACGGCCTTCATAGCTCCCTGAGCAGTTCTTCCCCGGCAGTGGTCAGGACCTCGGATCCGGTTGTCTCGGGTTGTAGCACGCTGGACGACATCTCCTTGACCACTTCCCCGACGTCAATCTGCTCGCCATTGATGTAGTACCAGGCCCGGCCGACGAGGAAGGAAATGTGATGCGGTAGGTAAAGGATAATGGCGATAAACGTGAGGGCCGTTAGGAGGAAGAAGATGCTGTCTGTTGCGTTGTTAGCCAGTGATCCAGAGACGGATATAGGGGTAGACCAAAACATACAAAAGGCAAACTTCTCGCCCGGCGTCATCATATAGACAGCAAAGGAGAGTTCAAAATGGTGCTTCTTGCGCTGGAGCCATTTCTGCCAGCAGGCGAATTGGGACATTGCGCAGATCGGGTGGGCGCTGACGCCAAAGTCTCGTACTATGTGTCGTTTGGACTGCTCGCCTTCGAGTGGCACTTTGTCTTTCTAGGTTTGCGTTGCGCGATGAGAGTAGGTGAGGCGTTGATCGGTTCTAGGGAATGGTTGCAAAGTCGAAGTCGCGAGATGCCGTCTCCTGAAACGGAATTGGTGGTTGTCATGTCCGCCCGAGTGTCCGCAGTGGGACGACTCAATCCTGACCTACCCTACGGAAGAAACCGACAGAGGGGTGCACGCGCATGTATCTCGCAGGCACGAGTAGCTCGAATCAATCAATGTATTTTACCAATAGATGCCGAGTCAGCGCTTCATTTCAAGATGGATTGTGGTTGCAAAAAGACTCTCAGATATCGTAGCTACAATAGTCAGGTTGTTCGGGGTTGAATGTACATTACCACGCTCTATTCCAGCACCCCATCACTGTAATTGTAGTCTCCACGGCTAAGTAAGTCAGTCAAAGCTTCATGAAAGCCAATGCCGACTGGATCTGGACAAGCCTACAGGTAGCTTGAAGTATCATATTGGTAGCGTTGCTACGAATCTAACGTTACCTAACTGGTGAGCCTCTTCGGACCCACGTGACGTCGCGTTAATGTCGAGTCCTGGCGCAGCGAACGAAGAGCAACACTCGCGATTGCACGTCACCACCACCATGCTGCGTACTCTGTCACAAGCAGCATGTTTCAACAGTGGCCGGTTTTCTAGCAAGGGCGTCTCGCGCCTTTCCTTTACCACGGCGCCCAAGTGCTGGCTAAAACAACTACCTCCGCGACCTGGCCCGCCGCCCGATTCCGAGATCGAGGAGTTCTACCTCAAGGGCAGCGGCCCGGGAGGACAGAAGATTGTACGTCTGGGGTTTACACATATTCGACACTCTATCAGTGCCGCGCTCTCCTGAACAAACGTCGCTGACTCCGAATCAGAATAAAACAAACTCGGCCGTCCAGCTGCGCCACACCCCAACCGGTATTGTCGTCAAGTGCCAGTCGACGCGCTCAAGGGATCAGAACCGCAAGGCTGCGCGCGAGATTCTGGCCCAGAAGATCGACGAGTTCCGCAACGGCGACCAGGCACGCTCGGCCATTGTGGGCAGGATCAAACAGAAGAAGTCGGCGAGTGCCGATAAGAAGAAGCGTCGGAAATACAAGAAACTCGAGGAAGACAGAGAATCGGGAGCAGAGGCAGCTGTCGAGGGAGAAGCCGAGTCAAATCTAGCTCAAGACCAAAGCGAGCCTGTCCAGGAGAGTACTAGGGACAGAGGTGCAGATACCCCCAAAGCAATCCCATGAAGCGACCTCGCACAGTTACCCTGGACATCACCGACACCATACCGGACATAATCACACCTTGGTTGACCGAGTCTAGAACGAAAAGCAAGTAATTGTGTATCAACCTCGGCTTCTACTTCCATGGCTCATAACGCATCCGACAAGACAAAGTGGCAGCCATCACATGCTTTCTCAGAAAGGCAACGCCCACCCCTGTGACCATTTTAAAAACTTTTCGTAAATATGAGACTCGATCGGGATACGTGCGCATCCGAGTAGACGTTGCATCGGGCGCCACCACCGCCATGAGCTGCTCGTAGTCCGTACGCTGGGGACGACGAGGGGTTTCGATAGACCGTCGGGGCTGCTTAGAAGCACTTGCGGTGGACGATGGAAGGGCCACTCTCGTCGTACTCCTGCTTGGAGATCCACATCTGCTGGAAGGTGGACAGGGAGGCGAGAATGGAACCACCGATCCAGACGGAGTACTTGCGCTCGGGGGGAGCGATGATCTTGACCTTCATGGAAGAAGGAGCAAGAGCAGTGATCTCCTTCTGCATACGGTCGGAGAGACCGGGGTACATGGTAGTACCACCAGACTGTATTTCTGTTAGCCTCTAAACCTATCTCGGGACAGACCGAACTCACCATGACAATGTTGCCGTACAGGTCCTTACGGACATCAACATCACACTTCATGATAGAGTTGAAGGTGGTGACGTGGATACCGCCGCTCTCGAGACCCAGGACAGAAGGCTGGAAGAGAGCCTCAGGAGCACGGAAGCGCTCGTTGCCAATGGTAATGACCTGACCGTCGGGAAGCTCGTACGACTTCTCCAAGCTCGAGCTCTGGGCCGCAGTCTGGATCTCCTGCTCGAAGTCAAGAGCAACGTAGCAGAGCTTCTCCTTGATGTCGCGGACAATTTCGCGCTCGGCCGTGGTAGAGAAGGTGTAACCACGCTCGGCGAGAATCTTCATAAGGTAGTCGGTAAGATCGCGACCAGCCATGTCGACACGGGCAATGGCGTGGGGGAGAGCGAAACCCTCGTAGATGGGGACAACGTGGGTGACACCATCACCAGAGTCGAGGACGATACCAGTGGTACGACCGGAGGCGTACAGGGACAGAACAGCCTGGATGGAGACGTAGAAAGCAGGAGCGTTGAAGGTCTCGAAGACAATCTGCGTCATCTTCTCACGGTTGGACTTGGGGTTGATGGGAGCCTCAGTGAGGAGAACGGGGTGCTCCTCGGGAGCCACACGCAGCTCGTTGTAGAAGGTGTGGTGCCAGATCTTCTCCATGTCGTCCCAGTTGGTGACGACACCGTGCTCAATGGGGTAGCGGAGAGTCAGGATACCACGCTTTGACTGAGCCTCATCACCAACGTAGGAGTCCTTCTGGCCCATACCAATCATGATACTAATCGACGAGGTCAGAAGCTGCGCCAATCACGGGGCCACTGAATTCGGAGGCCATTTAAACTTACCCATGGTGGCGGGGACGGCCGACAATGGAAGCTTTGAAGCGTCAGCTCAATTCGAACTAGTGATCACGGAGAAACCCTCGTGGCAGCCGCCATCCTGCCGGCGCAGGATGGCTGGAAGCTTGAGGATGCGGAAGTGGGGTACTCACGGAAAACAGCTCGGGGAGCATCATCACCGGCGAAACCGGCCTTGCACATACCCGAACTATAGTCGAATTAGCCACCGCGGTTCTCATTATGATGCCAATGCTCATGTGTCTTCTGCCCTGGCCTGGAGATGTTGCGATCGGTTGGGCGGCGAAATGTCGTGCCGCATCTCGATGGGCGGCCAGGGTGCTGGACGGTGATGATGTCGGTGAGACAGCGGGGTGAAGCTTACCCATTGTCGATGACGAGAGCCGCGACCTCTTCTGTTGAGAGAAGTTGACGTTAGCCAGAGTTCTTCTCGTGTGCACATGCTGTGATGAAGCTCGCGACAGTTTGTGCAGGCCGCGCAGGCCGCGCTGGCCATGTTGCGATAGGGGCAAAGGAGGAGCGGTTGTTTTTACATACCCTCCATGGCTGCGGATTATATGTGTTTGGAGTGAATTAAGTGATTGTACAGAGAGAAGGCCGGAGCAAGATGGATAAGCTCTAGCGAGACTGATGCTGAGCTTTGATTGTGGCGGGTGGAGTGATTTGACGACGGTAGCGGAGAGACGCAGGTTCGGAGGAGGAGAGAAGAAGACGGGGAGCGAGCTGGCGAGATGTTCAATGATTGAGTGTGGAGGGGGCCGGGCGGATCAGACCTGACTGCTCCATCTGTGGAAAGGAGCCTGGCAAGTCCAGTCCTGTTGTCGCTAAGGTGGGATAGGGGCCAACACCCCCTAGGCCTAGGTGACAAAGCGCTGAGAGTCCTCCCTGACGCTTCTCACCGCCTGCTTTCTGCCATCAGGAAGTGGGGGCTCATGGCTCGCTGCTTTTAGTGATTGGCTCGTGGTGGTGGCTGGGACGTGCATGCCTTCGCTGTTGCCTCCAGTCGACTGGACGCCAAAAATTCCAACATTCGTCACCATGGACCACCAAGACCACCACCACGGATGGAGTCAGTTGCAAGGCACTGCCTCGATCAACCACAGCCAGCCCGACTGTGTTGAGGGAGCCTTGGACGAATGCGCGTGACTCGGGCCGGACTTCGGAAAGTGGCGTTCTAGCCCTCAGACGTCGTCAGCTTGCACGCAATGCTGTCAAGTTCCAAATCATCGCTGATTGCCGGGTCAGAATCAATACCAGCCGCTGCAGACTGTTATGACGGTGTCTTGGGTTGGACATCATCGATTGGACTTCCAACATGGGGAGTTATCCCTGTGGCAGTACCTACGTAGTGCTCCCTGTAGTCTATTCACAGGGTTAAGAACCTCGTACTTCCCCATTGCATTAATCGAGATATCACTCGTCGACAAAAGGCTACACTCCGTATTCCTGCTGACAGGAGGTCTGCCATGTGGCATAAAGTAGCGCGGCTCCATGCTTAGGTTCAGATGGGCTCGCCACGAGATAAGCCACGTATGCACAGGCAAGGCTACAGCGTGCGACTGCAGCCTCATCGACTTCACTAGGCGTCAGCTCAATGTCGGAGCCTGATCTGATAAATCTCAAGATGACATGACTAGATATTCTTGCGCGCTGGTAAAGATTGTTTCCCAAATCGCCCTCGAGGGAACATTTCGTAACCGCTTCTGTTGTGAAGTGGCTCGCGTAGGACACAGGAAGGCACATTTATTCCCATTGATTTGGGGATTCTTGTCTTTTTAAAGCTCCCCTTAGATGGATGCGCGGTGATTGACAGCGCACCATGTTCACACGTAAGTAGGGTTGTAAAGACCATGAAGACCACATATGTTCGTTTCGCCTTGAAATAGCATACGCCTAAAGCAGCGATGAGGGGCAATATCTAAGTACGTGCGATGGTGGGGCAAGTCTTTTTCTTATAGAAGTTGACGCACTTTGTCCAACGGCCAACAACGTTATTGAAGTTGATTTAAGAAAAGTTCGACGTAGTGGAAAATCACATCGGCTACATCGTCTCGTTGGAATGGTCTTATCTCATTCACTAGTCGGCATTTTTACGTAGTAAACTCCTTGTTGAGATCTTATCCCCTCCAGTTTTCCAGGCGGCGCTATGCCTTTTCCAGAGTAGCTTCTTCCTGAAGCTTCCAGAAGGGGCATGACGAAAAAGCAGTCGAATAAAAACTCCAGTCTGAACTTCGACGACACAACAGGCCCGAAGATCTGAGCGACATATTCTTCCTTTATACAACTTCCAGGAAAAAAGACACAATGGCAGCCAATGATCCCCGTCTCAACGAGCTCCTGAAATGGAGCATCGAGAACTCGGACGTTACAAGAAATGACCCCACGGCACCGACGGGCGGTTCAGACCTGACGCCTGATGTCATGGCCGCCCTCATGGGTGGCCCTTCAGAGGCCGACTTGATGAAAGCCGCAATCCAGGTCATCAGCTCCGATGAGCCTGAAATCACCCTTGACGACAAGCTCGTCGCTTTCGACAACTTCGAACAACTCATCGAGAACCTCGACAACGCAAACAACATTGCCAACCTTGGTCTTTGGACACCTCTTCTCGAACAACTCAAATCGGCAGAGCAGGAATGTCGCAAAATGGCAGCTTGGTGTGTGGGCACAGCCGTTCAGAACAACGAGAAGACTCAGGAGCGGTTACTGGCTGTGGGAGGACTCCCTGCTCTGGTGGAACTGGCAACACACGAGAACGAGCCCAGCGACGTGAGGAGAAAAGCGATATACGCGCTAAGTTCTGCGGTGCGGAATTACCAGCCCTCGATGGACCTCTTCGTGGGGGAACTGGGGAAGCGTGGTCAAGAGACTGCGAAAATCGATGCGGCGGATATGGAGGCGATTGATGTGATTATGAATGATCTCAGGGAGAAGGCAAAGGCTTCTGCACAATAAGCGCTCGTCACTTAGACCATCAAAATCAGAGGGAGGGAATGGCGTTCGGGCGTTGGACAGTACCGGGTTTTAGATATTGACAGCAAGGCGAACCCCAGGGGCACCGCATCCTCTTCGCTTCTTTATGTTACAATTTCCGTCGACACAAGTTGATGTACATGATCTAAAGATACAATTCCCAGAATGCTCCGATGCTTAGTTCTTGACCTTGCCGTAAAAGGGGAACCCCAATGATTCTAATAGCAGACGCCCGTGCCTGTCAGAGGTGGCAGTGGTCTGAATGGTGATATAACAGCCAGGGATCATTTTCGCCGGATACGCCTGTTGAGTTGTTAGTGCAGTCTAGTAGTAGGCGGTATAGTGTGCCTTACCGAGAAATTGTACTCCAGTTCAGGAAAGAAGGTCATGGCCGATTTGTGAAGCCCAAGGGAGATGTTGCCATTGTCGTCGCCGCTTGTGGCTTTCACACCAGGCCACTCCTTGATTTTAGGCAGCACCAAGGTAACGAGCTTATCCACAAACTCGTATGCGTCGTTGCCATCGAGTGTCACGTTGACACCTCCGATACCACCCTTCCTAATCTGGAATTGCACAACGTTCTTCTTCAAAAAGTTCAATTCGGTGAACTTTCCGGTAATCGCTTGCAACACAGCGCGGGCCACGTTTAAGTACTCCTTGTCGCGTGCAGCTTCAGGCTGGTGCATAGATATGCTGACGGACTTGATTTCAGGGATATTGTTGAACACAATGTCGCGCTCCAACAGAGCCAGTCTGTCGGAGCCAGGACCCCTCGGCCCTCTCTTGGGGCGGTTTTTGTGATACGGCGATGAGCCATCCCATTCTCTGAGCTCTCCTTTTGTGGATACGGCGCGCTCTTCCCCCGGTGGGTAGTGTTGGTAGGTCAAAGTGAGTAGATCCGGTGCAATGGTCGATTCGTGGGTGTGTCGTAGACGCGGGTGGTTGAATGGCCCGGGCACGAAGTTACGAGCTATAGGATCAGACGACGGTGGTGATTGTACTGGATGAAGAGGTCCGCGATCGAATTTGGGTGGGTGGTATTGGTACCTGAAGGCTGTTAGCTGCTCCTGGGGTCCAAGTTCAACCGTCTGGCCCTGTGATGCTTACCTGTTGGCGGGCAACTTGCCGGTACGAGCGGGAGGAGGACGGCTCTTGAAAGCATCCAAGATCGCTGCGTCGGGAGCAGGTGTGTTAAAAGATGACGCATCGTCAAGCTCTGAAAGGTCGTCGACCTTGTTTGAGGAAGGCTTCTCAGCCTCGGTCGAGGCAAATCTCCTCGCACCAGGGGCAGCTGACCGGATAGGCAATTGCCGACGCAATAGCGCGCTCGCTATGCGATAGCTTTCACGCGTGCAAGCCATCCTCTGTGTTGCGCTTGATGATAATAGTATCTAACTGCGTCCCAGCGCGAATGCTCGTCGCGTGAAGGAAATTTCCCAGGTTGGTGGAGCGTCGCGCGCCACAAGCATAAGGTGGCTTGTGTAGGTGTGGCGGTGCAACCGCTACTGGCTTCCCGGGGAAACTGGTCCTGGGGTGGTTTCAATTTTCTTACACAGTTCTGGAGTGAATGGGGATCCGTCGCTATTGCATCTATTTTCGGATGTTTATAAGAACCCCTAGTGACAAGCGATGGTCGCTATTGTATTCACAGTACGGCGCATGTGATACACATGTAACCTCACATGCAACCTCCCCGGCAAGCATGTTTGGCTCCCAAAGGCTGCCTGCGCTAGGCGAGCCAACTGGACAACGGAGACTCGCTTGTACGTGCCTGGCATGAGGGCATCTGCAACGACCTGACGTGAATCCACCCCTTCTCGTTGGCCCGTAAGTCAGGCAGACTTGCAAGCTTACGACTCGCAGCAACCCCGGCGGCGTTTGCCTGGTTCGTTGGCAATCCCCCATCGCATCGGGAGTGTTTGAGCGTATACGTAAAGTGGACACTGGTCTGCATGTTGGACCCTGGGTTATCAGTTGGAGCTAATAATCGTACTTGGCGAGGTTGCCTATGAACAAAAGGCGTTCGACGACCAGAGATACCCAAATCCCTGAGTCCAGGCCTTGAGAAATTGACTCATTTCAATGAACATCATAAGTTGAGAAACTTAATTCTGGTATCACCTCTATCGAGCGAGACCTGACAGCATCTGGCGTGCGGAGTCCGACCCCAGCGCCGTCCGTCCCAAGTCCAGCTCGCTCCACCGAATGTAGGCGGCGCCTGCGGACAATCCTCCTTCCTCCCAACACAATTGAATGAGAAACCTTCCTTTGCCGCATATTTCTTTCCCATCATCTTCAACTACTCTTTCATTGCGGGCGGGTCTGACCTTTTTCTTTCGCATCCTTTCTCTGGGCGCTTCATCTACATGCTGGACGCTGCCAGTCACCCCTGATATTTGCGACCCCTCGGTGGTGCTATTAGACTCGGCCAGTCGACGTGCGACGAGCAACGGCGCAGCGCCAACCTTGAAGCTGAGGACAAGCTATACAGACTCGGAGTACATGTACTGGAGTAGGACAACGGAGCCAGATTTCGAGCGCAACAGAATATTCATTTTCTTCCACGCCTTCATCTGCGACTCCAACCTCAGCACCCCGCCACGCAAGAGACATCGTTTGACAGCTGCAAGCTCGCCAACGAGGCCCCTACTTGGCGGGGTTCTCTACCTTGCTAAGTCATAATGATTGCCAAACGCTTCCTTGGCAAAAAAGACAAAGACGACTCTCATCATCGTAGCAAGTCGACACCGCCAGCTGGGAGAGTATGAACCCCGCCTGCCTCACCCCGGCCGAGCTACCGTCGCTAACCGTCGACCCGCGCCAGCAGTCATCCAAACCTTCTGGAGCAGATGCTTTTCGTAACATCTTCAACAAGAACAATGGCGACAAGGAGGAAAACGAAAACGATATCCAAAGAAGGGAGCTTGAGCTCAAGGTGCGCCTACGCCTCCGCTTGCTGGAGAATAAGGCTCACTGACAACCGCAGTTCGACCAAGTGCAACGACGAATCCAAGAACTGGGCTACCATGACGTGGGCCGCGAACGAATCGAAATCAGCATATCGAGCGAATACGCGCAGGGAGATGTTGACAAAGCCGTCGAGTACATTGATATTCAGCAGAAGGCGATACGAGGCGAGATCATTCCCTATAACCGCGAGATGCACATGGTAGGCGCCGAAAATCGGGGCGCGGTCACCTGTTACCTCGACACTCTGCTCTTCTCCATGTTCGCGAAGATGGACGCATTTGAATGCATGCTGAAGAATGACTTTCCGGAAGACAAGGCCAAAGATTCATTGGTGAAGCTGCTCCGCATGTGGGTGAACATGCTTCGTATGGGTCGGTTGATTAGGACAGACTTGGTAAGCGTGACCACCCACCCATTCATATCCCGGAACCACTGCTGATTGTTAAGACCGAAGAGATACAAAATTCTCTCGCTGCTTGCGGCTGGCCAGAAGCAGGCTTGTTGGAACAGCAAGATACCTCTGAGGCCTTTGGTTTCTTGACAGAGACCCTACAACTACCACTGCTTTCTCTCCAGGTCGATTTATTTCACCATGGAAAGAAGGACGATGCCGATCGCAAAGTAGTATACGAACGCTTGTTGAACCTCGCTGTGCCCGAAGATCCCCATGGAAAAGGCGTAAAACTGGAAGACTGCCTGGAAGAGTACTTCAACACACGAGTGGAGGTCAACAGGGACAGTGAAGAAGCCAAAAAGTCAAAATCGGACGATGGGCCGCTTTTGCGGCGGCCGTCGCTGCTGGCTCGCAACACCATCAAGATACTGACGGATGGGGTTCCCGGTTCAACAGCGATGACTGCTTCTCCATTGGCCGCGACAGCGCCAACTGCTCAGGCGAAGAGCGATGAAATGGACACGGAGCCGGAATGCGAGCATGTTGAAACACAAATTGATGTCGATGTGGCAGATCAGCCCGGCGATATCGTTGGCGAAAGTACTGCACTTCAGCATGGGCAAGAAAACAACGACACGGCCAATTCAGACGGAGTGGAAGAACGCGAAGCTATAGCGCATTGTGAGGATGACGCACCTCGCCCAGACACGGACAGCCAGTCGACAGGCGATATTCGAAACCAAGAAGTCACCCTTGAGAATGATGAGCGGCCCGGGCTTACCTTTCCTACGGCACGGGAAATTACTTTGCAGCGCATAGATCCTGCCGCGCCACGGACGTCGAGATCAGACACATTCCCATCTCAGCTACCAACCTATGGCAGCTATGAAGGTGGCCCCATTCACCAACGCCCATCAACGAGGACAAGGTCAACAAGCGTCATACAGAGCATGCTCGTTGACGCTACTGGCCGTCCTGCTTCAGAAGAAGATGTCTCTCTCCTTGAGAAGGCCAAGCGAAAAGGATCCACTGTAGTCAAAGCCGTAACCATACCTGCATGGCAGTTCTTCAGACTTATACGTACGTTCCGACACCATCCTCACTATTTATCATTCTCGTTAATGGCTCGACAGCATGGCATTCTCTTGCCAAGAACGCTCCTCAAAACGACACGGAGGTGGCTATGAACTTTGATCAGCGCCCCGTTGTCGGGATTTGCCTGAAACGATACACTTTCTCGGCAAGGGGAGAGCCCACGAGGCAGAATACCTATATTGACATACCAGACAGCCTTCGGCTTCCACATTTCATGCTGGCGGATGGCGCTACAGACGGGGAGGGCGAGAACAGTACGACCGCCTTGACTGGTGACTATAAGCTTGTTTTGCAGTCAGTCATTTGCCATCGAGGGGATTCTTTATCCAGCGGCCACTATGTTTCGTTTGCTCGAGTGGCCCCGAGGTTGCTTGTGAACAACAGGCGGCATGACGTCGATCCGCCGCCGGACTACGAAGATCCTCAATGGGTCAAATTTGATGACTTGCAGACTCACGGTCGGGTACAATACGTCGATGACATCAAGGCTTCCCTTCGAGATGAGATGCCCTACCTACTCTTCTATCAAATTGTTCCCATTGCCGACGACCCGCCGTCAGACAAGGACACAGCACCTCCCTCATACGAGGGATTCAGGATGAGCGTTGAGGAACCGACAACGCCCACGGCCGAGGAGAATTATGTTTTTGGCGGCGGGCCCTTGACTGGCGCAGTCCAAACACCTGGTCAATCAAGGTTGGCACACAGGGCACCGGGAAGTCCTGCGACTGCGCCATCGAGCAAAGCTCCTAGCATTCGCTTCTCTGCGGAGTTGGACAGGCCTCGAAGGAGCGCCGAATTCAATCGTCACTCTGGTTCGGCTCGAGGGGGTTCGCGTCCGCAGAGCGTGTATCTGACAGATTCAGCTGTTGTGTCGCCCGCCTTGACGCCGGAATTACAGCCATCACCTGCGTTGACGCCGACCGACGAGTCCACTGGCTCTAGGCTTTTCCGCGCCGCAACCCGTTTCAAATCGTCATCATCAAAACAAAGCCGTGCCAATAGCCAAACGGGCGAGAATCGCAATGCCAATATGATGAGTCGAATGGCCGGCCTGATGCGTCCTGGCCGGGACGCCTTTGCTGACCCCAGTACACTCAACCTACACTCAAATAGAGCGAGTCTGGAGGTTCCAGCAAGTGCCGGGGTCGAATCGACTGTTGAAACGGAGAAGTCGTTTTTCCCTCCTGTGGAAGACTCCCCAAAAACCGACTGGAAAGGCAAATCCAAAGATAAAGGCCCCAAGGAACCAAAGAACAAGGACAAGGACAAGGATAGGACAAAGAAGCACGCAAAAACCGCGAAAGATCCCACCGCAGAGCCGGAGCGGGAATGTTCGGTCATGTAAAACATGGCCCACAGGTTCTTCAACATTGATGAGGTATAGAAAGTACTGTCACAAGCATAGCACGGCGTTCTGGGGTTTAGACGACTGGGTGGCTGCACACTGGAGAGCTTGTGCGCCAGCGGAGCGGCGCATGTCCCGTCATGAGGGAATGATGCGCAACAATCAATCACAATTTATTTGACGAACAACCAAATTCACCGCCTGGAGGGTTGCATAGCCGTGGTCATGTAATGATTCTGGATTTCACCATCTCTATTCACCGTATTTACAATACACAAAGGTGGAAGCCGCTTCTTCCTTGAAGTCGACTCTTACCCAATCGCCGTATGCTTCCAGCAGGCGAACCCAGGTGCTAGAGACTCCCAGACAGCCAACAAAACAATAATGGTACACGATCCAGTTCGATAAGGACGATATGCTGTCCAACTGAATCACGGACCGGCCGAGGAGGGGCCGATGCCAGGTCGCGATATATTATTTCTCTTCGTCACATCAAAGTCGAGTCTAGCACCTGCTTAGAAGGGGATGTTGGCTGGGGTAGAGGGGCCGCCAGCAGCCTCTTGCTGCTCTTGGAGCTCCTCTGGCGCCGCCTCGATCGACACGCCGAGACCGAGCTTGGCAGATTGCTACTCGAGTTTAGTTGTGGACGCGCGAGGGAGAAGGGAATACATACAGTGAAGTGGTCAATGTCGGCCGCAAATGTCATCATGACAGGGGGGGCCACGCGCTTCTCCAGCAGGCAGCTGAGCTTGCCCTTGGAGTCGACCTGTGCGCGGAAGGTCGACATGCGGAAGTCGTACTTTGCGCCGATGGTGGTGACACCCTCCTTCTGGAGACCGCCGCCCATCATACCGTTTGAGGGTACGAGACCCAGGCTGAGGTCGACACCGGCCTGGACCTTGTCCGACAGCCTCCTCCAGAAAGATGTGTTAAGGGTGCCCATGGCAGCCTGGAGCTGGGCAGTAGCAACCCAGTCGGCAGACTTGTAGCGAGCGGAGTACGAGACGGCGCACTCGGGGCCTTGGGTGAGAGCCTGACGCTGCCAGAGGGTCTCCATGCCGAGGGCGAGCTTGGGCGTGACGGACTGGAGGTAGCTGCCAATGAAGATACCGGTCATCCCGCCCTCAAGGAAGGAAGGGTTCAGCATCTTCAGGGATGCACTGAAGTCATCGCCAGTGTACTCGTGCTCAAACTGGGCCATGTCCTGACCACCAGGGGAGATGGACAGTTGCGACTTTGACACCAGCTTCTCTGACCATCGGAAGTTGAAGCGGCCGGACAGGGTACCCTCATTATCGACGTTGCCTTGCGCGAAGATCTAGAGGCGTTGTTAACAGGTGATCATACCCCAGGTGGGTTGATTACGGACCTTGTTGGTACCGTACATGGCGGCAAAGGTATAGGGGTTGATGCGCTCGCCGAGAGCGAATTGGTGCGAGACCTGGAACAGAGGGGTCATGCTGAAGATCTTGGTGAGATCCGCGCGCACGCCCGTGAACATGGAGTTGTTGAGGAAGACATCTCGCTGCACCTCCCTGGAGAGGCTTTCTATCGTTCCGGGGTTGCTGAGACCGAGCTTTGCCCTGCGCTCCGAGAAAGAGTTGACGGCATCTCCTATTGTGTTCGCGATGGGGTTGGTGAGAAGGAGGCCGGTTAACGAGTCGATTGCGGATGCCATGGCGGCTGTGGTGTGATGGGTCGGTTTTGCGGAACAAAACCTGAGCGACTAGGAAAGGGATTCAGTCGTAGGGAAGAAGTTGAGGATGGTCGAATCGACACGTCGTGCAGAAGCGTCCGAACAAGCTTCAGGACCCGCGCAAGAAGAAAAAAAAACTCGATCGCGATGGTGTCTCGGTGATCAAGGACTGCCTCAGGGGACGCGATGGTGCACTGCGAATGGGCCGTTGGCGTCGGGGATGATGTTCGAAGCTGGAGGAATAATTTTCATGGGCTGGCACGCCTGGAGCGCCTGGCAGTTTCGGAAGTGGACCTCCAGTCGAGCGCGCAGTTGGACGTGGATGATGCGCACCGATTCAGTGCTGGCTGGGACGCGAGCCGGCGTGGAGCCATGATGTTCCGAGATTACGGGCTTGTCCACGCATTCTCAACCCGTGACAACACCAGCCTTCCATGAAGCAGGGCTTCGGAGTTTAGGAGCAATGAGATCATTCTTCGTAACGAGGTTCTCTATTCCTTTTTTTTATCTGACCCAACAAATACATGCATTCCGTCGAAGCGGTTTGATCCAGCTGTGGGAAGCAAGCCACAGCCTGAACTGCCGTGGCGCAGACACTGTGGCTTGTCGAATGTCGTCCGCGGCTAGTGAGCGATCTCACCCGAAGACCCGAGTCAACCTCTAGCATCTGAGAGATGCAGCCCAGTATTTCATAGGTAGTCTCAAGTCTTATCATAGATTTATCTAATACCGCCAATCCTTCTTCATCAGTCCAGTTCAAGGTCTGTTTTGTTTGCTCACTGCTTGGACTCCCTCGCTCAATCTGTGATCTGTCGTCATACGCCATCTCCCGATAATATCCGACTGAAGGACGTGCCCGCACATGACATCGTGTGCGAGCCTCACCGTCTCACTGAAACTTCACGATAACCTCAGTTCCTATCCTGTATCTTTCACACGCAGCTCCCGGCCTTGTTCGACAGACATTTGTCTATACTCAGTCTTGTCCCCAAAGCGCAAATTGCTATATAACGACGGAAGACCTCAACACTGCCACGACAATACAGCCTCGTTACCTGCAATCGTCACGTGGCTCAAGCCTTGAGCGCATTCAGCTCAGTGACGACCTCTCGCCTTGAAATTCAGGAGCTCTACCAGGCAGTCGCAGGGCAGAAGTCGTTCCCAGCCACTGAGATAGCTAAGGCTGGTCCTTTGACCTTAAATCGCTTGATTATACGTCAAAGATGGATACCTTACTGTACGTCTGTTCAGTTCTCTTATCCTACAGACACTACTGTTTCTGTTCATTGCCTTTTTGAAGTCACCTGCTTTTCTCAGTTGCGAATTTGCCCCTAGCCGACCATCACCCTCTCATTTCCCTTGAAATCAGCTGTCCTTGCCATTAGGTATCACTTTGCATCTTCATCTTCCATGTGCTTGATGCCAGACGCGTGTAGTGTTTTTGTGGCTTCAGCGTCGCCGCTTGCTTCCTGACAATTCGATTCATCCCGATAAAGAAGATTATCACTGACAATTTGAATTTAGTACTGCTGAGATAGCGGCCAATGCTCCACGATATCGCCGCAAGAGCTCGACATTCATCGACGCCATCCACGATGTTCCCGAAGATCAAGATATGGCTCCGGCACAGCTCTATAGCACCATGTCAGGGCGACTATTCCACTCCGGTCGGATAGCCATCGTCATGGTCGGGTTGCCAGCTCGAGGCAAGACGTGAGTTAATCGCCCAGCTGCCCATGTATTCGCCCATCTGACAAAATGAAGACACATTTGTGTGTCAATGGCACGCTATCTACAATGGCTTGGCGTCAAGACTCGCATTTTCCATCTGGGCGACTACCGGAGAGCAACTGTAGGACCTGGTGGCACGGTGCCCGAAGACTACTTCTTCCCAAATGCTTCGCCCCAGTCCATCATTCTCCGCCAAAAGATCTTGAAGAAGTGCCGCGAGGATATCTACGCTTGGCTCAACCACGAGAACGGCCAGGTTGCCATTTACGATGCAGTCAACCCCATAGCAAGTGGGAGGCGCTCTTTGGCCAAGGAGTTCGCCAAGCACGACGTCCAGGTAAATTTCACACCAACTTCCAAGAATTTCCAAGTATCCTGACATATTGCAGACATTGTTCATTGAGTCATTCGTCGACGACGAACGCATCCTCTTGGAGAATGCTCGCAATGTCAAAATCTCTTCTCCAGATGTAAGACAAATGTTGACCCTGTGTTTATTTGTCACTGATTGTGGCAGTTTGCGGGTATGGATCCCGATAGGGCAGCAGAGCTCTATTTGAAACGCATAACAATGAAGATCCCCATGTTTGAGACTATGGATGAGAAGGAGCTCAACTTCATCAAGATGATCAACGCCGGCTCCAAGTTCTTCTACAACAACGTCAGCTTCAACTATCTCTCGCATCGCATCGTCTTCTATCTCACCAACCTTCATATCAAAGCGCGAACGACTTTCTTTGCTCGCGCCGGCACCACTACAGAAGATGAGGAGTCTTACAAGTCGGACGCCCCGCTATCAGAGCAAGGCAAGGCATACGCTCGAAAGATGGCAGAGACTCTCACCAAGCATCGCGAACAAGAAGCCGCGGAGCAGGGGAAGCCTCTACGACCACTCTCGGTGTGGACATCGACCCGGCGCAAGACCGTGCAGACGGCCGAGGTCTTTGGGGAGAAGGGATACAAAATTCGCCAACGCTCGCAGATGAGTCAGATCAACCCCGGCGCATGCGAGAGGCTTTCGGAGAGGATGATTCGACAGATCTACGCTGAGGAGGTTGAGAAACATGATCTGGACCCTTATCACCACCGTTACCCACGTGCAGAGGTATGTTCCAGTAGACGGGCTTGCCGGAATGCTACTGACATTGCGATAGTCATACCACGACCTTGCGGTCCGTTTAGAGCCCATCATTCTTGAGCTCGAGCGTGAGCAGAACGACCTCCTCATCATCGCTCACGAGTCGGTGCTGCGTGTGCTGTATGCGTACTTGATGCACTGCTCGACAATGGACATTCCAACCTTGAAGTTCCCGCGCGACGAAATCATCGAGATTATTCCTGCGGCATATCAAAACGAAGCCAAAAGAATTCACATCCCGGGGCTAGAGTCCTCGATCGTGCCTGGATCGCCAGACGACATCAAGATCCCCGTCACTGTACAAAGCATACCGCCGAGCGGTCAAGCCAGCGGCGAAGCAAGTGGTGTCACGAGTGGTATCACGAGTGGTCAATTGAGCCCTATTGCAGGTGGGCTAGGCAGTCCTGCTGAGCCAGCAACGGAACGCCCGCCGGAGAAGGTCATCAACAAGGCGAAAGACATGGTCGCGGACAAGGTGGATGACGAGGACTGAACAACAATGGCTCGTCCCGAAAGACACTAGAGGTGTTATAGACTTTCTAGGCAAGACTTTGATAAACCTTTCCAATCCTAAGCTTTCGAATTTTCGTTGAATTATCAAACATTGATGGACGGTAGCCTATTTAAAAAGCAATGCGACGACGCTTGGTCATTCTTAGGACCATGATTGTGTTACTTTGCCCTGTGCGTGATAGCCTGATCACAAAACACCAGATGACCTCGGAGATCCTGGTCGCACAACGTTTGAGCTATGACAGCAGCCGGCACCGTCCAAGGGACACGGCAGATGAGTGCCTACAGCCTGGTCGCACAACGTGGGTCTTGGCAAAGCTAAGAAAGCCGACAGGTGCAGTATCAGATGCTGTGAAAGGGTACCTCGCTGGGTATTTTGCGGGTAGGCGCATCGATCGTAAGGTAAGCGAGGGTTCAAGTGTTGCTATCAGAGAACCGACAGGAGACATGCGACTCATCCGCGTCTGCTACGAGCGATCCTTCACGTTCACGCCAAGAAAGCTGCACATCTCTGAATCCATACACGAAGCAAGCCTAATAAGCTGATCTATCAGTGCAGACGATAGCGAATCAAGACTGGTGAACACCACGGTGCGGTGTGTGTGAACACCTGCTTTGGCGGTCAAGGGTGGTCGGCTTCCTGAAGCCTAACTAGGCCTATGCACTCGTGAGATTCGCCCAGCTCTGCCCTTGCGGCGTGCATATGCATGATGAGCGGCAGGGCGAGGCCATTCGAGCAGTCATGGTAAACGCGTGACTTTCCATTGACACCGATATCAACAAATGCGTTGCGGCCTGAGAGTGTTGGCGACAGCGTTCCAAATCGGGAACCAAATGCTCCTCGACAACTGCCTTTGCTCACGATCGTGTACTGGGATGCAGAACGTCGACCGAGAGGAGCCATTCCAAGTGGCCCCTTCTCATCCAATACTGATGAGGGCCAGGTTAGTGGTCGTCGCTTTTCATCTCACAGGCATTCACTGAAGTGCGAGTCTCGTCAGACTGACCCAAAGATGTGAACAGACGATTGAAGTTGTCTGTACATAAGCAGTGGACGCTGAATATCCGGCGAATAATAACATTTCTTTCATGCACAAAGCCCTTCTTTGCAACTTGGACAAGGGGCAGTAGTCAATGATCTTGGTGCCATCACGACCGGCTGCTTCCGGAGATATGTCAGGTACTCGGAGTCGACTCGAGGGCGACACGATCTTGAAAGTCTGTCTGACCAATGGCTGCGATCAATTGGTTCGTTGTTGGAGTGAGTTGGGCAGCTCTGCTGGAATGCGAGTCCCTTTTTCGCTCATCAGGTGAGGGGAAAAAAGATGAGAGAAAGATCGGCATGGGTTGGTGGGCAGTCAGTCGCGCGTGGCGGCTGGGCACCAGCCAGGCTTCGGTTAGCGGTCGAACTCAAATTCGGCTGCTAGCATCGCATGAAGAGGTCATGAGACCGAAAACGCTGCATTTCCATTTTCTCCAGCATTACTGGTAGTCTGGTGTTGACATGTAATCTCGTGTAAAGAGCTGGGTGCCCGCGGAAGAGGGAGCTGAAGTAAGTGGCTTACCCCTGTTAGCTTCAAGCACTCACAGATGAATGCGTATCCGAGTCTCGAAAGTCGTGGAAGAACTTGTTATTACAAACTTACAAGTCCTATCAACAGCGTGCGGCGCTGGGGCTCGCCTCTTGACTGCAACAGCGCGAGCCGTCTCATGCATGGCGTGGAAGCTATCCGTGCTCCGTAGTGCGCACTAAGCTAAAGGATCGCTAAAGGAAGGGCTGGCCTGATAGTACGTAGCAAATTGGAGCGCGTGGACGTGTGGGTTTTTTAACCACTACATACCGAGCGACATGGCCGACTAAAATAAGTACGTCCGTAGAAATGGATCTTTCCTACGGATGCTCGTAGGGTATGTACTGTGATACAGGTCTATGCTGCTTGGTGGCGTGGACCATGACGTACTTGTAGAGGACAACGACAATGTGTTGTGTGTTAGACCACCATGCTCCAATCTGCTCCAGCCAGCAATCGTGCGCACAGTTGCAACAAGAGCCAAGGGAGCTTTAAAAAAATTCCCGAAACACCGGTTGAGTTTGTAAGAGAGCAGCGTGGTAACATTGGACAGCCCAAATCACCTCCAACGACGACGAGCCACCAGCACGTAGTACTTGAGTGGTAGCTCCTCCGAAAACTTCTTTCGCTCTGGGTCAAGTACTTTGCGAATTTGCCACGACTTTACTTGGGAGAGGCGACCCGTGTAATGCTTGGCAGTGTGCATGGAGAGGTACATCATAGGGCACAAAGCAGGTGGTTCTTGGGTTTGTTAACTTTGCTGACCTTCCATCAACGTCCAGTCCATCGGAGCCGCGGAAGACGGCGCCCCTGGCCCCAGTCCGGGTCCCACGTCCCATGCAAGTGTCAAGTGGGCTGCTTGGGAAGTTGGGCTCAAAGTGTGATGGTGGAGTGATTTACTAGTGGCGGGTGCAGGATGCCCAGAACTTGAGGCACAAGACGATTTCGTGACGTGCCGTGGCGGACTCTGCACGATCTACGATATTGTCATTGCCAAAATCGTAAATGCTATTGGGACGAGGCTGTAATAAATAAGTGACGAGTTGGAACCTAAGTTACGTACTAAATAAGCATAATGTAACTAACAATTGGGTAGTACCTCCGTACTCGACTTGCATGTAACTTGAATATGACATTCGGGGACGGACCTGGGCCTCGCGAATGGGTCGCCCACATGGCTAGAAAAGGAGCTGGCGCCATCAGATACAATCGAGACTTTAATAACTGGCTGCCACTTGTCAAGTTGTCTCGAAAACGACTTTTATCAAGCTCGAAATACGTGTGTACAGGGTGGACTACATAATGGTATCCAAAGTGAATAATAAGGTACGTGATACCGAACAATGATGGAGCGACGTGTTCACGTCACGAGCACCGGCATTGAGCTTGGTGCTCTGCAACCACACTGACGTTATAGGATGAGGGACCGTGCACCTGAGCAAGAGTGGTGATCTCCAATACGTTCTTCGTGTATCGTCCGGATCGTGAGGGGTTCGCGCAGGGGCGGCTTGCTTCCAAGTGACGCTCTGACCGCACAGGCTCATCACCTGCATTGGCTCAGCCACTTCCAATCGACAGGTCCGGTCCGCAGTGATCGATCAGGACAACCAACAGATCTTTTCTGACGATATCGATGTGTGAGCCACGAGCGCTCTGTTCAATCATCGTGCCTTGTGCAGAAACGGAGCAGCAGACCAGGACCGCGTGATAGGTGCCCCCGCATCGTGGTGTACTGTATACGCCAATCCCGCCCAAATTGAACACTTCAAGCTCTGACCACATAGGTAAGGTACCGTGGAAATGGAAACACCGTTAGCCAGTTGTTGTAGAAGCATGCAAACTTACGTGGTCATCAAGTGCTGTGGCTGCGAGGCGCGGTCCTGGTACCTGGCTAGCGACCGCAGACTGCTATTCGATTGATTCTGCGCGTTGCCCCAAGGTAAGGTCGCGGTGCGTATAATGATTGTGGATGATACGTCAGTGTTGTACAGACATTGCGCCGGATTCTGATCAGGTAAGAGCACTATTTTATCGGCACGTGCCTTGCACAGCTGTCGCCGACTGAAGCTGGCCCATTTGTTGCACTTCAAGTTGTTGTGGCCCAGAGCCTGCCACTGTTGGTTTTCTTCGTCGTCGATCCACCTCCGTACATGCAGTGGAGTGTCACCTGGGCAGCAAATCCGAGCAGCGATCCACATCGAAGACGGTCGATTCTCATCACCTGCGATGCGACAGGCCCTCACCACCTTCACCTTGAGCACTGGAGAACCCGTGTTAATGCCTGTTTTAGGGCAAGCAGTCAAGCAACTGCACTTCGTAGGTTGTCCGGCTGCGGCGCAGATGATCTCCTCCTCGAGCCGCTTCCGCTCGCTTTAGGTAATTAAGGTGTCTTGCCTTGCCAACGAACCCACGAAAGAGCCGACTACGCAGATGCACCCCGCTGCATTCCTCCTTGCTGGCGCCGCAATTCCTCCCCACTGCCCAGGTTCATGGGGTCCACCAACCCATTGTTAATTACCAGAGTCGGTGACTTCACTCGTGAGGAGAGGAGCAGTAACTGGAAACATGCACACGTTATTATAACACTTAGGGAATGCCATCTGCAGCCCATGTCAAGCATGTTCGCGATACTGACTTGATGGCGGGGACTCACCTGAGGAGGAGCTCCTTGCGCGGCTGGACCACTGGACTCTTCGTCTCGAGCATCTCTTGCTTCCACCGAACCCAACGCCCATGCCTACGGCTTGCAAGGAGAACCGCTTGTGCTACGGATGTACGTCAATTTTCCAATAGCCAAGCTGATAGCCAAACCCTACTGGTCTCTCGTTCTCTTCGCTTGTTCCTGACAAAATGTTTGTGACGTACTCACATGAGCATGCACACATTACTGTCTCAGCGAATGCACGACAGTCGGACGCTTGCCACACCAGGTATTCTTCAACCTTGCAAGATGCAACTGATATGATACTCAGTGCCCCTGATTTCACCCATGTACACTAAATGATACTCGAAATGGCGTATGGTATCGCCACTAAGACGAGGGGAATAGGAGGCCCGTCCTGAGGACCATTCACATCACGTTTGGTCATGCGGTAGTTAGACTGACTATCTTCATGCTTGGTCTAGTTAGCAGTCAGTATAAGCACTTTGTGTTGGCTTATTAGAAAGCTCAACCCGGCCTCTGATAACAGCTGCAAGTGAGACCTTTCCTCACCTTGGCGCTGCTTAACAAACTACTACGTACTACTGCTGCTGCATCTACCCTACTTTTTTTTTGATCGAGTTGACGCATGATGGCACGCAAGGCTTTGTGTGAACCAATAACACACAGTTAGTCCAGTCTACCACTTCTTCGACTTGCCTGTTCCACAACCGGACTGAACATTCGCGCTGCACAATCTGGTCTGCTTCGAATTACGAATTGTAGTCTTTCCCATCCCACACGAAACGGCTGGACTGAGCAGATCGAGCAGCACTCCAGTCCCTCGAGGCTAGACCCAGGCCTCCAGTCATCTTGAAGACCCGCCTGATGACCGCTGCTGGCTGGGCCTGCCCGCCCTGCCGTCACTACCTGACCTGACCTGACCTCAAAAGCCCCGCACCTCACCCCCGCTCCGGTCCAGTCCCTCCCACATCACCTCAAAAGCCCAGTAGCGCCAGCCCAGCCCAGCCAGCCAGCCCGCCCGCTCGCTCGCTTGCCATCTGCGCTGTGTTACCTACCAAAACAACTTCAGACTACTCTTCACCTCTCCTCCTCCCCCATTGTCTCTTTCCTTGCAAATGATACCCATTGTCTCTGTTTCCACATCACCATCATCATCGATCTCCTGCATGTGCTAAGTGCTCATCGCAACAGCTCCCCGTCGTCAAGGTTCCTTGATTCACAGGGTCATCCGCGGCCTTGAACCTTCGAGGTCACGAGCGCCCGCCACCCGTTGCCAACGCCAGCGAGGGACCCTGGGCCTCAGCCAGCACCAATCTCAGAACCCAACCATCGTGAGCTACTTTCACACAGCTGCAAGCAACCACGACACACCGATCAACAACGTCAAACGAATCGCCCCGACGTTTAACGACTTGTTCCCGACTTTTGTCACTGACTTCGCCCCGAGTTTCTGCCTCGCCCACCATTGCCCACCACGGCCCGCACTCAGCGTCTCGTTTCGTCACCCCGTCCCCTCTCCAATCCGTCACGAGCCTGCCCCTCTTCGCAAGTTCGGTAGCCCGTGCCCATAGCTATCAGCGCCCATAGAAGCAATGTCTTCCCATCGGCCCAACGCCTTCAATAGCCTCAGAATGGGTGGTGAGTGATATTTTCCCTCCCGACACGGCTTGCTGCAAGAAAATTGCCAGCTGCAGCCTAGACGGCGTCTCATTGGTCGACAAGTCACTAACGTTGGTACGCAGAGGTGATACGCGAAAAAGTGCAGGACGGCATCACAGGGGAGACGAAGGACTTACAATATACGCAATGCAAGATTGTCGGGAATGGATCCTTCGGTGTAGTCTTCCAGACGAAACTCTCGCCGTCCGGTGAAGATGCAGCGATCAAGCGCGTGCTACAGGACAAGCGCTTCAAGGTAGATCAATTGCCCTGTGCTCTCGTAGACAACACGAGGCACCCTGTCGACTAACAACAGAGACAGAACCGCGAGCTCCAAATCATGCGGATCGTGCGCCACCCGAACATTGTCCAGCTAAAAGCCTTCTACTACTCCAACGGGGATCGTGTAAGAGCACCAGTGCGACGTCATACCTTTTTCGAAACTGACCTCGAAACAGAAGGATGAAGTGTACCTCAACCTTGTTCAGGAATTCGTTCCCGAAACGGTTTACAGGGCCTCTCGCTTTTTCAACAAGATGAAGACGACCATGCCCATCTTGGAAGTCAAGTTGTACATCTACCAGCTGTTCCGCGCGTTGGCCTATATCCACTCCCAGGGCATCTGCCACCGAGATATCAAGCCCCAGAACTTGCTCCTCGACCCTGAGTCCGGTATCCTCAAGCTCTGCGACTTTGGGAGTGCCAAGATCCTTGTCGAGAACGAGCCCAATGTCTCGTACATCTGCTCCCGCTACTACCGCGCTCCCGAGCTTATCTTTGGCGCAACGAATTACACAACCAAGATTGGTGCGTACCTATCTCATACCCTCCTCTAGGTCCTCGTGGAATACTGACATGCCACAGATGTATGGTCAACTGGCTGTGTCATGGCGGAGCTCATGCTCGGTCAACCGCTGTTCCCTGGCGAGTCGGGCATAGATCAGCTCGTGGAAATCATCAAGGTCCTGGGTACGCCAACGAGGGAGCAGATCCGGACGATGAACCCCAACTACATGGAACATAAATTCCCGCAGATCAAGCCGCACCCGTTTAACAAAGTGTTCCGCAAGGCCGACGGGAATGCCATTGACCTGATTGCCCGCTTGCTGGAGTATACCCCTCCTGAGAGGCAGTCAGCAATCGATGCCATGGTTCATCCATTCTTTGACGAGCTTCGCGACGCCAACACCAAGCTCCCTGACTCGAGGCACGGTTCCGGGCAATTGAGGGACCTGCCCAACTTGTTCGACTTTTCCAAGCACGGTGAGTGTGACCTTTGGAACTCCTCGAGGAAGGCATGCTGATTAGCGCTAGAACTGTCAATTTGCCCCGAGCTCAACCACCGCCTTGTACCAGCGCACATGCGCCCTGTTCTGGCTTCCAAAGGCCTTGACATTGACAACTTCACACCTCTGTCTCGGGCCGAGATGATTGCCAAGCTCGATTGAGCCATGCTCGGGACTGTGCACGAATCTCTCGAAGCTCCAACTCTTTCGAACCGACGACCACACGAGCAGGTCTTCACCCTGCCGGCGAGAGCGAAGTTGTCGCCAGGTGGCTTTCTACACCGTGTAGCCTTTCCCTGGGCTGCGCGAGTATCTGGATGGCGGACCATGTGACTCCAAAGCTCGTCGAGCGTGTTTTCCTGGAAAAGCGTACAATTGGAATCGACATATACTGGGACGAAGTCATGAGGGTCAATAAGACGAAAATTTTGGCAAGCGTTGTGTGCTGTGGGAAACTTGGGAACATAAATCCCCCTTTTGGCGGCTGGGATTCATGCAGATCGATGTAAGCTGCGCGCTCCCGTCAAAAGTCGAGGCGTCGGGCGTCGTAGGAGCTGGGCTGATTAGGACTGCCACATGGAAGCACATTATTGGGAATTATCAACCATGTCAGATCAAACTTTGATGGCTTGAATGGCTCGAACCTTTCACCGCGTGCGTGATCCATCCATATAACTGACCAATGCACAACATGTGTGTTAGTTCGTAAGGCGCGGAGAGGGCCCTATTCGAGAAGACGAGCGTACTAGACACAACGATTCCCTCATGTGCAATCGAATAATGCTTCTGGAGGTGCTGGACTGTGAATAGATTCTGATTGGTCAATTACGGGATGAGGGACCCACCCACCATGCCACCATAGCGGCTGTGACCTGCGTGAAGTGACCTTTTATTAGGTGACGACAGGAACGCGCCTGGCACGTAACTCAGCAGCCTCTAATTTTCCGAGCTTCACTAACCACTATTCGCACAACGCCGGCACGCTCTCCTTTGCTTGCTCAAACAGCCATTGGGAGGCCATCTGACGCATTCAATGGCGGACAACGACAGAAGGGATCACCGCAGTGGCGGCGGCGGCGGGTATCGCAAGCGTCGGTACAGAGGTGAGTGAGCCTTGCTCAGCTTCGTTCTAAGGGATGCGCTGACTGACACTGCACGCCTAGATGACGATGATCAATATGACCGCCGTAACCAGCGTCGCCGATACGATCCGCCTCCCCCAGCGCGCATGCGTCGCCAGCTCCTCAGTCTTGCCGACTCGCCTCTCCGACGCTGGGCAGAGGAGGTGCAAAACCTCGCTGAGCTGGTCGCCGAAAACTACGACGACGACGAGATGCGCAGGTCTTTCATCGACCTGTCCATGCAGTTGCATGTCGAGCAACCTCTCAAGACGCCCTTCCTGGCGGCCGTCATACTGGTCGCCAACGTGAAAAAGCAGGAGCTTGCCGGCGAGGTGCTGGCGCGCCTGGCAACAGAGACCGAGGGCGCGATCCAGAAAGGCGAGTGGAGAACTGTGAAGCTCCATCTGAAGCTCTTGGCTTGCTTGCAGAGTCTCTTGGAGGATGAAGGCATCTTCCCTCTGCTCGATGAGCTGTTCAGTCGTGCGGCTGATCTGCAGACCGCCAGCTCTGAAGATGTGAGTATTGCCAGAATGGTGCGATTGGCGCATGGCGAGCTGACCTGGAACTAGACCATTGGCACCGAAATTGTCAAGATCATTTTGCTGACGATCCCCTACATCTTGGTCGCCTCGCCCGGCCAGCTCTCTCAGCAAAAGGCTGCCGAACTCATGGAGAAGACCGACATTATCGCTTCCGAACCACATGCCCTACAGGCCATTGTCGACCCTTTCCATCCCGAGACGCAGGAACAAAACCCCGGCAAGTCGCAGAGTCTGTGCATGCTTCTCCAGAATCAGCTGCAGGCTGAGGCGGCAAAGGACTGGGAGCTCAAGTGCCTGCCACGCCCCTGGCAGATGCCTCTGGAGGACATTGAGTTGCAGGAGAAACTGTCCACCCCACCGAAGCATGCGCTGCCAACAGTCAACATCCCTACGACTGTCATCGCCGGGCCACGCGCGCTGTTCCCCGAGATGTATCTGTCTGTGTATGCGGACCAAGATGCCGAGTCGGTGCCGCCGTTGACAAGCATCAGCTCCTCCTTGATTCGCGATGGACTAGTTGATACCATCAACATACTCAACTTCAACAGGAATGTGGTGGCGCGCTACCTGCTGGACATTGACAGCTACTTTGCCGACGGCACATTTGTGAAGCGCGCGACGGCCTTTGACGATCTTCGCAACTTTCCAGCTGATCGCTCTACGTGGAAGCCCGAGGACGTCGCGGTCGACACCGTCTTCTCACAGCTCTTTGCATTGCCGCACCCCGAATGCAAGTTGGTGTACTACCACTCCATCCTCACCGAAGCTTGCAAGCTGGCGCCTGCTGCCATTGCGCCTAGCCTGGGCAGAGCGATCCGCTACCTGTACCGTAACAACCCGCGCATGGATCTGGAGCTGAGCTACCGGTTCGTGGACTGGTTCTCCCACCACTTGAGCAACTTTGGTTTCACATGGAAGTGGGCAGAGTGGGCGGATGATACCTCCTTGCCTGCCATGCACCCCTCCATCTGGTTCCTGGAGGGAGCTCTCGATAAGGAGATTCGTCTCAGTTTCGCTCAGCGCATCCAAAAGACCGTGCCGGACCCTTACCAGGCTCTGATTGGCCCTGAGAAGGAACAGGATGTGCCTCCTTTCAAATTTGCAAACCCAGGTACGCACCGTGCTGTCTATGTCTTGTGATTTTTATGCTGACCTTGCCAGATGTCCCATTTTCGAAGGAGGGCCAGGAGATCGGCCAGCTCCTCCGTCGGAAAGCCGCTGACGACGAGATTGCTCCCGTCATCCTGAGCATCCAGGCTCAGGCTAACAGCCAAAACCTCGACCCCTACGTGACGTGCACCGATGTCTTCATGACGGCTGTCTGCTGGGTGGGCTCCAAGTCCCTCAGCCACGTTCTCGCCTGCATCGATCGTACCAAGGCTAGGCTTCTTGAGCTTTCCAACGCAAGCGAGGCGTCGCGGATGCAGGTCGTCACGGCCGTGATGAGCTACTGGCACGCCCATCCCGGTGTTGCTATTTCCATCATCGAGAAACTGCTCAACTACTCCGTCATCACCCCCATCGCGGTCATCAACTGGGCGCTACAGGGCAATGAATCGACGAGCGGCGCCAGCGGCGGCGAGGCGTTGGCCAAGGCGCACGTGTTTGAGATAGTATCGAACACGGTCGCCAAGGTCACCAACCGTGTGCGCCAGCTGTATGCGTCGGACGAAGCGGACGATGAGGCGAGGGCAAAGGAAGCCCAAGCCATGAAGGACATGTTCCGCACCATGAACGACACGCTCACGAGCTGGGCGAACGGCAACAAGGACCAGATGATTGAGACGGGCGACGGGTCCAGTGACCGCGAAGCCATGATCCAGCGCTGGGGACAGCGTTGGCTTAGGGTGTTCCAGCGCAAGGCCGCCTTGGAGGAGGCTTTCCTGCTCGAGGCGGCCAAGGGCAAGGACAGCATGGTCGTGGAGAATGGGGCGGGCGGTCAATAGAGTGACGCCTCTTCGGAGATTCTATAGTCTATCTATCTAGATTTGCTAGTGGGCGAGGGTTCGTCAAGAACAATGGGGCATGGAGTTTGGTATTTAATATCGTTTGATAGCTCAAAAGAAACCCCGCCATTGCGGGTAGTACCGCTCGTTCGCTTTTGCAGTTGTTGATACGCAGCGATTCGTAAAGCCCGCCGGCGAATGTGGCTGGGCTGTGGTACAAATGAATACATGGTGCTTTGTGCTTGCTCGAAACATGTCCTTTTTCTCCTCAACATGCCTCATGGCAATGTATTGATCGACGCGTGAAAACGCATCTCCATCCGATATTCTCATACAACGAGGCGGTTCCTGTCCTCTGATGCTCCTGACCATGGGGATGTGGCCACTATCATGTTCTACCCTTCGCAATCGGAGTCGTTTCGTCCCACTGTTACACTATCACTTTCCTCTGGATCGGTTTCGGCAGCGTCGTCCCGCCTAATGATATCTCGTCGTTCTTTTGCGATTTCTCGCCGTGCTCTCTGATGCGATCGAGCAGATGGCTGCTCATACGTAGAATGACTCGTTAGCTGTTGTATTCCATCGGCAACAGGTTGGGGCTCGCGGCGATATTGGAGTAAGGAGGTACGGAAGCTCTGTGGTGTCACCCGCTTAGGTAGAGGGGAAGATGTGCATGGCGGTGTAGCGATAGTGGTTAAGGGTGTTTTTGTTCGACGTGGTGCTTCGGGCGATACTGTGCTCGGATACGCGGTTTGATCGTGCTACGATGTTGGAGCTTCCGGCGTCGTTTGGTCGGTCTCGTGACTGTCCTCCACCGAGGGCCACGGCGCACCTGGGTTGATCATGACTATAAATGGAGGGAAGTATGCATACCTGATTGAGCTGTGGTTCTTGGTGCCTTCGACCATGGCTAGTTGGACCCGTTCGGCTTCCTGTTCGTGTGTGGCAAGGTGTTGCTGAATGCGTTCCTTACAATCCTCGGCGTCACCTCCGCGGATAATGTAGTTGCAATTCTCTTCATCGCAGGTCCAGGTCCCGTCGGGGCCGCGTGGGGTGGTCGAGGGTATTCTGTCGGCGCGCACAACAAGCTTGATCTGAGCTTCTCCATCTTCCTCTTCGTCCTCGTTGGCTAGTTGCTGATCATCTTCGGTATCGCCGCCAAAAAAGTGCGATCGCTTTGCAATGGGAGAATCTTCCTCGGAGTCACTCTCCAGAGCCCGTTTTATAAGTGTTGCCGCTGGTCGTAGGGCAGACTTGCCTAGGCGCGCTGGCGTCTTTCCAATGCCTCGGCCAGGGGTTTCGAAACCATCGTGGTGGACATCACTTTCGTCCTCGTCCTCGTCATACCCGTAGTCATGGGTGGCCGGCAGTTTCGTAGGTGGGGGTTTGGGCTTGCGCACAATGTTCTCCATCTTCTTCCTGAGGACCAGGGTGTACGGGAATTTGTCCGGTGTCATGGATACTGGCTTGAACGGCTCCTCAACCTTCGCCTCAAGCCAAGACCAAAACGGCGTGCCACCCCATCTCGCTTTGTCGAGTACCTCGAGAAGTTGCGCAGCATTGTAGTGAAAGACCTCCAATACAGGTATCTTGTGGCATCCAGTTTGCCCGTTCTTGTAGGTGGGCCACCGGTAGTCGAAGTAGATTTTGTTCGCGATAGACTGCTCCGTCAGCTTTGCTGGATTTGCGGTCTTGGTATACACGCCCTCCAGGGCAAGGCGCAAAGATTCGAATGGCTCGACATGTTCATCATCTGCGGCCGGCGAGGCCATAGAGGCTTGCGAGGTTAAAGTCGGGGTCGATGTAGACGGCTTCATTTTAGGCTTGGGTGCGGGGCGTTCAGCTAGGACGTGAGTTTCCTCGGGGAGGAGCGAGCGTGATCTTGTAGATCGCTGACGCTGGGAACCTGAGCCTGCCGGCACGTCACCTGTGGTTGCCTTTTCCTTGATTGTTGTGTCCACCGGCGTTAGTTCAGATGATCGAATGCGAGACGGGAGTGAGGCGGGGACTGGTGTCTGGCTTAGAGATGCACTCCGTTGTGCATCTGCTGGATGCTTTTCTACTTGAGGCCGGCCGCTGATATAGGCATCCCTGATACGATGATACAGGTCCTAGAGAGGTTAGAGTAGGTGGATGATAGCCGAGAGAGTGGCACGTACCTTGTGTTCCTGTTTCATCCATGCGTGAAAATAAGTGTTTTCCCATATTAAAACATCCGGCATCGTTGTGAAAAATTGGCTGATGAGAAAGTGAGCAAGGTCATGGCACTTCTGCGTGACATCGTCCATAGTCCAACCGTTCCCGAGCTGCATCGCACAGTGGAGGAATAAGGGTGCCAAAGACTCCACTCGTAGCCTGCTCTTCTTGGAGGACTTTTTCATGGGGATTCCCTGGCCTGTGCTGTAGTATTCCTCGAAGCTGTAGTACATTGCTATCGCCTCGATGGCTTGTCGATAGATGGGGAGATAATGCTGCGCAGGACTGATTTCGTGATAACAGCATTTGCCCCTTAGCCAAAGCAAAGGAGGGTTGAAGCCTAAGCTATCCTCGTCATCGGCGGCAATCCCAACGGAGTAGCGCTCGACCTGGTTGATCTTGATGGGAATACGATTCCTCCTCCCTTGTGTGATCACTGGCGAGGCGGTTAGTCGGTAGGCGGCTCGAGTGTTTGCTGCCACTCACAATGTGTTCGCTGGGCTGCGTCATCAATCATGAGGAACCCGCGCACAATGAACGGGCCATGAAGCTGAAGATCCAGAGGGTTTGCGAGTGTCTGGCCATCCGCCCGCAAGACTTCCGCATCCACAAGCTCGAACGTTGGAACCTCATCCTCAGGAGTGTTTGCTGCAATGGTACGCAGAACGCTAGTTTCCGCCTTCCAAGGGACAGAAGACCTGCTGGCTGGCGCAGCACTCGATGAGGCTGTCAGGCGGCTTCGGCCGCTCATGATAGCATCGAGACCTTGCCAGGTCTAGGAAGATCGTATGAGCAGCAATGAGAGTGTTGTGTGGACGAGGACGAGTAAGAATGTCTCAGCTGTGGCCTTGTGTGCCGGATATAATGCAATGAAGAGATCGCAAGCAAGTGTCCTCAAGTGTAACGACAAAGGCTGATGTCAACTGATGGATAGAAGCGTTGCGAAGTGAGGTCTTGGTGCTCGGGATGAGTGAGCCAACAACGCGCTTGAGTGAGTTCCGTCGCGGTTGACCTTGACCTCAACTTGGGGATCGGCGGGGCTGCATGCCACTTTACGTGGTTCCAGTCCAGATCCCCGAAGGCGAGCAGCAGCAGTGGCCTGCCTGCCTGCCAACAGCCCGCTAAAATTTTCTGGTTCTAGCGGCCTTTCGCGCGACGACTACTGCAATCATTCTTGTCTCGATAAGCGCAACTCTAAAATAATAATTATATCTTTTTTTTCTGGCGCTCTTCCCAGCTCTTCTGCGATTTATACATCCTGGCACGAGGTCTCAACTCATGCCTACGATCTCACAGAATCGGTGAAAGTCCGTCGCGACTTTCCAATTTCAATCCATCGTTCGCAGTTTCTTCCTCTCGTGCGCGCGCGCGGCTGAGTGCTGCTGCCTCCTTCTTGCCAGCGGATCGGAGCTCGTATGCGATCGGCAAAGGACCTCTTCAGGATGGCTTCTGAGGTTGTCCGCGAAGGCTGCTTGGGTGCGACTATTCCTCCGCGCATTCTTGTGGTCGAGTCGAGCTTTAGGGAACTGACAACCGAATCTAGCCATCAACAAGCCCCGAGGACTCAGTTCCGCCCAAGTCATTCGTGACTGTCAAGAAGCGTTCAGCGACACAGCCGTATTCAAGCCAGTCATCTCGGCCGAACTCGCAAAACTAAAGAACAATGGGGGCACCCGCATTAAGCCCCAGAGGCTGCGACAAGCCCAAAAGCTCAAGATTGGACATGGAGGAACACTCGATCCCCTGGCGACGGGCGTTCTCATTCTAGGCATTGGGTCTGGCACAAAGGATCTCTCCCAGTTTCTGGGATGTGTCAAGACGTACGAAACGGTGGTCCTCTTTGGTGCCAGCACAGACACCTACGATCGAGTCGGGCGCATTTTGACAAAGCGACCATACGAACATATCACGCGCGAGAAGGTCGAGGAGGCGCTGGACAGCTTCAGGGGGTGGCAAAATCAAGTCCCACCACTATACTCGGCGCTCAAGATGAACGGCAAGCCTCTCTACGAATATGCCCGCGAAGGCAAGCCGATCCCCCGCGAGATCGCGAGCCGCGAGGTCGAGGTGAAACAGATGGATCTGGTGGAATGGTATGAACCAGGAGAGCACCCCCATCGGTGGCCCACGGAAGAGGCAGAAGCTGCAGAGCGTAGTCTGGCGGAGCAAGTCTGGAACGTCAAGAAGGCGCAAGAGACTGGCAAGAAGCTGACGCCGGAAGAGAAGGTGGAGGAAGACGAGGCCGTGGCGGCCCACGAGAACTTCAAACGCGAATTCGAACAGCGACAGGATTCTCTCATCCGGGATGCCCCTTCGAAACGTCGGCAGAATGGGAGGGAGCCGCCGATGATGTCGGGTGCCCTTGGCCAGATGCCTGAAGCCAAGAAAGGCGGCGAACGTCGAAAGGGCGACGTGGACATCCCCGAGGTATCGGCAGACACGCCTCCACCGTGGACTGACAAGGGCCCTGCCGCTTGCAAGATCCGCATGACCGTGTCGTCTGGCTACTATGTACGCAGTTTCTGCCATGATCTCGGGATGAAGCTCGGCTCGGCTGGTCTGATGGCCGAGCTGGACCGCATCCGCCAGAGTGACTTTACAGTGGGCGGGGTGAACTGTCTCGAATACACCGACCTCGCAAAGGGCGAGGCTGTTTGGGGTCCCAAGGTGCTGAACATGTTAGCACGCTGGAATGGCGAGCCGTCGGAAGACCTCCCCCTTGTCGATGGCGAAGCAAAGAAGGCCTCAAAGGCGGACCAGCGCAACTCGCCCAAGCCCGCGCATACCTCGGAGAAGAGAAAGTCACCACCCACACGAACCAGCGCCTCTCCGCCGCTCAAGGTGCAAGTTCGAAGAAACTCAGTCACCAATAAAGAGGAGGATGAGAAGTCATGGAATGGCATCGAAGACTAGAAGACCTCGGGCCACTACTATACTACTGAATGGCGGGATCATGGGCAGGCGTTTATGGAGCATGGGCATCACAGCGTCATGTAGCATACATGTATGCACACATTTCATTGTATGGCTATATTTGATGGCTAGGCGTGTGGATTTAGAGGTAGACCTAAAAACTGCTGTTCTCAACTCCATACTCTGCCCAAGCAAGCAAGCAATATGAAGTCAATTTCGTACTCCGACCCAATGCTACCAATCCAAGTCCGGTCGTTGATGTCCCTGAAGACCTCTTTTCGTACCTCATCGTCTCATAAGTCGTTACGGCTCTCAAGCAACGACGACAGTGTCAGCTTGCTGCGGAACGGTGACACTGACATCATCCACCTGTGGTTCCGTTTCCGCCAGCAGTGCCCTCACCCGTTCAATCTGGGCCATCGCGCCCTCCAGCTTCTCGAATCGCCGCGTCTTCTCCTTATCTCTCCGCTCCAGTTCGCTGACACGTTCTTCGAGCTTTGCTCTTGCGCGTCGCTCTTCGGCGACCATCTCGTTGGCCTGCTCAAACAGGCTGACGCTCAGCTCCTCTACTTCCCTGCTCGTAGCCGCCACTTTGCCTTCTGCCTCCTTGCGCAGCGATATTTCCCGCTTGAGCGCGTGCAGAAGCCTCTCTGTTTCAAAGCCCGGCGGGCGGGCCACCGCAGCAGCATCAATTTTCAGGTTCGGGGAGGACTTGTGTCGGCTGAGCAGCAGGGAGAGCCTGTTTGTGCCTGAGGCCAGTATTCCACCCGAGGTGCGCTTGTTCTCGCCGGCTTCGTTCTTCGGGGGCGGCGGCGGAGGTGGTGATCCTTCTTCCCCTTGTGCCCTGAGCCTTTGCAGCTCCTCCTCGTAGCCGGCCCATCGGTCGACGGCGGCGGCTGCCTTCTGGTTGAGGTGTCGAACTTGGGCTTCGAGGTCGGCAATGCGGGCCTGGGCCTGCGCAAGATCGAGGGACGTCTGCTCGACGGACGGCGGAAACGCATCGCCACAGGAAGGGCAGTGGGATTCAGGGCCAGACGTTGTCGTCGCCATCTGTGTCATGGTCGTCGGTGAGGTGGCGGTGTTGGCCATGGTCACGACCGCTGTCGTCGACATTACCTGCGCGGGCTTCTCGAAGGGGAACACAGCGCCTCGCTGGGCGAGATGGTGGTTCGACGTGGCACGCGTTGTTCCTTGCTGAGAGCTGGTTGACCAGGCAGAGAGGAATGTTGAGGTTTTACCGTGCCACGCGAAGTGGGTGCATCGAATCCGAATCCGAATGCCGGTGGGAGGATGGTTGTCCAGCCACGAATGAAGCTAAGCTACCTTACTGACGGTACAGCACGTTGTGCAATCAACTACATGGCTCTGACGAGAGAACTGCCATCAGGATCGATGTCGTTTGACATGATTGACTCGCGCGCGGGCTCAGCAATGCTGCATGGGTGTGTCAGTGCTCATGGTACAGGATTTGGAGTCCTGGACCCGATAGGCGCCATCCTCACCTTTCCCGATCTGGACTATCGCGACCAAGCACTCACATAGATCGGCGGGACCCCTGTTGTTGACTATGCCACTTTGTGGGGCCATGCCGAGCGATTGAACACTCAAAGAGCTGCAGGTCAGCTTTCTAGTCCAAGTATCAGGGTCAACGGCTTCTTGGAAGCGGTGGTTGACACGGCCCATTTCGCCCTCGAGGATCGCCGTGTCCCACGAGGTGCGTGTGATACTTGGTCCACCGATCCTCCATGACTACGTGTGCTGTTAATCAAGAAAAGACATCACTTCTAACAGGAATGGCTGCTGTGTGTGATTGTGAAATGGCAGCTTTGGCGGATTGACAGGCCCTCCAAGGGATATCCCCATCGAATGGATGCCTTGCTTCTTCCTCGCTGGTTAACGTAAGTACACACGAGTACTATCACTGAACTAATACATGTACAACTCCTTCTCAGCTCGTGCGATGAGAACTCCCAGACGACTGGCTAAGCAAGCCTGATGGACTGACCAATGTGCTGTCTCACGGATTACAGGAGCGTGGCATGCGTCATGTCACACAAGAACGTGGGTTAAGTCAAGATGGCTCGAACGACATATATCTGCCCAAAGGCAACCCCCGACTATCGAGCAATCGACAGATCCAGACAAGGATATACTTCAGAAACAAATAGAAGAACGACAACTTTCAGCAGCCAACCGTTCTGTACCTATTTTACCATGTGTAAGCCAGCGACTGAACCTTGCTATGTTTCCTATGGAGCTAGGCTGACCAGATATCAAGCTGAGGAAAATCTTACCTATGAACAGATGGTCCATGTCGCCTTCTGGTGCAAGGACAAGGCTCAGGCCGAAGAATGCCACCAGGCTCTAGAGAGACACGCACCTGGATACGTGTACTGTGAGATCCCCGAGAAGCAGAGCCACTTTGTGGTCCACTTTGTCGAGAAACAGGGCTATGACTTGGAGACAAACTGGTTCGCCCTGCAGAGTGTCATGGCTGATCTTCCCTTTGAGGGGTCGAGTGTGCCGGACGGCGTCCACTTGCCTCACTATGAGTATGTCTACAACGGCCCAGGGGAGGTGTGTGAGGAGACCCTGAATCACATTGCCAACCGCGAGCGGGAGAGGCAGGCTGCAGAGCAGTAAGCAGCTGGCGACCAGTGAGTGTCGAGTCTCTTGGAGACTGATCGACACTCAAAGGTAAAGGAGTCCCGTCTGACGAAGTCAGAGGAGTCAGAGGATCCGTTTCATCGGACAGGAGGATAGCTCACTACAAGTATGATGCGGCGTCATTTGTGAGATCTTGTATTCAATAGGACAAGCAACTAATCAGCCATGAAGCCGCCTTCTTCGCTGGGTCACGCGGCCTCAGCACTATGCAAAAGATGAGCATTGAGGTTGTTTGTGAGAACCATGACGATGCTCACCAGATCCTCGCCGACAAGAGGGCTGCCGATCTCATTGTGATATGCAGCCGCTGTGATAGCATCGCCTCATACAGGCGCATCCAAAACGTTGGCTTGGTCTCGACAAAGCACTTAAAAGGCTTAAGCTCGGCGTTGGACAGCTTAGGCGTATTTTACGGTCCCCAGCTTGGCATCTTTGGCACTTGATTTGGAACAAACGACGGCCGCAGTACATGCTGGTGTGCGCGGTAGTTGAAGATCGTCCTAAACTTGGCGATGTTCGATTGGACTCTTTGTCTGTCAGCTACAAAGGGTCGCCGGTCAAATTGCGTGGGTATCATGTAAAGTCGACAATCTGCGCGTCGTCGCGGATGCGACGAGCACACCCAATTGCTCAGTTCGGCTTGGCAACCTTGCGCAACTCGGTAGAGCCAGTCTCGGGATCCTTGTATTCTTTCCAGCTGACGGGCACCATGTCATTGCCTGCGTCACTCGTCGCCATGATGACGCCAAGCTCGTTAGACGCTGTGGAGAGATAATAGTTGGCCTGGTCACCAAGTGAGATCTACGTGTTTTGCATTAGTAGTGTTCCCCATCTGCTAGGGTGTTCTCGCGGTGACTTACCACCTGTGCCTTGACGATATCCCCCGGTCTGAACGATTCGTATATCTTGACCTTGTCCTTCTCGGTAGCCCTCACGTCCTGCGTGCGGATGACACCCTGCCACTCTGTTTGCAGGACCGTATTGCCGACCTGTTGGATGATCACAATGGCTTGCCGGGGCATCAGCCGCAGGACTTTGGCGAGCACAATGTTGCCGACATCTGGCAAGACCTCTCGTTTCTGGCCGTGGCGCGTGACCGATAGGGTAGCCAAGGAGGCGCCATTGTCGTTCCCAGCGTCCTTTGATGTGATCTTGTTCAGCCGCTTCGCCGGACCTGCAGGCTTGACGGGCTCTGCCACAGCGACGTGGCCCATGAGCGAGGAGACTACCTGGCCTTCGTAGATGTGAGTGCCAGCACCGGCGTTGAATCGTGACGTGGACCCGAGAATTGCGCCAGGCAGGGCTGTCGACGGTACACTGGCCGCCATTCTGGGGTGTCGATGTTTTGAATACGGCACGCTGGCTGTGAAAGTCTGGGTTTCGTGACTGCTGAAGACGAGCAAAGAGCTTTGTTGTTTGGTCAGGGACTGGCTGCATGAAGCTTTGCTGCCAGGAAAATCGCAGCCATCGCATCCCACCATGTTATCGATAAGCCCCAGCCATGGGTCCTCAAGTTGGCGGACGCACACGATTTAGACTAACCTACAGCCTGGAAGTCTACAGGCCAAAGGTGTAAAAGAAGAGCTTCAAACCCCTACACTATTTTACCCAGCAGTGGTCCAAGTTCACGGGCGAAGAGTCATCGAGTCAACATGAAGGCTACACTCGTCCATCTTTTGTAGCTGCGACGTCCAGACTTGAGAGTAGTACAAAGAAAATCAAGCCAATAGTGAAAGACGCGATCGGAGGAAGCTAACTGACAAACACAGACGACCAGCGGTGCTTGACCTGGAGACTTTCAACTCCTTACATGAGGACCTGAGAGGAACGGGATTCGGGGAAGACCATACCCAATGCCGTCCACACAAAGGCCAGGGTGCCGATGAACCGATCACGATGGGGCCATTTCCGGGATCGCATTTCTAAAGTCCGCGTCCACCATGCGCTTGTCAGAGCGATGCGCGCGCTGCGTAGGGAGACTAGTCAGAGCTTCTGCGGACCACAGGCAGCCTTTGTAGATCAACAAGTACGCACTTCATTATTAATACGCGGGAGGCCACGAGTGATGGCGCCCTGATGACGCCAAGACTTCGCGGAGATCAGCTTTGCTTCTTCACAGTGTTGGTGGGCGAGTCGACTGAAGCGGGACGGGGACTTTGTTGATTACCTTACCTTGCCTGGCTGGTAGTTTCCGTAGTTGGGAACTAATTAGGAGCACAAGTGGCTGCAGACAGACCCTGGTCATTGTGTCGAATCCCGCTGGGGCATTTGTAAGAGGACTGAATCCGGTCATGGAATAAAACTGCGCCTGCACCTGTAGTCATCATCACTCCATCCATCTCTCACTTGTCCTTTGCGTAATCCACTTTGTATCTATGATCCGCTAGGCACCTGTCTCTCTCTTGTTCTTGTGCTGCCCCATCCTCGACTACATCTCCCAGTGACAGCCAGCCTTGCTCGTGGTTGTCTTTGCCGTGCCTGTGTCCTCACTCTCCTAGTCCAGTCTAGTCTCACTTAGACCACAGCATCGCCAAAACCCGACACACGACACACGCAGCCAGGTCCAGTCCAACGTCCCAGCGCCGCGCATCTGCGCGCGCCTCACCCCAACCGACACAATGTCTGCACCGCCAGGCACGGATAAGAATACCCCACAACCACCGGACGACATCGCCGTGTCAGCACTCGAGCCGACGTACAGTCGCGACGAAAGCTCACCAGAGGATCTCGACGAACTGAGACAGAAACAGCAACATGGAGATGGCGAGAGCTCTTCCGGTCTCGGCACGGCTTTCAGCGAGAAGCACGACACAACTCATGAAGCGGAGCCAGGGTTGCAGAGCGACAGCAACTCGTCCACGCATGATGTCGAGGACATCACCAGACCCAGTCGTCTAGAGCAGACCAAAAGCTATGCGACCGACCGCAGCGCCGTCTCCGCCAGAGTCCCGGTGCCTCACAAGCCTGTCGATCGCCCCTGGTACAGGAAGCTGAATCCCTTGCGATGGGGGGGTATTCCTCCGCTCCCAGAGGAGCGCGAGGTCTCGCGCGAGGCCAAGGCTGGTTTCTGGAGCAGACTGACATTCAACTGGATGACACCTCTGATGACGGTACGTCGCACCCTTCATGTATAATATGAAAAAGAGACAAGATGCTAACAACGCCTCCGTACAGACCGGCTACAAACGCCAGCTGGAGCAAGGCGACATTTGGAGCGTGAACCCGGCCCGAGGCTCTGAGCCTTTGACGGCCAAATTCCGCGAGAGCTTCCACCGCCGCGTGGAAAAGGGCGAGACGCATCCGCTGTTCAAGGCCCTGCACGAGACCTTTTTCTGGGAATTCTGGATCGGCGGTATGGTTGCGCTCCTCGCGACGATTCTCCAGGTCACCGCCCCATTCGTGCTGCGCTATCTCATCCAGTTCGCGACAAATGCCTGGATCGCCCAGCACTTTGATACGAAGGCCCCCCCGATCGGCAATGGCATCGGTCTCACCATTGGTGTGACGGCCATGCAGATGTTCCAGAGTCTGGGCATCAACCACTTCATCTTTAATGGCATGATGGTCGGCGGGCAGGCCAGAGGTGTGCTCATTGGCGCCATCTACGAGAAATCCATGGTCCTCTCTGGTCGCGCTCGCGCCGGTGACTCTGGGAAGAATCTGCTCGCTGCCGCCGCGGAAAAGGACGAGGCCAAGAAAGACAAAAAGGGCAAAGCGAAGAAGGGGCATCAGCCAGAGCCGGACGGTCTGGGCTGGGGCAACGGCCGCATCGTCAACCTCATGAGTGTCGACACCTACCGCATCGACCAGGCGTCCGCCATGTTCCACATGATCTGGACCTCCCCCGTGGCTCTGATCATCACCCTGGCCCTGCTCCTCGTCAACTTGTCCTACAATGCGCTCGCCGGTTTCGGTCTCCTCGTCATTGGAGCGCCCCTGCTGACCATGGCGATTCGAAGCCTGTTCCGCCGGCGCAAGGCTATTAACAAGATCACGGATCAGCGTGTCTCCCTCACACAGGAGATCATTCAGTCTGTCCGTTTCGTCAAGTTCTTTGGCTGGGAGGAAGCTTTCATGAAGCGTCTGGCCGAGTATCGTGGCAAGGAGATTCACGCCATTCAGATCCTGTTGGCGATTCGAAACGCCATCAACGCCATTGGCATGTCGTTGCCCATCTTCGCTTCGATGCTTTCCTTCATCTCGTACTCCTTGACCAACCCCAACCTGCCCGCCGCTGAGATCTTCTCGTCTCTGGCCTTGTTCAATGGTCTGCGTATCCCGCTCAACATCATGCCACTCGTGCTCGGCCAGGCCATTGATGCCTGGTCGTCGATGAAGCGCATCCAGGAGTTCCTGGTGGAGGAGGAGCAGGAGGATACATTTATCACCGATTATGATGCCAAGCATGCCATCAAGCTCGACCATGCCTCCTTCACGTGGGAGAAGAGCCCCGCTCAGGACACCGACAAGAAGACCGAGAAGGACAAGAAGAAGGGCACCCCTGCGAAAATGAGCGAGAAGGCTGCCTCCAAGTCTCAGGCGGCAACTGGTGACGGGCGGCCTGGGTCCTCTGGCGAAGAGAGCACCCTGAACGAAGAACGAGAGCCATTCAAGCTGCAAGACTTGAACCTGGCCGTGGAACGCAACGAGCTGATTGCCGTCATCGGCGGCGTCGGCAGCGGCAAGAGCTCACTCCTCGGTGCGCTGGCGAGCGATATGCGGAAGACTGGCGGCGATGTCACCTTTGGCGCGTCCAAGGCCTTCTGCCCGCAATACGCTTGGATCCAGAACACGACCGTCCGCAACAACATCATTTTTGGCAAGCCGCTGAACAGGGCCTGGTACCAGAGGGTCGTCGAAGCGTAAGTGTACATCCTCCCTACTGTGAAAGTATCACCGCTAACACTGCGTAGTTGCGCTCTCACAGCTGATCTGGAGATGCTCCCCAACGGCGACCAGACCGAAATCGGTGAGCGTGGTATCACCATCTCTGGTGGCCAGAAACAGCGCCTGAACATTGCTCGCGCCATCTACTTCGACTCGGACATTATCCTCATGGACGACCCTCTCTCCGCTGTCGACGCCCATGTTGGTCGCCACATCTTCGACAACGCCATCCTGGGTCTCCTGGGCAACAAGTGCCGTATCCTGGCTACGCATCAGCTCTGGGTCCTCAACCGCTGTGACCGCATTGTCTGGATGGAGAACGGCAAGATTCAGGCCGTCGACACCTTTGAGGCGCTGATGCGTGACCACAAGGGTTTCCAGGTCCTGATGGAGACCACCGCGGTGGAGAAGAAGGAGGACAAGAAGGATGATGACGAAGAGGAGGAGGACGCTGACGAGGGCGAGAAGAAGACGAAGAAGAAGGGCGGCGCCCTCATGCAGCAGGAAGAGCGCGCCCAGGCCAGCGTGCCCTGGTCCGTGTACGCGGCGTACGCCCGCGCCTCGGGCTCCATCTGGAACGCACCGTTCGCCGTCTTCCTGCTTCTCCTGTCGCAGGGGGCCAACATCACCACCTCGCTCTGGCTCTCCTACTGGACGTCGGACAAGTTCGGCCTCAACAACGGCACCTACATTGGCATCTACGCCGCCCTCGGCGCCTCGCAGGCCATCCTCATGTACGCCTTCTCCGTCTACCTGTCCGTCATCGGCACCAACTCGTCCAAGGTCATGCTGCGCGACGCCGTCACGCGTGTGCTCCGCGCCCCCATGGCCTTCTTCGACACCACGCCCCTCGGCCGCATCACGAACCGCTTCTCCCGCGACGTCGACGTCATGGACAACAACCTGACGGACGCCATCCGCATGTACTCCTTCACCATCGCCATGGTCACCTCCATCTTCGCCCTCATCATCGCCTTCTTCCACTTCTTCGCCGTCGCCCTCGTGCCCCTGTACATCCTCTTCGTCCTGGCCGCCTCCTACTACCGCGCCTCGGCGCGCGAGGTCAAGCGCTACGAGTCTGTCCTGCGATCGCACGTCTTCGCCAAGTTTGGCGAGGGCCTCAGCGGCGTCGCCTCCATCAAGGCCTACGGGCTCAAGCAGCGCTTCGTCACCGAGCTCCGTGCCTCCATTGACGAGATGAACGCGGCGTACTACCTCACCTTCTCGAACCAGCGCTGGCTCTCCATCCGTGTCGACTGCATCGGCAACGCCCTGGTCTTCACCGTCGGCATCCTCGTCGTCACTTCTCGCTTCGACGTCAACCCCGCCATTTCGGGCCTGGTCTTATCCTACATCCTGGCCATTGTCCAGATGCTCCAGTTTGGTGTGCGTCAGCTGGCCGAGGTGGAGAATGGCATGAACGCCGTCGAGCGTCTGCGCTACTACGGAACCTCCCTCGAAGAGGAGGCGCCGCTGCACACCGTCGAGGTCCGCCCATCCTGGCCCGAAAAGGGCGAGATCATCTTTGACAATGTCGAGATGCGCTACCGCGAGAACCTCCCGCTCGTCCTGTCCGGTCTGTCGATGCACGTCCGTGGCGGCGAGCGCATCGGCATCGTCGGACGCACCGGCGCCGGCAAGTCCTCCATCATGAGCACGCTCTTCCGTCTGGTCGAGATCTCGGGGGGCAGCATCACCATTGACGGCCTCAACATCTCCACCATTGGCCTCGCCGATCTGCGGTCGCGCCTGGCCATCATCCCGCAAGACCCGACGCTGTTCCGCGGTACCATCCGCACCAACCTGGATCCCTTCAACGAGCACACGGATCTCGAGCTCTGGTCGGCCCTCCGCCAGGCTGATCTCATCCCCGCCGACCACGCGGCCCTGCCCAACCCCACCGAGCAGGTCAGTGACGAGGCCAAGGATACGTCCCGCATCGGTCTCGACACCACCGTCGAAGAGGACGGCCTCAACTTCTCCCTCGGCCAGCGTCAGCTCATGGCTCTCGCGCGCGCCCTGGTCCGCGGCTCCCAGATCATCGTCTGCGACGAGGCCACCTCGTCCGTCGACATGGAGACCGACTCCAAGATCCAGAACACCATTGCCACCGGGTTCCGCGGCAAGACCCTGCTGTGCATTGCGCATCGTCTGAGGACGATTGTCGGCTACGACCGCATCTGCGTCATGGACGCGGGCCGGATCGCCGAGTTGGACAGCCCCCTCGAGCTGTGGAAGAAAGAGGGTGGTATCTTCCGAGGCATGTGTGAGCGAAGCGGCATCCGCTTGGAAGATATCAAGGGGGCCCGTGAGGAGATGATGGGTTTCGACGGCGCGGCCGCCAGTTCATCTGCCAGCGGCACCGCCTGATGTGGGGGATCTGAAAAAGGTTGGAATTGTGTCTGTGTATATGAGCGTGTGCTTGTTGGCGTTTTGGTCACGGGTTACTCATTGGAGGCTTTATATTTTTGCCCATGGCATATATGGTAGATTTCAAAAAGGCACACATAAATATCGATATGGCCACTCTGGACAAGGTGTGCAATCGCAAAGAAAAAGAGTCGCTACCGCGGCAAATTATACTATCAATGCGCATACGAAGTAGAATATGTACTAGGGGCACCCTTATGTGCCAGACTGGGCAATGCCCGTTGTCTTGATCCCTCTCGCGCACACACAACGATAGGCTGCCACCGTTTCCAAGTCTGTTATTAAGCAAGAGGCACACCCTATGCCAACGGAACGCGTTTCCTTTGGATCTTATGCCAACCGTCCTTGACGCCGAATTCACAATACATGTTCAAATCTACCATGCTCCTAAACGAGATTCACTGCGCCCCCGATTTGTAGCTCCTCAAGCTCAAAATCGGTTCGACCCGGGGCCCAGGTTCGAGTGACGTGGTCCAGTCGACGGGGGCATGTGCGGAGGCGGCAGCGCGCCCGGATCATCAGCCAGCAAATCGTCGAGGTAGGCACTGGGCGCCCGTTGGCTGCTCGGGCGGTTGAGCGTTGACGCGCTGATGTCTCGGCGAGCAGCAAATGATGGCGAGTCGGGAGGCGAAGGGCCGGACATGTTACGCGCGGCGCCACGGCCCCGTGAGTCGGGCCGCAAGTTTGTCAAGCTGATGGAGTGAGTGTGGTTCGCGCCTCCAGCGTTACCGCCTGCAGCATAGAAACCAGAGGGGAGGAATGTCGAGCTGCGGTTGCCAGTACTGCCCGTGCCGGCGGCAGTTGGCGAAAAGAACAGGTTCGAGTGACTTGGGTTTGCGGAGGGAGTCGGGCCACGGTTTGTCCGGCGAGCACCACGGCCAGCAGTAGCACCACCACTGAGGGACATGTTGGAGCCCTGATCAGTGTACTTGTAGAACGGAGCAGGAGGTGCCGGAAAGCCAGCCTTGCTGTTAGCATCGTGCTGTGCCAAAGCGGCACGCTCGACGGATCGATGGAGCAGCAGACCCCCGATCAAACGCCAGAGAAGGATGCCAAGTCCGAAGGCGCCCAAAACTGCGCCAACAATGATGAAGACGGTGCCATCAGGGGCTTGCGAATGGCGCATGAACGGAGCATGGTCCGTCGGAGGGACAGTCGCAGCAGGATACTCTGGGATACCAAACCCACGAGTGAGTGTAGGGCCTCCAGTGATACCGCCTCCCAACTGGGTCGTCCCAGCCGCTGTCGTGGTGTCGGTAGGCTCCTCCGTCGTCGATGTCTGGTCTTCCTCGGTCGTGCTGGTGGACTTTTGTTCTTCAGTGGTCGTGGACTCGGGCTCAGCAGTGGTCTCTGGCTTGTCCTCGGTGCTGGTGGGTTCAGCTGATGGCTCATTTGTCGTTTCGGACGCTGGGTCTGCTGTTGACTCTGGTGCCTGGTCTGTTTGGGTCTCAGACGTCGATGCCTCCGCTCCATCGGTGCTCTGGCTGTTGTTATTATCGTTATTGTTATCGTTATTGTTGTTGTTGTTATTGCCGCCGTTGTTTTGGGCGAAGACGGGCTTCACAGCGAGCATAGCGCCCGAGGCAGCGACAGTCGCCAAGGCATATCGCCGCCTCGGCATTTGCACGCGGAGACGCATGATGGCGGCTGAGCAGAGTGTATCTTGGGCGTCGTGTCGTTCTTCACGTTCGGGATTGAGCACAACCTCAACGATGGAGGATCAGTGTCGATGGCCCAACCCGTTCTGTTGGCAGAAGGGTGATCGTGGAGGGAGGTTTCCCTGTCGCAATAGCGCTGGGACGTTGGCAAGACGATGGGGGCCGGTCCAAAGGGAGGCTGTCGCCGTGGCTGTGTTCCGATGACTGTGCTGCGGTGCTTGGAAAGCGAGTGATCTCGGGGGCGTGCTGCGGGATCGTTTGCGAGAGAGAGAGATGGAAGTGGGAACTGAGGAGAAACGAATGATATTCCAAAGTTCACAAAACCCCGGCACGGGTAATTGAAAAGAATGAATCTGGTACTACTCTGGTGCTGTGCTGCCAGGGGGCGGGCGGATGAGGGCGTGATCGGGTTGGTCGAGGGTTGGAAAGGGAAAGGAGAAACAGAAAAGGCACAGCGCACGCACACACAGCGTGACACAGGCACGCGAAGTGAGACTTCTTGCGCCAGCCCAGCGCTGAAAGAACCAGGGCCCATTTAATCATGCTGAGGAAGGCACGGGATGGGCTGGACCAGTCTTGGCGTTTGCCAAAGGAGCCACCGATCATCCCAATCTGGGAGGTCCCGCATGCTGCTTTACGTTTCTGAGTGCTGGCCATCGCTTAGCCCCTTGAACTCGAATTTCCATGCATTAACGAATCGTAGACCTACGCAACGTGATCGACGCACCCCTGCTTGCATCATAAAGCGGCGCCAACCCCAGCCCGAACCGAACGGTTGCTGTGAACAATCGCTCGTGTTGGAGGGTAAATACGAGCGAGCACGACATTTCCATTTTGCTCATGATATCTAGGCTTTGAATCGTCTAGATATCAAACGACGTACCAAATATTCACTTGATAGAGGCGAATCCAATGTCAAATTCGAGTGCACTGCTGCGGCCAGAGAGCAGAACGGACCGGATATCATATCCCTCTGTTGACCTACCCTGCACTTTACGACCACAACACTGGTGAAGGTTCAGGATGCAGTCTATGCGAGACAACACATGGGATACGACGGTTTATCCAGTACTTTGGCTGTATCTGACATGTCTGGCAGGCAGCCGCACACACGACGATTTTGTGGTCGTTCCCATGTAAGTGAAACAGAACAAGACGTACACCAGCATTACATTCGCTGGCATGAACAGTGGTCGTGTCAAGGGACAGTCACTCCAACTTGAGAGTCTCTTCCATATCCGTAACTAAACATGCCGGTACGACGACGGTAAAAACCATGCTGCATTGAGTAAATATCGGGATGTGGTGGCAGCGAGGGGCGGACCAGTCCGCGATGAGCTATAACGTAACTTGTCAGATCGTCTACAGTAATTGTCAGGGCGCATTCCCCACAATGACTATCGCTCGCTTGCACCCGTTGAACGCTACGTGTACCAATTTCGACTACACATCAACCATCTTATCACCAGCGATGCATTGATGGACGCATCTCGGCCCAACACCGAGACGAAGTCTCTGAGCAACCTCTCGCATGAGTCGCATCATGCCTCGCTATCCATGCAACCCCCACACGGATGCTGTCGAACCTGCAGGCTGCAGCGAGTCAACCTCTGTCGATACCCTTTCCCCACACTTCACACTGCTTACAGCTCGCGGTGCCGGCGTCTCGATGCCATCCAACACGCCAGCTTGGCCAGTCACGTCCGCCGACGCGCATCGCAGCCGCCCGCTATGACGAGTGTCAGGCACATGCGCGAACCTCCCGCGCCCTTGGTCCAAGCTGCGATGCTGCGCCGTGCCCAAAAGCCACGATAATCTCTCATTCGGAAATGACGCTGGCGTGCGGTGCGGGTGGGCTTCCCTTATCTCTTGCCCCTCCTTTGACGTTGCTATCTTGTACCCTTGTGGTCCTTCAACCTTCTACAGCCTGTGAACATGAATAGTATTTAAATATTGCCTCTCTTGCTGGATCGCGTGACCGGACGGACTAGTGTGCAAAAGACCCTGGATCTGTGACTCTTCTCGAGGACGTGGCTCGCTGATCCCGAGCGCCACAAACCTTAAAAGGACTGACGGGAGAAGCGGCTCAACATCTTGTCAGATTGAGGAGGACTGTCCTTCAATCGACTCACTCAGGATCTTGCCAGACATCACAGTTCGAATTTGCAACGGAGAAACCAGATACAGGGCCGCCGAGTCCCAGCCATTGCGATGAACACCCAAGTGTCCTTCCTGGTGAGTTGCCCGTCTCTCCCTCAACCGTCATGCATAGACCGACGCCGGCCTCGGGCATGACTTGGATCCATGGAAACGGAGAGCTGACCCTGACAGGATGGGACTTACACCCTGATACACATCCCCTCGCCTCTCTACGCCTCCCTACTACAACCTATCCTACGCGTGCTGCTGCCACAGGCACAATGCGTCGACAATGACCCAGCGACAGCACGCGAGGGTCCTCACAGGCACACTCTGAACGACTCCCAGCACCACGCCTTTCTGAATGTCAGCGTCACGCCGCTCGAGGTATCCCTCGTGTGTCCGTCCAAATGGGCCCAGGCCATCTTCAAGCCGGCCCTGGAAAGACTCCCGTCCAAAGAAGCGAAGACGGTAGACCTATCCCGTGATGAGTACCTGGTGCTCTCCGTGATCAGCGCAGGGCTGGACGCCGCCAGGAGGGTCATGGAGCTGACAAGCCCACTCGCGCTGGCCGGCATCCCTATCTTCTTCATCTCCACCTACTACTCCGACTTCATCCTCGTGCCGGCCAAGGCCAAGGACAAGGTCATCAAGGCCTTTGAGGAGAAAGGGCTGCACCTCAGCGGGGACCATGGCCAATTCGTCAACGACTGTGCCGCCGGCAGCAGGACGGTCACGCCCGAGCGGAGCACCACACCACCGCCGCCCGAGTCGTCAGCGGAGATTGACGTCCAGACACGGGCTTTCGACACCCTGACGAAGAGCAGTGTTCTGCCCCAGGTGATGGACGACCTGCATCTGGTGCATTGCTCGGGCAAAGAGTTGGATCCCATCACAGACGAGGTATATGATACCCGCCAGACCACAGGGAGACACACCAACGGCCACAAACCTCGGAAAAAGACGTGGGTCGACACTGTCGATCCAAAGCTCTACACGTGCTTGATCTCTGCTCTCGTAGCGGAACCCAAGTTCATCTCGGTGACCCTGGCGCAGGGCGATCCCCCATCTCTGCTCCTGGACAAGTCTCTCCTGCCTCTGTTCGCCGACTCCATCGTCGGGGACACGGACAACAAACAAGTGCCCATCTTCCTGGATCTGGTGAAACTGCCTGTCGAGATCATCGGCATTGTGTGCGGCGTGGCCGGTAGGCTGGTCAGGGATATGCAAATGGAAGCGAGCGCGGAGCTGTCCTATCTGTCTACCGCGAGGGCGGGCGTGGTCATTTTGCCGGAGGAACAGGCCGGAAAAGCACTGGATATCCTACGACCCTTGCTGAAGAAGGTTGAATGAAGGAGTGGATGGTTTGGGTTGGCGTTTGGCCACACGCGCATGATACCTCTTGATTGTGATATAGTTTTGATGCCCAAAAAGTCGATTGATTTCGTTGTCTTATTTTCCTTTCTTCTTGCCGTCTTTTCCTTTCTCCTCCACGTAGCCAGCCTTGACGATGCCTTCCCTCGCCACGCCGTTGATGACCGCGAATCGTCTCGGTCCCATCTTGACACCGCCGTACCAGCGTGTCACGACCACCATGACGCCCCAGACGTCCATCATCTGCATCAGCCTCAGCACACGGCCACCCGCCGCCGTCTCTCCATCGTCGTCGCAGTCCTGCCAGCTCGTCCCACTGTTCGGGTCGCGGATTCGCCAGGCGGAGATGTTGTGCGTTGCCGTGCGGATCTGTTTCGACGAGGACAGGAGATGGGTGAGATACTGCCTCGCCTGCGCCGGCGACGACACAGGCGCGACGTGAGCCACAAACGTCGACTTCATCTCCACTGTGAGATCCGTCACTGTCCACGGTGGTGTCGGCAGGTTGGCAATGTCCATCTCCTCCTGCTCCGCCCTCGTCCTCGGCTCGGGCGTCACCTCTCTGTCCTCCCCTTCCTCCTCCTCCTCGCCATCCTGCTCTTCCTCTTCCACTCGTCGATTGAAAGCCTCCACCGCATCAAAGATGCATACGATGCCAGGCTCGTACACCTCGCTCAAGGCGTCGACAAAGAGCCCGAGATCTCTAGCTCCGGCGCCTTTCTTCCCGCCCGATGCATGATGCGTGCCTAGGACTTCGGGAGGTACGTGAGGATATATCTTTGGAAACGCGACTCGGAGCGATGACGCCTCATTTGGCAGCTTGAGAATGTATATGGATGAGGCATCATCGCTCGCTGTGTCTGAGGCGGGGGCGAGTGTGGCGTCTCCGTAAATGGAGTTGATGGCCTCTACCTCGTCGAGAAGCTCTTCAGACATGATGATGCCGATCAATGGTGGCTGCAGCAGCCAGATCGCTCGCCGCGTATCTAGTAGGTACTACTACTATTGGGAACTTGAAGATGTGAGGTGCATGTGGCTCTAAACTCTATCACACTTTCAACGCGTACCCACAATGCATTGGTTCATTGCGAGCTAATGAGTGGTCACTATAACACCACATTATCGAAGCATGCACGACTACTGCAAATGGCTTGTTCTAGCTGATAGTAATCAGATCAATTCGATATATGAGGACGATGCTGGCGGGACACAATTTCTGAGGTCCGACTCTATAGAACAGTGCTTACAATACGCGGCAACAGCCTGCTAACCTAATAGACCGCACATCTTCTACTCGTCCATGACCGCCGCGAACTTGTCTGTCATTTGTTGCTGAATCTCCTCGTACTGTATTCGTTAGCCGGTGACGTCCGCGCGCGAACAGATGTGTCTAACTGACCTTCTTGGTGATGGCCTCCTGGCCTTCCGAGGGAACCTCAAACTTGAGACTGCGAAGCTTGGACTGCAATTCGCTCGTGGAGTCGCGGACCTTGCTCCAGTGCTGGCCCTGTGAAATGGCCTTCTGCGCCTCGTCGTGGTAACCCATCATCAACTTCATCATCCACTCCGTCTTCCAGATGGGGCAGAACTGGTCGTAATCCGAGTAACCGTTCTGCTGCAGGAAATCTTCCTTGATCATACCGGCAATGTCCAATGTGATCTTGTCAGTGTCTGACAGCGCACTCTTTCCGACCAGCTGGACGACCTGGTCAAGCTCCTCCGAGTCCGAGAGAAGGTTCTTCACGCGGTCACGGAGACGCGGGAAGTCAGGATACTCCTTCTCGTAGTACTTGTCGAGTGTGTTGGTGTACTTGGAGTACGACATGCTGGTGTTGATCGAAGGGAAATGTTTGCGCTGGGCGAGCTTCTTGTCGAGACCCCAGAAGACCTGCACGATACCCAGCGTGGAACTCGTGACGGGATCGGAGAAATCACCACCGGGGGGACTGACGGCACCGACAATGCTGACACTGCCCTGGCGCTCAGGAGACCCAAGCGATTGAACGCGGCCAGCACGCTCGTAGAAAGAAGCCAACTTGGCAGACAGGTAGGCGGGGAAACCCTGGTCAGCAGGCATCTCTCCAAGACGACCAGAGATTTCACGCAAAGCCTCGGCCCAACGCGAAGAGGAGTCAGCCATCATGGCGACGTTGAGGCCCTGGTCGCGGAAATATTCGGCTACAGTAATCCCGGTATAGATAGAGGCTTCACGAGCAGCGACGGGCATGTTGGAGGTGTTGGCGATCAAGGTTGTGCGCTTCATGATGGGCTCCTGGCGGCCGTCGACGTCAATTGTCAGCTCAGGGAAATCCTTCAAGACTTCGGCCATCTCGTTACCACGCTCTCCGCAGCCGACATAGACAATGACGTCTGAGTTGGAGAACTTGGAAACGGATTGCGAAATGACAGTCTTGCCACAGCCGAAAGCGCCAGGGATGGCTACGGTACCACCCTGCACACTGGGGAAGAGGGCGTCGAGCACACGTTGACCGACAATAAAAGGCTGGTCGGCAGAGAGCTTCTCAGTCGAAGGACGAGGGACACGGACGGGCCAAGTCTGCATCATTGGGTACTCAGTCTTGGTGCCGTCGAACTCGACCTCGAGGATGTTCTCGGCGACGGTGTATTCACCCTTGGAGGCGATCTTTGTGATCACACCGCGTGCGCGAGGCGGGAACACAATGCGGTGAGTGTGAATGAACGAGTTCTCGAAGACGGTGCCCCAGACATCGCCGCCCGAAATGTGGTCGCCAACCTTCATGATAGGGGTGAACTCCCACTTCTTGTTGCGGTCGAGGGCGGGGACAGCGATACCGCGAGGAATGTAGATTGACTTGGCCAAGTCGGAAATGGCAGCCAGGGGGCGCTGGATACCATCGTAGATACTGTTGAGAAGACCAGGGCCGAGCTCGACGGAGAGAGGCTTGCCAGTGCGGGCAACAGGGTCGCCGACGGTGACACCAGCTGTGCACAGTCAGAATAAACTAGGGAATTGGTAACAGAGGAACCTACCAGTCTCCTCGTAGACCTGGATGGTGGCCTGGTCATTGCTGATTCTAATGACCTCACCAACTAGGTTCTCGTGGCCGACCTTGACCTGCGAAGCAATCAGTCTGTGATTCTGGACGGCGTATCGATGTCTGACGCACAAGCTCGTACATGGCCACGCCAATCATGTCCTCGGCGACAACGACAGGTCTGCGACGGGGTTAGCTGCGCTCGAAACTCGGCATTGGCTGTCGTGAGTGCTGACCCGGACACGGAGTAGATCTTGCCTACATGGTATTAATTAGAATGTCAACAGAGCTAGGAACAGAACAACATACCACTAGGGAGTGCCTCCTCGCCATCAGTGGCTGCGTTAGCCTTCTTGTTCTGGCGCATGTCAGCCCTCGTGGTCGACTAGCGGGGGTTGGTTGACGACGGCCGGCATTTACCTTGGGAGCCATGGCGGGCGGTGTTTGTGACGACGATGAGGATCCAGAAGAGCGAAGAGAGGGTGCAGAGGTGTCGAGCTCGACGTCTACGGATGCAGTAGAGCTTCGGAGAGACGGCGAGGCTGGCCGCAGTGGAGGGGAGGAGGTTGCGAACGGGGATGCTGGAGGCGACGTTGAGGTAGACGCGGACGGTGATGTCGGTGGAGAGGTTGGCAGAGGCAGGCCGGAAGCTTCCTCCACTGCCAGTGGCTGCGGGCGGTCACGGTGCGCTCCAGGTGGTGCAGGCGCTGCTGGGCCCGCTGTGGCTGTGGCTGGTGCGTCTGCCGCTGCTGGCGATGACGATGCCGCGTGGCTGGTGGCTGTAGGGTAGCCAGCTGCCTCGTGGTTGTCGCCCTGGCTCTGGCTTCGCGTTCGCACCAGGTCCAGCAACGAAGGCCGCGCCTTGAGCTTGGGCCTTATCCCTAGTTGCATTCAAAGCTACCTCCTCAAATGCTGTATATGGAGACGGCGCACAGCAATCCTTGTGTCAGTGCAGCGGTCAATGGCTGCGTCGAAGGTTGATTGGTCTCGCTGGTTATGCGAAGGGTAGGAAAAGAAGGTGAGATGTCCGATCTGTGTCCGTAGTCTTGTTGAAATGCATGACAGCCCGCTTGAATTCAGGCTTGGGAGCCACATACCACATACACAATGCGTAGTTCTGTGCAGCCTGCTTTTGGAATATGGCTCGTGCTTAACATTTGCTGGACTATCAATTCACCTTGTGTATCGATATCCGTGCACAAGGCTCGATGTTGACGACTGTACAGTGTTGATACATTGTTACATCCAGCAAGGAATCTCTACTAGATCTTGCATACACAAGAAATCCCTCCAGGGATCATACCCAACGCCTGTCTATGCTCGTCGCTAAATGTCAAAACAGGCCAGCCATCGGACGCCAGCATACACATCTCCTACATATCGTACATTCGCTTGAGACCATGCGGCAGACGCGTTATGACTCAGCGTCCTCCGTCCGCCAGGCCACTTGCGTTTCTTTCTTGCTCTGCTTTTTGTCTAGAGCCTTGCGGTACCTTCTTCCGCTCTTGGACAATTCCTGGAGTTGATCCTTGAACGCATCGTTCCAAGAACGATTGCCGACCTTTCTCGGATCTTCATCGTTCAGGGCAGCAGACCGGCGTCGTGTGATTTGGCGGTAGATTCTCTGCGCCTCTTGGTCTGGTATATCTGTGATACTGTACTCCAGGGACCATTGGAACGCCTGACGCTGGCTGTCACTGCGAGCATCTTCCAGCGTAGGTCGCTCAACCTCCTTGCCATTGACCTTGTTCCGGATGGTCACGTACATCCCGAGCAATTCAGGAATGTTCTCAGGGTCCTTATCGGACTCGCCTTTCTGCGCCTCGGCGTTGTTGGCATCGGTACCGTTGCGAATGGCATCCGTAACCTCAGCCTCCGACTTCACCTCGGTAGACCTCGTCTCGGACGGACTATCATCTTCAGGCCACTGTTGTCCGTTGCTGCTACCATCGCGGGTGCGCTCCGCCAGTTCCGCCACCAGTCGTTCAAAGTCACGCAGCTCGTGCTTCTTCGCCTCCGCCACCTCAGTGACCTTGACGATCAGGTTCTTCAAGATGTCCTGTTGCGATTGCTGATTCGACTCATCTCCTGATTCGGTCGACGACGGTTCAGCGTTCGCGTCCGTATTCTCCTTTGCGTAGTCAGGCTGCGTTTCCTCGGCTGTTTCCTTTACTTCTCTGCGGCCAGGCGCCGCCGAAGCCAAAGCCTCTACAAGCATGTCCAATGTTTGCTGGTTCTCTTCCTCCGAAGCTGCTTGTAGCAGATCCCGCTCCTCAAGCGCATTGCGAAGTGCGCCACGAACCGAGGCGACACCAAGGGACTCATTTTCAATCGTGTCCTCAACCTTGGCGATCATTTCCTCCCAGGCTTCGCTGTTGTGTACGTCTTGGCCGGACCCGTTGTCCGTCCCAGGTGCAGTGCTCGTCTCAGCCGTCTCTCCCTCTTCGATGCTTTCTTCTTGAGCCTCCTGAGGTATGGATCCCCGCTGTCGGATGAGATCGCCAGTGATACGCTCCACAACTGCCTTGGCCGAGGACTCGTCTTGCTTGATCTCCTCGTCGGTGACGGGCTGCACAAAGAAATAAGTCAACGGAACGTTTGTCGGCCGAGTCTCCACGTGAAAACGTAGACTCCGACCTGGGAACCGCTGTGTTGCCCGGTCCATGAGCTCATTGAGCAATTTGATGCTCAACTTGAACTCATCATCGCCGAGCCTCGTATCAGTCGTACCGTGGATCGCCTTGTCCATCTCTTCCAGACCAATGTACTGGAACCCAAAGATGCGCTGGGTGTTGTGATAGGCAACGAAGATACCATCCATGCGACCCATACGAACCTGGAGGGAGTATTTAAGAAAGGCTGCCCTGATCAGATCCACGTACTCTTTTTCGTACGACTCCCATTGGCCGAAACGATCCCGGATCTCGTAATCGCGATACTTCTGGTAGTCATGCACGTCCATCCTGATGGAGACCACAGCTCTCGTCTTCAAATCGAACACGCCGCCACCCGGTAGTCGAGGATCCTTGGCGTCCAGCTGGGAGCGCAGAAGAAAGTCGCCAATGGTAGAGTAGTTGTACGCTTCCTCGGCATTGCGATCTTCCTCGGGGATGAGATGGGATCGCGTCCGACGGTACTTCTCGTACTCCTCCTTTGGCAATGTCAAGAGCTTCTCCATAGACTTGCCTAGCATGCTGAGAACATTCTCTTTATCGTATTGCTTGTCGGAGTCGATGGCGTACACGCCATTCTTGAGGCGAGCGTAGCAAGCTGCAGGCGCCAGCATGATCGAGGTGAAGTTGGGGGTCTGGATTTCGAATCCCTTGGTCACAGCCTGGTCATAATTGGGCTGTCGCCAGGCGGACAGAAGGTAGTGAAAATGCGACAGGACACTGGTTGTGCTCGACGTCGATCCGCAATATTTAGCACCAAACTTCCTAGCCATTCCCATCAAACGTTCGTCCTTGGAAGATGTGATGTATGCCTGCAGAGCATCAAAGTCGAAGTCTTCCACGGCCATGATACTGGCGAGGTAGGGGTCGAAGTTGAATACTTGGGTCCGCGGATCTTGGAGCTGATAGACGCCGGGGTTGAACAGCACACGCTCGAGGTTATGCGAGAGCTGAGGCACCTCACGCTGTTCCTCTGGAGCGACGGGCACCAGGTTGAGCAGCTTAGCATGCGCAGTGCGGACAGGCAACGGTGTGCCGAGAGCTCGTCGCCGCCGTGGTTCCTTTTCTGACTTTGACGATTCCGACTTCTCAGCCGTCTCTTCCTTGGATTTCGCTTTTGCGGCAGCATTTTTCTTTGATTTCCCGAGCGTCGGGCTTGTGTATCCTTCCCGCTCGATATCCTCCAGCTGTTTCCGTAACGAAGCGAGCAGGGTACTGTGCCTGGTGTCGCTACTCTGTTCGCTGTCCGGCGACTGTTGATGATCTTCTGAGACCTGTTGGCCAAAGAAACCCGGCCCGTTCAGTAGAATTCCCTCAGCGTCCGGGGCTCCCTCACGTCGGCTGGCTTCCCATATTGACTTCTGGTATTCCAGTTCCGACATGGGCTGGTGAGGATCGTCGGCAGAACCATCGTCATTGCTTGGCGAAGCACCTTTGGTTGAGGGCTCGTCGGTCTTGGAAGCGGCTTTGGCAGCTTTGCTCCTTTTCTTGGACGGGCTTCGCTTGAGGAGAGGGACGGACGCGTGGAGGTATCTTTGCTGGTACCGGATCGGGTGGACGTTCCGGCCCAAACGGCTCAAAGCTTGCGAAAGAAGCATGGCGCAACAGTAGAAACGGCAGCCAAGTGATGAAAAACCATAAAAATAGCTGGTCACCCGTATAAGGTGCGCAGTGCCCCTTTGGAGAGATGGTTGGCAATGACGACTGGAGCGACGAAATTCAAAGCGCGCCTGTCGTCGCGTATTGTATTTTCCTTATCGATAAGACAGCTGGTGACAGGGGTACGCTCACGGGCACTTGGCACTTGGCAGCTCTAAGCCTCTACGTAGCCGGGTGGGTCAACGTCAACGTCAACGTCCTCACACGCCGCCGAGGAGTCGTGCTTGTCCAAGGCGCTCGACGACATCCTGCTGCCGCAGTCGCTACTCTTGTCCGCGATTCGCTTCATCACACGACTACATCTTTGTGCCAGCTGATTCTGGAATAGCGAAGTCACACACCTCTTGCGATTCGTTGCGCCCTCGTTGCGCGCATGAGCCGCGATGGGTGCTAGCGATTCGAAGCTTGTCTTCAAGCAGGGCATATTCAGGCTCTCAGAGGAGCGTCACATCTCTGCGGAAGACCCATATTGGACCTCGGTATGTCCAGGCATTCTATTCCAGAGAGACCTAATGAAACTCATTGTTCAATAGTTCTGGGAACTTCCAGAGTCTGCCGAAGATGTCTTCAGCCTGTTCTCGCCAGCCGATATCCGCCGCACCAGAGACAACGCATTAGAAAACCTCGAAACGTTGATATTAGCGACTACTTCACGCTTGTTCATATTACGACATCATCCATCCTTTCCGGATCTTGAACTGGCACCCGAACGAGACGCCTTGAACTGTATCCGAGTTCTGACGAGGATACTGCCGTACATATACGAGAAAGAGAGCCTCGCAGCGTGGGAAGAGCAGTTCTTCTGGGCAAAGCGCAGAAAAAGAACGCGGAAAGCAGCTATCGCCTCCGAAGTTCTCTTTGACGAATCGACGGATAAATCAAGCAGGGGCGACGATGACGAGCCTCAATTCGAAGAGGTCAAGCCCCTTGCAGAAGAGCTTATCGACACATTGGTTGACTTGCTCTTCTTTGTCGACTTGACGCTCCCTCCGCAAAAGCATGCGCAATCCAAAGTAACTTACGCTATCTGGCAAAGTGGCGTCGGCTGCAATACGACAGTAGCGACTACCAAGGAGTACGAAAGCAACAGGAGCGAGATCCTACGACTGCTCATCACAATGGCCGGTCAAAGCATGTACATGACGCCTGGTGTGCTGCCAGGGAGAGGCGTGCGGGCTCTGACACAACTCTGCACGTGTCCTGACAAGCAAGTTGTCTTATCAGTGCTCTGTTCCCTGTTGAACACGGTAAGCCTCGTGGCTGTATCACTGTTGTAAGAAGCTAACGATTTCGAGTCCATGAAATACAACCCGGCCTCGTGGCGAGTCCCTTACAACAACCTTGTGTTCAAGGACACCAAGCAGGTTTTAGTCACACATTCGCTGCAACTTCTGCTCAATGTTTTGTTGTATCCGATACCCGAGAACTCATCAACAGGACCGTCCAAGAACTACTATCGTCATTTCCTCGGCCGCGTTCACCGGCCACAAGACTTTCAGTTCATCGTGGATGGTATGCTGCGAATCCTGAACCAGCCACTGCAAGAAAAGGCGTCTTATCTTCCTGGTACTCAGACGTCGGGTAGCTTCGCTGCAGAGGTCATCATGCTGTTTTGGGAGATCACACAATGCAACAAGCGGTTCCGGGCCTTCATCATCGATACCAACCGAGTCCACGACTTTGTCGTCTTGGCACTGTTCTACGCGTTGGAGTACAAGAACGAGCCATCCCGACAAGGGATCGTGCGCATGTGCGCTTTCTTACTACAGACCTTGAGCGTGGAGACTACTTTTGGCTTGAGTCTCAACAAAACCTTTGAGGGTCAGCATAGTCTACCCCCGTCCATACGCATAAATGGATTCCACGGATCCTATGCTGATTTCCTGATCCAATCGATCTATACTCTCATCACGACCAGTCAGGGGAAGCTATCGGCAATATATCCAGCGCTCATGGCTGTCATCAACAACGTGGCTCCGTACATTGAGAAGCTGAACAGAGCCAGCAGTGCCGTTCTATTACAGCTGCTTTCATCAATGGCCTCGCCCTCCTTCTTACTCGCGAACGAGAGCAACCATACCCTGTTGCACTCTCTGTTGGAGTCCATCAACTCTATTGTTGAGCACAAGTACCGCAAGAACCCCGAACTCGTTCTCGCCATAGTCAGGAATGCGAAGAGAATCGAGGCCCTCCGCACCTTTACACTGGAGAGCGGCCAAGAAGAGATGGAAAGGAGGCACAGGTTAAGGAAGGAATCTGGCGAGCCGCTCGACCCTCTTGATCCAGCAGCATTGCGCACATCAAGCGAAAGCGTGCGCAGCTCGCCTGCACCGCCAGCTCGAACCAGCACGTTGGAGGAGGTCCCAGAAGACGGTGCCTTCGCCATTGGCGATGACGACGAGGACGACGATAGCGATGACGGGTACCATCCAACCCCTGCTCGATCTACGACGAGTGACAGTGCGTCCCAAGATCAGGTAGGGACATCCGCAGACGATGCGGTGCCTACCCAACTCCGGGGGATGTCTGAAAAGGCCAGAGGGAAAATGCCTGTTGGTGTTCGGTCATTCTCGAGGCAAAACAGCACCACCAGTCTCGGTGCATACTCAACGACTGGACAGTCGATGACCGGTGGATTCGAGCCTTCCGCGCACTGGATTGAGTCTTGGCTGCCCGAATTGCCTCTACACACGATACTCACGATAATCCAGCAGGTCTCTGCCGCCCTGCCTCGTCAAGCGCTCGTGCAAGACCCCCCCTCGCCAGACACATTGCGCAAAGTTCAGCAGACAGAGGTGTACGGGATCGAGTCTTCACCGCCTCGTGTACACTCCTTTGAGTGGTCTCCGCTTGCTCTAGGTTGGTACGAGTCTCTGCTATGGGGCGTCATATTTGCGAGCGAGCTGCAGTTTGCCCGAGGCAACATGAGCGTATGGAATGGCACAGCCATCAAGCTCTTCCGAGTCCAAGAGACGGCTGCCGCAGGGCCTACATTGACATCCCCGAGGGGCGCTGTCGATGCTGTGGGTAGCAACATTGTCTCGCGCATTGGCCAGATCAACTTGAGGGGAAACCAAGGACAAGCACCCACGCAGCCACAGGGAGGCGATGGTTCGACCGCGCGGAATGCTTAATGGGTCACGGGTTCATGTACGCAGTGGGATGGATGAGCGTCAGGCGTCGAGGCAGCTTTGATGATGTACGTAGATAGCGATCAAGTAATAGCACATGCATGAATGCAACACCTTGTCTGAAGAGACAGAGAGGGACCTGATCGATAAGAGACACCGACAGCCGAGAGGGACGGCGTTGACCCGCGAACCAAGGTCTCGAATGTTGCGGCTCCAACAACAAGGCACCAACAAAAGCAAGATCCAAGAAAAAGTCGTCGCGGCCCGTTCACTGCATAATAAGGTAAGGGAGGCACCAATCGCAGCCTCGTCACGGCAAACCCCTCGCTCGTCTACTGGGCCAGCTGACATTAAGCCTTTTCACATCGCAATCACAAATGCATGTCTGCCCTGATTTTTGAGCTTCACTTCCAAGGAAACGCCACACCCCCCTGGTCCATCACCCTACCCAAAGGGGAAGAAACCAGGGTCCTTAGTGCCGCACCGCCACGTCAAAGCTGGGTGCATAGGCGGCTAGGGAGTCATGGCAGCGCGAGACGGTGCGTTTCAAGTGCGGTGCTCGTTGCTACCCGGGCTCGAGGGGCGCCACAATAGCGGTCTCCAGCCACGTCAACCAGGGACTGGACCGGACTGAATTGGACCCTGCGCTGGATAATACGAGATGGGTGCTGGATGGACCCTGAGGAAATATCGACCGCGTCCTCGCGAGGCTGATGCATTCTCTTTCTCATAATTTGATTCTGGACCATATTCGCGCGACCTTGTCTTGTCTCCTGCTCCCAGGTGTGGTTTTCTCTCTTCCATTCTTTCTGTCTGTGTTATAATACATGGTGATTGAGAGCGTACATCACTCTGCGTTACAATGGCGACACCCGTGCCAACAGTTGGCACGCCTTACGGAGAAGAAATTCAACCCTACAAAATTCACGTACGTAAACAACTGAAACGGCAGTCACCATCAGCTCCTGACATCTTGTCTGCGGCAGGTTTCGAGTAGATATCTCGACCTCACACGCCAGAAACTAGAACTTACACGACTGCCTCATGAGAACTCGGATCCCCAGTCTAAGCACTGGTGGGAGCCGAAACCCATTGTAGAACCACTCATCGACTTTTGGTAAGTGACACATGCCTTGGCACTGCTTCTCTCAACCCGTATGGCGCGACTGACTGACACTCCCTCCCCAGGCTTGAGCGGTATTCGTGGCGAGAGGAAGAAGCCAGACTCAATGAGCTGGTGCCGCAGTTCAGGACGAGCCTGATCGTGCCTGGCACGGACTCGGCCATACGGTTACACTTCATCCACGCCTCTTCGCCCCATGCCAATGCTGTTCCTTTACTTTTGATACCACCTTTTCCTTTCACCAACCTTTCCTTGAGTCATGTTATACCCTTTTTCAACGACCCTGGCGATGCTGGCGCGCATCAGCCATTCCACGTGGTGATTCCCTCCTTACCAGGTATCGGCTTCAGCGACCGATTGCCCAACAATACGCCCATGATCAGAGCGACCGCGGATCTTTTCGACTCGCTGATGCATCGTCTCGGCTACAAACACTATCTGGTGTCCAATACGGGCCCCTCATCAGATTCACCAGCAAAGACGGACTGGAAACTGGCAAACTGCCTCGCTGAGCAGTTTCAAGGGTCGTGTCTTGGAGCGCACTTTGTCTCGCCCCCGTGGAAAGCACCCAAGCTTCAAGAGGCCCCTTTGGCGTGGACAAAGTGGAAAGTGGTGGGGCTCTTGAAGAGGCCGCAACTGGGCTATTCTCAGGAGGACGTTGCAGCACTGCGCAACGAGCAGGTCTCGCAAGCGAGAAGAGCCCGCGATGACCAGCTTCGACAGTATGCGTTTGACGGGAATGGATTCCGGGAGCCCAACACCCTCTCTTACGCCCTTTGCGATTCACCCACAGGTCTGCTGCTCTTCGTGCTCATGATCCTGCGGGTTCTCGGTGCCGACAAGGACTTTTCCTCGCAAGAGCTCATCACCCTGACCGAGTTGACGTGGGTTCCGGGCCCCGAGTCGATGATGAGATTCTGGGCATACTCGGCGACGCAAAGTGAGGAGGAAAAGAGACCTGCAACCAGGCCCAAAGTCGCCGTGACCGTCTTTGCTGGCCTTGACGAAGAATCTGGGGCCGAGCGCCCTCCTGAAACAGCTGTCCTGCCTCTGCCGGTCAACCACCCCTACGTATGCCCGGTATGGGGCAGGTCGAACTACGACGTCGTTGCGAAGCAGTGCGTGGCCGGCACGCCCGGCTTGATCGCCTGGAAACGCCCCGAGGTTCTCGTCAGCGGCGTCAGGAGGTTGGCAGAGACGATCCTGGCCAAGGACAAGAGGATGCAAATGGCCGAGCAGCCAGGCGCTGCCCTGCTGGGGCAGATTGTCATTGGAGGCTACGCGCACGCGCCAGCCGATACATCAGGCACGACCGTGCAGGGCACTGAAAGCCCTCCCGTGTCGTCGCCGAAGAAGATTGCATCTTCGCCCGACCAATTTCTGCAGGTTCCTGGGCAAGAGGCCCAGCGGCGGACGTCCACGACGCAGCAACCGTTGCTGTCGAGTGGGAGTGGGAGTGGGAGTGTGACAGAGACGATAAGCGAGGACGAAAATGGTCAGGAGCACGACTCGAGCCCGGACACAGTCATTGCGGTGGGCGCAAGAGATATGGCGGTAACCGCGTCCCAGCCGAGGACGACGTGAGCATGGTGTAGGCAGATTGGTGGCGACGAAGTTTATGCGATAGATACCCTAATAGGATCACGAGAAGGCAGGATCAAAGTAAGCGCTCACTTGATATACGTAGGCGACTGTCGTGTAGCCTCTTTCAAAGGGACTAATTACGGCCTATGAGCATTGTAATGACTTGGTGAGATCACGTACAGACGACATGGAGGCCAAATAGAAGTGGTCCGTGCGCGTACCTGCCTCGTCCGGGAATCGGTACGTACCCCCAGCTCAGTCCTGGGGGCACGTCGGCGCAGCTACAGCCAGCCCACCAACAAGTGAAACACTGCGCTCTCTCATCACGACCTCGAAGACGCGGAAAACATCCTAGGAACTCGAGTGCTGGACCGCCTGGGAGCACTAGAACGCCGGGATCATTCACGCGACCATGCATGAACGACCAAGAGCCTTATCCTAAAGTGCTGCACACCTTCCAGCTACCGCCGCCATGGCGAACCGGTACGGCGCAACATCACGCAATGGCAATGGCAACGGTTATGGCGGCCTCGGAAGATCAAACGAAGACTACGACCCGTACGGTGATGGTTACGACAACGACCGCTATGGCACGCCGCCCCAATCTAGCTCGAGAGCTCCTCCTCCTCCACAGCCCCAACAGTCGCAACTACCTGCTGTCCGTAACATGCCATCGCGCCAGCGCATGCGATCCGAGACGAACGCCGAGCAGCAAATCACACAGGTCCTCGAGCACATAAAACTGGAGTGGCCTGCCATGTACGAAAGCGACTGCGTCCCTGTTCAGCTTGCCCTGCAGCTTCTCGACAACAGCTCCGTTGGCAGAGCCCACGAATACCGCAAGTTCCAGGATACACACAACTATCTGCAAGAGTCGCTCAAGAACATTGTCCACGAGCATCACCAGGGCTTCAATAGTTCTATTGGTACTTTCCACAAGATCCAAAGCAGCATACACACTTCGCAAAAGCGTGTTCGAACACTGAAAGAATCGCTCGCTAGCTCAAAGACGAGCTTGTGTACGACGGACCCGGAGCTCAAGAAGCTGTCCAAAGCGTCGCAGATCTACGACGGGCAGCTACAGGTGCTGAACGAGCTCGACGATCTCCGCGCCGTGCCCGACCAGCTGGAGGCTCGCATATCCGAAAAGAGGTTCATCACCGCTGTCGAGGTGCTACAAAATGCTCTGCGTAAACTCAGGAAACCTGAGCTGGACGATATCGGTGCTCTCAGTGAGCTGCGGAGCTACTTGTCGAACCAAGAATCAGCCCTCATGGACATCCTTGTGGAAGAGCTGCACGAGCATCTGTACCTCAAGTCGCCCTACTGTCAGGACAGATGGCAGCACTTGTCCAAAACGCAGCGTTCCTCAAACGAGGGCTACGACGATGGGAACGCCATCACCCCCTTCTACAATGTGCTTGACGCCATGGACCCCGACAAGTCGGTGACAGAGGACCCCATGAAGAATCCCGAGGCCGACACATTTTACTACGTCGGCCTCCTGGTGGAGGCTCTCAACAAGCTCGGAAGACTACAAAACGCTGTTGAGACCCTACAGCAACGCCTTCCTGTCGAGCTATTCGGCGTTGTCAACGAGACCATCAACGAAGTCGATCAACGGCACCCCAGCTCATTACGCGGCGGGACAGCCAAGGCCGACGGCCTCCACGTCTACAGTGCCCGCGAAACGCGAATGCGCGCGGATGTTATATACGATCTGCTCTGGACCTTGTACGGCAAGTTTGAAGCCATTAGTGAAGGCCACCGGGTGTTCCACGAGTCGATCAAGGCATTGATTCGCCGGGAAGGCGCCGGCAACAACATTGCACTCCTTGGCAGCTTCAAAGAGCTCTGGAATCTCTATCAGAATGAGATTCGCTCACTGCTCCACAATTATGTCACTACCGACGCTGATGTCTATCAATTCGACTCTCCCTCCTCCAGTGCCATGAACGGAAGGAAGGACGGGTCTCGCGAACACTTATTCAAGTTCAATGAGTTGGACGCCAAGTCGATAGACATGGTCACCGAGTATGACGCTCTCGAAAGCATCATCCAAGCAACAGTGCCCGGCCTGACAAGCAGCTCGCGAAAGGCCGAAATCAACAAGAAGAACCGTCTTGCCGTGGATGAGAGCTCGAAGCGCGGTGGGACGGCGATGAGCGGGAGCCAGCAACCAAGCGGGACACACAAATCCTTGGTAGAGTCAAGCGTATTCAACATGAGTCTGCTGCTTCCCCCGACACTCATCTTTCTGCAACGACTCAGAGGGATCGTCCCGCCGGGCTCTGATCTGGCCACCAGCACTCTCACCACATTCCTGGACAATTTCCTTGTCAATGTGTTCCAACCGCAATTGGACGAGACACTTGGAAAACTTAGTGATGCCGTTTTCGGAGAAGCCGACGCTTTTGCCCAAGATCCTCATTGGCACAAGGTGGCGCGGAAGCCAATCTTCAAAGGCACGACGGCGTTTTTTGAAGTTGTGACCGCGTTCTGCCGCATGCTCGGAACCATACCTCCCGACCAAGCCCTCAGTGCTTTGATTGTGACCCAAATGATGCGATACTATGATCGTTGCTTCAGCTGGTTCAAATCACTCGTCACCAAGACCCAGGAACAGTCCGTAGGCAACGGTAACCTCCGAGCAGCTGCTCGAGCAGCTGTCGAGCCCGGCGAGCTGCACGAGGTGATGCAACGGATGTGGACTGCAGAAGCATGGGACAAAGCGTTAGCAGACCAGGAAATCCACCTTTTGATCGAGCAAGCCAACGAGACAAAGCTGCAGATGAACGACATCATCCAGGATCGCGAAACCATCACCTCGCTGTGCCTGTTGTACACCAGCATGAAATGGCTGGCCAGCAAGATCTCTAGCCTGCGTCACATCACCGCGCATGAGACCGATTCATCAAGACACAATCTACCCCGCGATGCAAACCGAAGATGGACTCTACTCAACGACCCTGACAGGGCTACGGCGGATCAGGGGCTCGTACAGCTACCCCTGACCGCAGAGACTGTCCAGTAAGTGTGCCGTGAGCAAACCCAGACACTAAGACTGACATTGTACAGGGCATTTGACAGCATCGTGTCGTCCTTTGAAGAGCTCGCGGGAACTGCCCTCCTGACATTACACATGGAGATTCGATGCAGGATCGTCCATTCCCTCCACATTGCCTTGTCCCCAGATGTCGCGCCATATCTGCTTGATCAAGAAGTCAACGAGCCAGATCCGCACATTCTGAGTCTGAACTCGGAGCTTATACTTTTCGACGAGACTGTTGCAAGACACTTGCGAGAGAAAGAGACGGATTTTATCCGCACTGGTCTGGGACGGCTGGTCAACTGTTATCTGGTGAACAACGCGTGGATGGCCTCGCCCATGAATGCGAACGGTTCGGGACGCATGCAGCTCAACATCCTTGTGCTGCAGCAAAACCTCAAGAACATAGAGCAGGGCGTCGACCTCGCCCGCGCGGCCAATTACTATGCGCTCTTCGACAAGGGTGTCGACGACATTATTGAAGAAGCGAGACGGAACAAGGAGCGCCAACAAGCCGGAGGTGATCCAAATGATCCCAACAACTTCTCATACAACGAGTTGAAGGCTCTCATCGAGCTTTGCTTCAGCGAACAGATGGCGAATCCGGAGAGAGGCATTGCCAGTGCAGGTAGACGCGCCATGGACGAGAAGCTTCAGAAGCTGAGTGAGCATATGTGGGATGCCTGATTCTTGCCAGCCTGTTTTGAATAGATGACTACGGCCAAGCACGGGAGTATGAGAGCATGTTTGTCTTTATACGCAATGCGCGATTGAATTTGGGCAACTCATTGATAAGCATGCTGTAGCTGTGTATTTCCCCGTCGTGTTCTCCTCAACTACCGTGAACCACGCCTCAAGAATCAGGAGGAGTTTTCCTCTTCTTTGCTGCACTAGTAGAGGGATTGTCGGGCGCCTCACTTCGAGCCTGCGTTCGAAGCAACACCTGATCCTTTATCCACTGTGCGTGTTCTGGGAACTCTGCCAGAAAATTGAGATCGTCTTTGGATAGAGGCAAACCAAAGCCTCTGTTTGACATGATGAGATTGCGGCGAGTTAGTGGATCGTACTTCTTATCCGGCCCTTTCAGGCTGGGTGCATTTTGGGACGGCTGGTCTTTTCGAGCCTGCTTTTGAAGCTTGAGCTGATCCTTTATCCACTGAACGTGTCCTGGATGCTCTCTCAGAAAATGGATATCGTGCTTGTGTAGAGGTAATCTAGAGCTTGCGTATGACATGATGATATTGCGGCGAGTCAGTGGATCGTACTTCCCATCCGGCCCTTTGGTCGCATGGGGGAACGGTTTGCCATCCCATAGGCTATGCTCAAGTTCATTCTTCTTTTCGGGAGAGATTTTTCCGAAACCACCAGCCCTACGAGCTTTGTTAGTGTGAGCCAGGGCAGAGAGCATGCACAATCTCAACGATCCCACCTACAGAGACTGTCCTGACCATGTATACCAAATCCACGGTATCGGTTCGTGTTCAGACGCGGGAGGTTGGATCTGAAAATCAAACAGAAAATTGCATTCCTGATCCTTCGTGTCCGGAGAAGAGAACATGCGCTCTTGGGCAGGATGGACCTCCCGTCCCTACTGGTGTCGCCAGACTACCCTTCTCATGAACGTGAGTTTTTCTACTCCAGTACTGCCAGGCACGAGGTAACTGAATGTGTGTACCAGGATTCGGAGATTGTGCAGAGGTTTTCTGGCGCTCATGGCGATGACGGGATGATGGCGACCCTGGGTGTTTTGGACGGAAGGCAGAGTTGGATGGCATGAGAGGAAGAAGCGAGGGACAACTCGGAACGTAAGAGACCTAGGTGGTAGGTACTAAAGGTACCTGGTAAGGTAGTCAAGTATTTGAATTAAGTTACCTGGTAGTAAACATGGTCTACCTGGAAGTTATTCTTCCATTGGATTCCCCTAGCGTGCCTTGATGGGCTGAAGTTTGAACTCTCTTGGCTGGTTCGCGAAGGCTATGAGAACATAAAACCGTGACACCAGTTACACATAGGTAAGTGGTCGCCATCATTGGGACAAACTCTGCGGCTGTTATCCAGAAACACAATGCGTAGCACCTGAATAGACCAAGATGCTGCATAAGGTAGACTTGAAGACCGTTGAGAGACCCCGTTCGCTGAAGGCATTTGTTGTGCAGTCCATCGAAGGCGCGCGGTTAAGGTTTCGACATAGACTCAAAGTTTAATGTGTCCCTCGAATCATATACTAGCATGATAAAGTATAATTACATTAAGGTAGACAGCAAAGTTACCTGGTGAAAAGGCTCAGGGTCAGACTTCGCGGATGGATCAGGTCCTCGAGCAAATCACGTGACTGTCGTCTCGGAAAATAAGACCGCCTTGCAACGTCACAGCCAAGTGCCGAGATACAACCACCAACGGACAGCAAGCTGGCCAGTGGCCACTGGCAACTGGCGGGAACCAGCAAGGCTGACTTTGCGAAAGTAATCACTTCATTACGGCAAGTACCTCTCATGGAATTAGGTTCCACTGCCAATGCTTCATTCTTCCTCTATAATTAACGTTGCGCGACCGGAGTGACCATGAGTCCGTGATACAGGCCGGACTGCTGGGGTCTTGACGTCTTGGCGTTGAGGATCTCGTCTGAAAGTTGCGGCACAATTTCAATCATTGACAGTGACGACTCACAAGACTGTCAGCAGCTAATAGGTACGGAGTGCTTGGATAGCCAGGATAGACTGGCTTGGATGCTTTCTTTGTCATGAGGACCAACAACACAGTTGACTTGGACGCACGTGTCAATTGACTACCACATCTCAGTGAGAATTCGTTCCGTGGGAGGTGGCAAGAACTGGACTGGAGTCGTAATTACTTGTACAGCAAGGACAAAATCGACTCCATACCAGAGCTAATATGCCCCTAACAAGGCCCCCGGAGGCTCAAGCAGGCTGAGGCTGCAGGCGGAGCAGGCCAATGAGAGGACGGGCAGCAGCGGACACGGCAGCGGACCACTGACTGGAGTCTGGAAGCGCGCCCCTGAGCGCGACTTACGCCATTGACGTCTCGGTTGTGTTAGCAGACCAGCTGCCCCTGCCGCTAAAACTTAGCTAGATCGTCCTCCTCCAAACCCTGAGGTGTGCCTTCCCCTAATCGACCCTCCAATCTCTCTTTCTACCTCACCTCTTCACAACCGTCTGCGTACCTTCTTTCCTACTTCTTAGGCAGCGGTCACGTTCTGTTTATTCCTTCCAACCACTCTCGCTTCTTTACGCCCTGGTGCTGAGGGTGTCGCCTGGCCGCTGCGACGCTGAACGACCAACTTTAAACCGCTTCCCGTCGTACGCATCGCGATCGCCCTGCCGAGACCCTTCTGCCCGCGAACCGTCCTTCGTTCACCGACGATATTGAATACACAACCCTCCCTCTGAAAACCACCAGCCTTCACGCTTCATCTCTGCCTTGTCCCGTTTTTACAGCTGTACCGTCAGTACCCAAGCCGGGCCATTGTCGAGAGTCTGCCACGGACCCGCTGTTCCAGTGGTCCAAAAATTCCACCTCCCAACTCCGCAGGGTCAGAGACATCAATAACACGCTTAATCACGTCCGATCTCGACCTCGAGGCTGTGCATCATCGTGCGGCCAACGTCAACTTGACCCCCGTATCCTGTCCAGCCAAAGCTTCCCGATCCTTCGAGCTCGATAGCCTTGGGCATCAACACCCACAATGGCGAATTCGTGAGTTTACGCGACTTGGCGCCCTTGCTCCAGTGCTAATGGACATGCACAGATTCGGTGCGGCTTTTCGGTCGTTCTGGCACACCATGACCAGCAATGACAGACGTCAGTCCACGCTGTGTTCAACCTTGCACGGTCGCTAACAGTCATGCAGATTCCTCCTTCGACTCACCTCAGCGCAGTGGCCGCCACGTCCCTCTACAGAATGGCGGCAGCAGCACCCCCTTCACTGGTGTGGCAACAGCCGGAGATTCGCGCGCCGACGTGTCATCACCGTACTACGATGACAGTGGTCGATTTTCACCTTCAAACGATACCCCGGCAAGTCCCAATGGCGGGTCATACTCGCCTGGCTTGCGATCAATGGCTGCCAGGAATGCGAGCCAGAGCGATGGTTTTGAGGCACAGGCTTCCGGAGAGGTCCCCATGCAGCCCTTTGAGGACGGCCACGCCCCGCCTCCTCCAGTTGGTCATTCTTGGCGACGGATCATGGACTGGGCCGAGGAACATTACACAGAGCTCTGGGATCAGATTTGCGAAGGTGCCACAGTCAACGATCTCAACGAACTCGAACATCAGCTGGACTGCTCGTTACCACAGGATGTGCGGGAGTCTCTCATGATCCACGACGGGCAGGAAAGAGGCGGAAGACCTACCGGCATCATTTTCAGCGCCATGCTACTCGATTGCGAAGAGATAGTGCAAGAGTGGGATCAATGGAGACGGGTGAATGAGCAGTTCCTGCAAGAGGCCAGGGTCCAGCACACAACGATACCCTCCAAGGCGTTTGGCGGTAGTAATGGCGAAGCCTCGTCCTCAAAGCAGCGACCTCAATCGCAAGGCAGCAACCCCGACGAATGGCGCTCGTCTCTGCTCTCCAAGCAGACATGCGTCCCCCCTGGCGCTTGCCGACAGGCTTACGCTCACCCTCGCTGGATTCCTCTGGCGCGAGACTGGGGAGGCAACAACTTGGCTGTTGACTTGGCCCCCGGACCCAAAGGCAAATGGGGCCAGATCATCATTTTCGGACGAGACTACGATACAAAATACGTTGTCGCCCGCTCATGGTCAGCTTTCCTAGCGCAGGTGGCCGACGACCTTCACAGCGGCAAATGGTTCATTGACGATGACTCTGGCGAACTCAAATTGCGGGAATTCAAGGAGAAGCGTGTCGAGCCACCATACTTTGGCATCCTTCGTTGGAGGATGGACCAGAAGTACGGACGTCGTGCTCCTCCGCGCAAGCCCATGCCTCCCCCGGCAAAGGCCGGGTCCCCTCTAGGGTCTCGTTCATCTTCACCATACGCTAGTCCGGCCGACGTTGCTGGCGATGCTAGAGGTCGTTCGATGCAGCGTGTGCGTGGCTCGCCACTCGCAAGTCCCATGCGCACTGGGTTTGGGAAACAGCCTCCACTGTATAGGGTCACTGAGGAGGCTGTCCCTGAGGAGCTACAAAGCGCCATCATTCAGCCTTCGACATTGGTAGAGGTTGAGAATCCGCCCGAGAGCCAGGAGTTGAAGAACCCGAGGGTGGAGACGCTGGCGCGCTCCGAATCAGACTTGATCAAGCTCACGAAAGACAAAGGAAACGCATCCTCCGATGTCGCCAAGGACAAACAGCCCCAGGTTGCCGATGAGTCGATGAGGGAGATTGAGATATGAGTCCCACCCTGAGGGTGGTACACAGCATGATTGCATGACCTTTTCTTCTATTCTCCCTTGTCTTATTCATTGTACAACTCTGCGGGGGCCTGCGGGCCGTACCTTATACATAGTAGTAGCGGATCAGCAGCGAAAGTCACCCGGCGTTGACGGTGTCAGACTGCCTGCCGCCAGGAAGTTCAAGCGTCACCTGGCGTCTCTTTGCAATTGGTCGAACATTCGTGGGTCGCTTGTCGGGTCACTTGCGGGATGCAGGGTAATAGGCTCAGTGTACTTCAACCCCTTGAACACACAAAATTTTGTACTTTAATAGCGAAAGACAAGCAACACTTATTGTGTCAACATGGCGTGAATCCTGCTGCTTGAGGTACGTCATGGTCCCAACTACGAGTCTACAACCAGTAGGGTTTCCATGACAGATGACCTTACTTTCATAGAACGAGTTGCACAGCAATGGTCGAAGACTTGTTAGGGTCTTAGTTGAGAGTGAATAATTAGTCAGTATTAACAGATGACAATGCCTGGACGAGGTTGACCGAGAATCATGATCTTCGGCCTCGATGAGGTTGCCGCGCTGTGGGGCAGCTCAGGTCCCAGGAGGCATCTCCTCGTCAATCTGCCAACACCATTTATCCATCTTCCACAGTCAGCCCTTCTGAGGCCGCGGAAGAGGACAACGCGCATAAGTATGACTGATACCAGTCTGGTAACCAATGTGTTTGCTCCATCCGCTACGACGTCGCATCTCATCCTATTGGTCGCGCGTCGCGTTTCGGGCGCTTGTCCTACCCCAGCGCTTAGATCTGCCACTTGACTTGTCCCACGGTACCCGCAGCTCCAGGTGCTCATGTTTCGAGAAGAACCAACGACGTCTACACGTCGGTGCTAACTTTGCTTCTCACAGAATGCGGTGCGAGTTGTTAGGTCTCGCTGTTGGCCCTGATCCTTGGGGAGCACAGAGATCTGCCTGGCCACGGATCTCTGTCCTCCCCAAGGATCGAGAACCATGTTAAAGCCTGTGCTACCTGCTACTTACAAGTAGCGGACCGTACCGCTCTTAGTATTCCTTCATCAATTCGCCCATTTTGTCTTCTGTCTTTCGTTTGTTGGCTTGAGTGGGAGCTGGGCTCTGTGCTTATCCTTTTCTTGGTTGTTATCGTCTAATTACGTTCTCTTGGGAAGCATTGGGTCGGATATCGTACGCCCGTGACCATGGCCATTCGTCGCTTCGAGTATACACCTACGCCAACCGATGAGAGGAGTGTGACGGATCAGTCATGGAAGACCATTTCGCAGGTCAAGATTGTTGAGGAAAAGGGGGAAGACGGCATCGATCGGAAACCGACATTGATCGAACGATGGACCCAACCATCGGTACTGGGTAAGTACCTGGTTCTTGCAGTTATAACCAGATGGATTCGATTGGTCTCGCTAACACGGACGAAAGGACTGTCAGATCCCGTGAACTGGAAACCACTATCCATGACGACGCCGATTCTCTCAGCTATTATCATCACTACTCTCCTCATGATCGTCGGTATCGAGCTTCTTGCCCAGAAGAGTGCGCAACAGGGCGGGCTGGCATTGTCCCCCTCTCTCGATGAGATACCACAATGGGCCAGGATATCGTCCGAGTATGTCCCTCAGGTACTTGCCGTCGCATACAGCTTGGTATGGAGTTGGGTGGACTTGGACGTCAAGCGCATGCAGCCGTGGTTCGAGATGTCGAAGCCAGAGGGCGCTCTGGCCAGGGACTCGCTGCTCCTTGATTACCCCTTTACTTTCGTGGCATTTGTGCCCTTTGTGGCTATTCAGCGCAAGTCGGTCATCTTCTGTCCCAATTGGAAGACTTCATCTTACTAATTATGCATAGGCATTGGATGGTGTTTCTTTCAGGTACCGCGATGGTACTCATCTTTTGGGCTATAACGCCGTTGCAATCTGCTCAACTAGGGACCGGTGCAGTCAAGCTCACTGAGCCTCGTGGACTTGCCACTCGATCTCGCTTGCTCCCAGTCGACGAGCAGACAGACATGCTCGACTCCAAGATATTACACGCAGGTTATGCTATCGCCTGGCTTGAGCAGCAATACCCACCGTTCACGACACCAACGGAGGCATTTTTGCCCTTCTATGCTACCGAGAACGCACCGACCCAGCCAGGAGCCAACTGGACCGCAGAAACCACACGCTTGACCACCGAGCTTGACTGCTGGCCTGCGGAATTGGTACTAGATCCGAACTTTGCAGCGGACCAGGATAGGACCTACAACTTCCTCAACGGCCAGGGCTGCAACACGACCGTAACTATCCCCAAGGCAGAGAACATATCCATGTTTTACATGGGCTATCACAACAGTCCTTACTCGAATTTCTGGCTTGAAAATAAGGCCTGCCCCCTGGATCCAAACGTCGAGCAACAATTCCTCGCGACTTGGGCGCATGCGAGCCCCTCTCTCGGCAATGACAGTGTTTGGGACTACAACGTTACTGCGCTCTTTTGTCAGTCCAGTTACTATCAGCAACAAGTGCAGCTAACGGTCGATGCCACTACCCTCAAGCCACACGAAAATAGCGTCTCGCCAACAGGCCCGAAAGAAGCTCTAGCCGATAGTGATTTCAACAACACCGCCTTCAAATTCTTACTGGCTAACGGCATGCCACAAGAGATGAAAGAGCGGGATTACCCAGACACATTCGTAGTCGACCAGCATACAAAGCTGAAAAGTCGCGGATTGTGGACGCCGGTTTCTAACATGGTTGGCTATGCACTTTCAGCAGAGGACAGACCCTCAGAAGAGTACTCGAATCCGGAGACACTGGCACAAGCTTACCTTTCGGCTCATCAGTCCTTGTTCTCCGTAGCTGCAAGTCACATGTTCACGAATCACACGCGCCAAGACGACGACAGCGCTGACGTTACTTTCACTATGTATGGCATCGTTGTCAACCGATCGATATCTGCAGCATTGGAAGCCCTGCTACTCGTCATCGCACTCTTTACCGCGTTCATACTGTGGCTCAGTCGGGGAGCGTACTCAAATTTGCACGCGAACCCTTCGTCTATATCTCGAGTCGCTGAGGTATTACGAGACAGCCCTCAGATGGTGGATCTTCTGTGCTCCGTTGATAATGGTGATGAAGAAGCGCTGAAAATCGTGCTTGGGGAGTCAAGGTTTCGCTTATTATGGAGCGACGATTCTTCGACGCCTTTTATACAAGTCCGCGAGGCGGAACTATCTTCCCCAAAACCCTCCTCGGCCATCGCTCCGAAAGGATACTACTCTCCTGTCAAACCAGCAGCGCTTCGATTGGCGTCGGGTATTGCTTTCATAATTGCGATACTCGCCATGATGGTTGGTCTGGGATATCTCAAGTGGGCTGAGCTCAAGTATACTGGTGAGAAAGCTAGCCTTTCATTCTCTTCTTGCTGGGTCCTCGTTGTACTGACCATTCAGGACTCTCCAGGCCCTCCAGCAACCGAGAAGTTCAGCAAATCCTTGAGAACTACTTACCGACGATTCTATCAACCTTCATTGAGCCGTTCTGGGTCTTGGTCAACCGTTTGTTATGCGTGCTGCAACCATTCGACGACCTCTGGAGAGGCAGGGCTTCTCCTGATTCCTCGATTGCGGCTAGGTATACGTCAATACCTCCGCAATTCGCTATCGTCCCCGCATTGAGACTCAAGCACCTCATGCTAGGCTTTGTTTGCAGTGCAGTGTTTCTATCAAACATATTGACGATCAGCATGCCGGCGGTGTTCCAGGACCAAGCTGTTGTGGCAAGATATCCAAGCTCTTTCAGACCGGCCGTCTCACCGTCTCTGAACGAAGACAATCTACCAGGTTTTGGCGAGTACTTGAGAAGCTTTACAGTCACCGCAAGCTACCATGATCACGCTGTTGCTCTATTGGCCAACATGTCTATCGGCACTTCTCACCCACCTTGGGTATCAGATAAGTATTATTTTGCGCCCTCGGATATCAACCCGGAGAATTCCAAGTCAGCCGCGGACTCCTATCTTCTCCAGACGCAAGGTTTTACCGTAAACGCGAACTGTACTCCTGTTGCATCGCACACCTTCCCCATGCTCGACCGACCACAGCGAGAACGTATACCAGACGAGGAGACATGCGGCGACGTTGTGGAATGGGCGCAGGCACGCGCACGAGATACTATCTCCTTTACAACACCTGGGCTTTCGGCTACGGAGTACACGCAGCTGGTAGGCTGTAATGAGAGCTTCGTTTTTGGCTGGGCCAGGACCGAACATGGAGATGCATTCAATGGAACCATCAGGGGAAGCTTCGCTGTGTGTCGGCCTTACCTGGAAACGGCAAGTTTCGACGTGCAAGTCGACCGACATGGCTATGTGCAGAGATACGATATGATTGGGGACATTGGGGATAACATCACCTACGAAGGTCCCGATACTGACCTTTACAGTTTAGCGACACTCCCTGGCACGCTGTCTCAACGAGGTGCACAGGGATGGCACAACGAAACCTTCTCCAAAGATTGGTTGAATCATCTTATCATGATCAGATCTGGTTCCAGAGACATCGTGGATCCACATGCACCTGTGCCTGATCCGGAGGAGATGATCAAGTTGATTGATCCGATCTATCGGACACTGTTCGCCCTTCTCTTGGCTTTCAACAGGGACTACCTCTTCGGAGGAGTCGCGGTGTCCGAGAAAATTGAAGGGTTTCGTCTCGTGACGGAAACCAGGTTGTTTATGGATACTGGCGCATTTGTTACAAGTGTGGTCCTCCTGGGCGTCAACGTCGCCATCGCACTGGCTGTCTATGTCCGCAAGACACCTTTCATTTTGCCACACATTCCCACTACAATTGGTTCTATTGCGGCATACATCGCACCAAGCCGGCTTCTTTTCGACCATTCGCCAACCGGGAACCTCAAAGGCCGCACCTTCAGTTTTGGTCGATTCATAGGGCACGATGGGACGACTCATGTTGGCATTGAACTCGACCCTTTTGTGGTCCCAATCGATCCTTCCTCGTTCGGGAAACCCGCGAGAAGCCCATGGGGGTGGTTTGGCAAAAGACAGCTACGAAAGCCTTTCAGGAGGGAACCCTGGATATAATGGCACCATAGTCGGAATGTTTCAATGCATGTTGAGTGTGTCAAAAAGAAAATGACTTCAGCTTTGTCTGCATATTTTCCTATGTACCTGCTCTTTAAAGAGCCTTCGATGCTGTTGATGTGATGTACAATCAAGCCCAACCCAAACGCCGCCGTTCATGCACACCTGTGCTACCCCCGACCAAACCCTGTCTCCCTAATAAATGCTGCTGAAAGAAACTGATGCAACCACCTAGTAGCGGATGCGCTGAGCGCGACGCATATGACGCTTGGCAGCGGATGCGTGAACACTGAGCGCCTCAGACTGGCCCTCGTCGCAAGAGGTGCCTTGCGCGAGGTTCATGACCTGAGACCAGACACCGCTGGCACAACGCTGGAAAGAAGATCCACCAACGCAGTTCCAAGTACCCTCGGTTGTGCAAGGAGAGCCAGCGGCCTGCGAGCCGGAGCCAGAACCAGAGCCGGGGGAGGGCACTTCGGGCTCGGGAGTGGTAGACTCCTCAGGCTGGGGTTGTTCAGGCTCGGCGGGCTCCTCGGGCTGAGTTGGCTGCTCAGGCTCCAGGGTGGCAGTGGGAGCCACGGGAGCAGTGGTAGGAACAGTGATGAAGACACCCCCAGGGATGGTTGGTGTGGGCTTGGGGCCGGTGGGAATGGACGCACTGGTTGAAACTGGTACAGAGGTGGGAGCGGGGTCCTCAGGAACAGACGAGGGTGCAGTTGTAGGCTCAGGCTGGGAGGGACTGGCGCCGCCATTACCTCCGCCGACAGGTGCAGCGCAAGAACCTGTGGGGTCGGCAAAGGCATCTGTCGCTCCGTTAAGGCGCTCGACAACTGAGCCGGGGTTGGGGAACTTGACGTCCTTGTCACCGACAGTACCGCAACCATCGCCAACGTTGGCAACAAACATGTCGGGAAGGCTAGCAAGGAAGGAGTCGTCGCCAGAGCCACCGGTGATCTGCACAGAGGCACAGTTCATGTACATCTCACGGTTGCCGACCTTGTTGAACCAGGTCCAGGCCAGGACGTATTCACCCTCAGGCATCTCCTTGGGAATCTCAAAGTCATACTCGTAGGGGTCAGCAGCGCTGGCATCGGTGCCAATGTTGCCAACCTCCCCGCGAGCTGGGCAGCCGCCCTCAATAGACTTGATAACCTTCCACTCGGAGTCGCGAGTGGGGTTGAGATCGGTGGTGACGGAGACCTGGCATGAGCCACCGCCGTGGGTTGCACCGCCCTGGAATGTGAGAGCCTGGGTGCTACCGGCCTTGTAAACATTCTGACCAACACTGCCGTCGGGAGAGGCGCCCTTGCAAGGGAAATCGGCGCCAGTAGCCTCGAGCGGGCTGTTGTTGGGGTTGCCGTAGGGAACCGGGTTGGTCATGACCATGTGGGCGGTGGCAGCAGAGGCCATGCCGAGGAAGGTAAGAGTCTTGGAAAGCATCTTGAAGGTAGAAGACGGGTCGTCGTAGAAGAAGTTGTGGAATGTCTTGTAGAATCTAACGTGCCAGATGTAGAATCTTTTCCTTTTGGAAGTTGTGGGAGGCGGTTGTCGTCAAGACGAAAGTGTGCAAGTGATATGCAAGTCCTGGTGAATCATGGTCAGTTTTCATCTCTAATGGTGCAGGATAGAAGAGACAGAAGCTGGCGATTAACAAAGCAGTGACGACGCTCTTTTTGTGTGAATCCTGTTGTGGTCATGGGAGACCTCATGAGTGACACACGAAGCGAAGGAGCCGCCATTGTTTGCTTGTCGGGAAGACGTCTGACTCAGAGAGGAGACCTACTGGAAAGAGGTCGCGGTGCCTGCAGGTTGTACAGAGTGATAGAGAGAGTGAGTGTTGTGAGAGACCGGATTCTTTGACCGTGCGGTTGTTCGACTTGATATGAGAATGAAGGTACTGCGCCAGGCGGTGTCGTAATGCAAGAAGAACGGAGGGTCGCAAAGGACTAGCCTCGCTGAAGAATGAAGAATGAAGGTGAATGTCTTGACGACAAAAAGACCACAAAGGATAGACTGGAAGACGATGAGCTGTCTGTGACGAGAGAGCAGGGACAAGACAGGACCTGGACGAAGGTGACCGGGCGTCTTATACGATGCGTTCCTGCGCATGGCCGAGGCGGTGGAGATGGGTCTCAGGAGACGGGGGGGACAAGCATGGGCACCGGCACCGGCACTAGGCTACTGTACGCTGCCTAGCATAGTCTAGCAGCAGCACAAGGCCCAAGACGGGGGACACTAGGCCCAAAGAGAAAGGCGACGGCTCGACTTGGCGGTCGATTGGACGTGGTTTGCGGGTGGTCGTCCGGCATGGCGTCGAGAGCTGGCTCGCATGATGATGGGCTCTGGGCGGCCGAAGCCTGAAGGGGAGGAAAATCTGACAACCTGCTAGGGACGACGCCAGGCACGCAGATGGCGCGCAGCCAGTCAGGGGCCGGCAAAGGGGCCTGCATGTCCTGTTTCGAGGCATGGCGGAGCTGCCAGGGGCCAGGGGGGGTAGCAGACGGACGGACTGGACTTTTTTGAGTCAGCGTCGGCTGCGTAGCCAAGGGCGGATGTCTGAGCGATCAGCTTCCTCATAGGCCGATGTCATATGTTTCAAGATGGCTGAAAAGTCGACTAAGGGTGGAGCGAGAACGACGCTGGTCTGGTTTTCCAGGGCTCATTCGACGACTCGACCGACCGCGCGACGGGGATCTCTCCCAGAGTCGACGATCGGTGGGCCTTCTTTGCTTCCCGCAGCCGATGCCCTTCATACGGTAAGCGATATTGCTTGTGCTATAGGCCTACAACAGTCAGGAGTCGACAAAGGAACGTCAGTTAGACAGGATGCTGCGAGCCGTTTGTTGAGTGCCCCTTGCGCTCCCTGCGTGACCTCTGCGTGCCGTGTCACGATCTGGATCTGGGCGCTGAACGAGCTCTGTCTGGGGTACGGAGTATCCGTATCCGTACTACGGACGTATTCGAGATGCCCAGCTATGCCAGCATGATCGATCAATCAAATGGAAGAGTCTTGTGGCTGCACAGCCCTGCGGAAACAGACCATTGCGCCACAGCAGCTCGCAAATGTCCATTCCGCGCATTGTTCTGGCCCTGGAGATCATTCATGCTCGCAACGTAATTGTCATGCTTTTCAACGAGCCAAGACAAGACAGCCCCAGTACCTATTATGGCTGAAGACAAGACCAAGACGCTGAACAGTCATGCGCGCGACTTTTTTTTTCCACTTTCCCCTGTCTAGACGGGCGTCTGGTGAGCACTTGACAAGCGAAGAGAGACATGCCCATTGAATGGCCCGTCGCAAGTCGACGTATGTATCATGCGGCCTCCGAGGTGGCCCAGTCCAGTCCAGCCCAGCCAGCTGGCTCTCTTCTTCCTGTGAGCCACAATGTCGGTGCCGGTCTGGCAGGCTGACTGGACAGAAGCGACAGACTGTCGAGACCCCTGTGCGCGTATGGCGGCCAGTCGTTTGGCCGCATAACCCGACGTCACACCACAGCGCGCAACATGGTGCGGTTACATTGGCCAGCTGCCCAGCTGGCTGGCTGGCATGTACGAGTTGTCGCCCAGGCTCGCCCAGTCAATCGTCCATGCGTGCTCACCATCACGCATTCCAGCCTGAGAGTGTCGAGACCCGTGCGCTTTGTTGTGGCTGCATTCCTGCCAAACAATTGCTCTTTGTTTGACCTGCCAGTTAGCGCGTTTGGCGTGCCGCCGGTTTGCCCAGCTCCAGTCCAGTCGACAGGACTGGACCCTTTGGACAGGTTTGTGCTGAAGTAGTACGTAGTAAAGTTGCCAGGCCCATCTATTATGCTGTGCTACAGGGGCTGCCGTACCACCGCCCGGGCTGCAATCCTCGCCAAGGCCCAAGGGGCGCCACGAGGAGACCCCTGCGGCTCTGCCCTGCCCCTGGAAATCGATCGTCGGGGGCTGGATGGTGGGCTGTGGGCTTGTTGGTGAGCGTGAGCCATACTCCGAATTCTGTACGTACCATTTGCGCCTTGGACTGGCATGAGGTTCTTCCTGCGAGCATGCTTTGAGCGTGCTGCGAGGATTGCATTTGAACTTGGTACGTGAACAGTTGAGCAATTGACACACAATGTCCATCTGTGAGGTTACGATGCGTCGCATTGCAAGTTCAATTTTCCTCCAAGCCCAGCTTGGACGGGTGGGGTCGTGGATGAAGAATGTGGAATGCTAATAGTCATTGATAGGGCCTCCTGCCACGTTCTCACGTTTACAAATGTTGCCGTGATGCACCGAAGCATGTCTGGACAAGAGTCACATTCCAGCACAATGCTCTTGGGTCTTGACCGCCGTGATATGAAGTTGTCATTCATTGAACACGTGCAGCACCCGCTCCAGGGTAGGCACATACCCATGTATTGTAGTACGGAGATGGAAGCTCTGCGATCTGATCAGATGCAGGATTGACGCGGCCCAGCAGTTGGCCTGGCCACCCTTGTTGTGCAATCGACAACAAGAGATGGATGGACATGTCATGCATTCACGTGCCGAAAGGTAACACAGGTGTCACTTTCTTTCATCGCTTCTCAACGACTTACTCAAACACTCTGTTAACGTCTAGTAATTATTGCACGACTGCCTGGCTCATCTCGCTTCGATCCGGCTGCCATCCCATCTGCTGCTGTGCTTCATTTGCTGCAGTCCAACGACGTATGCGCCTGTAACTCATGATACACCGTCAGCCTCCAGTCGGCCGCGCACATCTCGCGCCCTGATTGCCCTGGTACTACGTACAGTCGACAAGCCACATCCTTCTCGTGCATTTCGCCGAATGCTGCGTTACCAGCTTGACGATTGTCCTGGCCCATCTCTATACGTAGACCTGGCTGCAGGGCGATCTGCAATGTACTCCAGTGGTTCTAGCAGGGGTCTAGGAAGCATGCAGGGGCTGCTCTGGCTTCTCACTGGAGCCCTGGACACGATGCCCCTGAGCTTCACGTCTGGGCATGCAGCTGAGCTCTCGACAGACAACCACTCGCTCCACGTCTGTCTTCTCGTGAAACCAGACCCTCGTTTCACCACCGCACCCACTGAGCCTTTTTGCATGCATTGCTTTGTCGGCAATATCACAGCGGACGACCCAATTCAGCAGGGAGTCCGCCGAGGACCGTCCCTTTGGAGTGAACCTCACATGTGAATCTGACAGCCAATGGTTGTGCTCTTTGCAGTGTTTACAACATCACATTGACCAGTCAAAGGGACTCGATGCAGGCCATGGCGGTTTCCAATCGACTCGTGACAAGCGGCGCGGCGCTTGGCTTGGACAGACAACCAGTCATATCGATATCGACCGTCGTGACAAAACGCCAGTGGCCCGAGTCTCACGCATGAACCAGCCTCCACGTCCTCCACGTCTTGCAATCTGTGCATCTTGGTTCCATTGTTCGGCAACTTGGGACCGACGCATAATTCAGCGAAAGCCCGCAGTCAGCAGCACAGGCATCCGAACCCATGCGCATTGGCGAATGCAACGTCGCCAAAGTCTCGTGTGTCGACGTCCAACTGCCTCTCTAGGAGCCTTCGAGCATCGCAGGTAATAATTACGAAGTACTATGTCTCTCTCGCCCTCTATCCCTCTATCCCTCCATGCACTATGACTACTACTCAGACTCCTATAGCACGGAATCTGAACACGCATAGGAACGCCGTTTCGAATCGTGTCAAAGCGCCATGGAGGGAGCCGCATAGCATGTACTGGCCCAGTCCTGGCACGTAGCGTTTTAAAGCAGAGCCCAATGCGATATTCTCCTTTGAAACAATAGCGAAGCTGGCGTTCTTTTTGGCGGACGGCAGAGCCGCAGGGTCTTCTCACCTAAGACAGCTGTACGTATTGCTAAAGACGGCCTTGTTTCACTTGAATGTGGAAGCTTCCGTTGATCCAACGTCGGCCGCCTCGACTCGTGGTACTGCAAGTAGTTTTATCTGGAAATCAGATTTATCTCATCAGGTCACACCGGGTGCGTGTTTCTAAAGGTTTCCAGGACGCGCTCAGGACGCTTTGACCTTGCCCAAATTCATAACCTTTCATACCAGTCTCCCGGGTCCCTCACCGCTTATCCTCCGAACGCACTACTACGCGCCCACGATAGATCACGCGGCCGGCGACACCAACAAGCGCCCCAGATATCCACAAGGTCGCCTACTTGGTCTCTTCATCCACCGCAGCTTTGTCGTCGGGATCTAAGATGGTTGAGCATCAGTCCAGATTGAAGGCGTGGTCCAACTTACCTTCATTCGCACATCCGTCACGGATCCAGAACCGCAGCTTGTCCTTGCGGAACTGCTCAAAGTCCCATTCCTTGTGTTCGAGACCCTTGGGGTCCATGTAGACATAGGTCACGGCCTCCTTCTCCTCGCCCTCCACGGGCTTGCCATCCTCCGCGTCTAGCAACTGGACCTTGACCTTTTGGCGCTTGTACTCGGAGCCTTCAAAGTAGTCCAGCTTGACCATGTTGGCGTCCGTCAGACCAGTGACGTAGACACCCATGACGCGGTGGTCCTCTTCGGCGATGATGCCTGGGTAGTCGGCGTACTGGACGCGGTGACGGCAGTAGCCCTCGAGCAAAGCTGGAGAAAAGGTGTGCATCTTCTTGAATGCAGCTGGCGGGTCCGACTGGCCGTAGCAGACGCTGTAGAACACCTCGCGCGCCATCTGCAGTGGTCAGCGAGGCCATCTCATGAACCCTCACGTGCGTATGTTTTCATACCAAGGTACCTTGATGTCGAGATTAGCACTGGCTTCGGCAAATACGGAAGCTAGGGACGACTAGCGCTGCCGCAGACTCACCATAGAAGAAGCCTGTGTGTTCACCACTCATGTTGGATGGATTTTGACTCGCAATAGTGGGTTGGTGATGTCGTAGTTACTGTCTTGGGCGAAGTGATTGATCTTTCAACGTTGGCTTGCACAGACGAAGCTGAAGGATGTCGAAAATAAAGAAGGAAGACCAGAATCGAAAGAAGAGAAGTGACGCTCTACGTAACAAATTTGAGTGAGTGAATGGATGCTGGAGTGCTTCACTCAACTGACAATGGTCACCGTCGTTCGACTGTTTGCCCACGACGGCGTTTGTCAATCGTCGGTACGTACCGCTTCCCTATCGATAAGCGCCCTTGCAGTGCAAACGCCGTGCTGGTGTGCAATGCGCTCATGAGCGCAAAGTTTGGGGATTAAAATGCAGCACAGCAAGCTTCGTGATTGCAGCCTTGGGATTGTCGACATGACGCACCGTCTTATTGCTGGTGATTAGGCCCTAGTGGTAGATTTTACCAAGGCCTGTCGCGCGGTACTATCACGTTTCGCGTAAGAATCTTGTGCAAGTTATGCACAGCGGGATTGCAAAACGGTGAACCAAAACGGCAACGCCTCCCTCCGCATACCTCCAGGACCAGGACGTCGTCAACACTGCATCGTGAATAGGTATTCTGCGAGTTCACAGTCTCACTACATCATAGAACAACGAGGCAACAAGTCCTCCTCGTCTTCCACTGGCGTCGGGGTTCGCAGAGCACCAGAGAGCAAATCGGAAATATACTCCCCCTCAGGGCCGTCAGTCTCCCAGGTCGCGCCCGAGGCCAGCAAAAGCTGCACAAGCTCCTTCTTCCCGTGTATGTCCGCCTGCGCCGCCACCTGGAGCGCCGTCCTCCCATCCTCGTCTGGCAGATTGACATCGGCCCCTAGCTGAATCAGCTCGTTTGCCATGACCGATCTGTACACATTAGGGCTTTCGCAAGCCGCCGTGTGCCAGAGTGGCGTGCGCCCGCGGTTGTCCATCGTGTTCACATCCCCCCCAAGCTCGACGAGCGCTCGGCCGATGGCCTCTTCAGCCCTGCTGCCTCTCCCAGCGACGTAGGACAGCGGCGTGCGTCCGACATCGCATCGCGAGTTTACATGGGCCCCGTGCTTGACCAAGGCGCTCGCGTTTTCCACGGCTTCGTCGAGTAAAACCCCGTCTGTGCCAATGTACGACAGCGGCGTGCGGCCCACGTTGCACCGCACATGGACGTCGGCGCCGTGCTCGAGCAGCAGTCGAACAGCCCCGGCGCTCTTCTTGTACGATAGGGGTGTGCGCCCATTGTTGTCCCGTGAGTCGACAATGGCGCCGTTCGCCAGCAACAGTCCAACGTTCTCGGGGGAGGTGGCGGCGGCCAGAGCGGTCATCCCTTGCTCGTCTCGCGCGTGAACGTCTGCGCCGTGAGAGAGAAACAGCTCGACAAGGGACTCTCGTCCGTATGTCGCAACCAGACAGCGCAGGGGTGTCTGGTTCTTCTCGTCCCTCGCGTTGATATCGGCGCCGTACTCGATCATCAGTATGGCGAGCGGCAGTTTGGTGACGATATGGAGCGGCGTCTCTCCAGCCTTGTCCGCCGTTCTCGCATCGGCACCCGCCTCAAGCAGAAGCCTGGCGGTCCCCTCTTGTTCCCCCCTGACTGCTCTTTGGAGAGGTGATCCGCCATTGTGGCTCTTGTGGTTCGGCGAGGCGCCCCGTTCGAGCAGCATCGTCACAATGCCTTCCGCCCCCCGGTTAGCAGCGTACATGAGCGGAGTCTCGCCTACTGCAGTCTCCGAATCGACCGGGGTCCCGCGGTCCAAGAACAGTCTTGCAATGTCGAGTCTCCCACCATAGCAGGCGTGCGTCAAGGGAGTCCACCCCTTGTCATCGCGAGACCTGTCGTCCACAGCACACTTTTTCGGGCCTGGAGCTTGCTGCCCTTCTTTTGTCTGTTCCGCCTCCCGTGCAGCCCTTGTAAAGTCGAACAAAGACGCAGGCAATTCCTCGTCCAGCAGGAACTGCACGGTACTCAGGCTTCCCATCTCGGCCGCCCAAGACAAAGGAGTCCGACCATACACGTCTCTCGAGTCTGCGTCCACTCTCCCGGTCTCCAGCAGCATCCGCATCACGTCGTCATTGCCTTGTTCCGCGGCCAGCGAGATGGGTGTTCTGCCCCACGGGTTCGGAAGATCTGGCTCGTGGCCCTCTTCGAGCAGGGCCCGTACGGCGTATTCCACCCCAAAGTAAGAGGCAAGGTGCAGAGCCAGCAGTTTCTCTGCGTTGCCCTTTTCACTCTTGGTCCAGAATGAGAGTCCTGTTTTCCAGAGCCGGAGTGGATCGTCGGTGAAGACGACTTCCGAAGCCGCAACCACCGCACGAGGCGACCTGAGAAACGCAAGCACCTCTGCGCAAGGCTCGCCGTACTTAATCGCGTGATGCCCCCAGTTATTGCAGGCGTACTCCAAGAGAGGGTTCCCTTTCATCCGTAACTCTCGACGCCTACGAGAATCAAAGGGGCCTTGTTGAATGGCGTCGAACATGAGATACGTGGCGCATATCTTGACAATGTCCTCCTCTGCCGTCGGGAACCATTGCTCCCAGGTCCGAGCAAAGTACTCCTGCGTGGTGTAGTGAACGAGATGGATCGTATCCCCGTTCTCGTCGACCGCAACAAGGCCAGCACACACGGCGACCATATCCTCAACCTGCGGCAGGTTGTCTTCGTCAAGGTCGCTTTCTGCAAGCTCGACAGCGAGTGCATGCTGCAACTCTTCTTTTTTAAGCGCCCGTGTTGCGCGCACGATCCACGAGAGAACCTGCTTCGCCAATTCCTCTTGGTCGGGCCCTTGGCTTCGAATTCGCTCCATCGCGTCGTCATACGCGCGATCGTATGCCTCCGAACCGGCGTAGAGCTGCTGGATAGCTGTCCGCATGGCCTTTGGTGATCTCTTCCCGCGGAGTGAGTCGAGATAAAGCTTTGCAAGCAGGAACCTGGTGAGTTGGTAAGTCGGCACAACACAACAGTTCACCTGTAGTCAAAGCGACTTACATGCCGTCCACAGCATTCGAAATGCCTGTCTTCACCTCGTCCTGCAATGCTGGACTGCGACCGACAAAGGCAGGGAGCTGTGACATATGCCCCTCCAGGTACAGCTTCACGTCGTCGGGCGTGGCCCTGATCTCGATTGTCCGCGACGTCTCCAGCATGCCAATCACATCCGGGTTGAATCTAGACGTCAAAAACAGCTTGGTCTTTCCGTCTGCCTGAATCGCGTGCAGCGAGGAGATGAGCTGCTGCCTGAACCCATCGGTCTCCCTCGCTTCATCAAGTGCGTCCACCACGATGGACACCTTTGAATACAGGCCAGTGATGGAGGTGATCATCGCGAGAAGCTGGTCCACCCTCGGTTTCGTCCGGCACGCAGTGTATAGCTCCTTCAGTGGCCTTGGTATGGACGCCAAGCCTTGCGCGAGCTGCCTCAGGAGACTGGCCAGCACGTCGCGCGTCGTTTGCTCATCGACCCGACGGTAGTCGCAGTACACATAGGCCACTCCAATCCGCTCGCCCTCGGCCAGCGACTGCAGATGGTCGATGACAACCGACGACAGCACCGTCTTGCCGGCGCCTGGCATGCCAGGGCAAAACAGCTCCTCAGGCTCAGCAGCCGCCATCCACTCCTTAAAGGGCAGTGAGTCTAGAAGCCATTGTCCGGTGCCCGCCTGGTGTTTTGCGAAAGCATCGTTCTGGTGAGCAGCGTGATCGATGGTCGAGAGCCAATCCAAGATGGCCAAACGCTCTTGCATTGCCTCTTGCTTGCCTTGATGCTGGGAGATGTCGACCACGCCCTTGCTCACCTCGGCCTGTGCTGATTGCAACGTCTCCATGTTCAGTTTCATGTCTGCGTAGTCGGTCTGTCTCTGCTGCTCGCCCTTGTTGATAGTGGCCATGAGCAGCAGCAGTTGTCGCCCATTCTCTTCCGCGGTCTCCTTGATCCGCTGGGACAGTACCCGCGTATTGTTTCCGATGGCCAGCATCAGGATCGACTTCTCGCGCTCAATTGTCGTCAAGACCTCCGTGATCTCCGTCTTACTGAACGGCCATTTGAGACTGACAAGAAGCTTTTGCGGCCCGTCGACGGGCCGCAGCTTGGCCTCGAGCTCCCGCAGCGTGATCCCAAGCCGGCCCAACGGCGCACCCGGCGCCTCGAGAATTTGGATCGTCTCTGTCCAGGCATGGCCTTCGTCCGAGTCGTCGGCCTCGTCCTTCAACTGCTGGAGGATATACTCGCACGACCTCAGCTGTTCTCGCAGCTCTTTGCGCTCTTTGGTCGCCCCTCTGCTCGAGTTGACATAGTTGACCACTCTTAATGCCGTGTCTAGGACTGCGGTGACGGTCGTACCGGCGGCAAGTACCTCCATCTTGATGTCGAGGACTTACGTGTCAAGCAAGGACGACATAATGATAACCGCGAGGCGGGGCGCGGTTTCTGGTGAGATTTCCACAGCTCCATGTCCATGTGCATGTCCATGTCCATGCAATCTTACCGAAGCGGCTTAGTGTGTCGAAAGCCATGATTTCGGTGTGCAGGGTCTCTGCAATCTTCAGGCAATATGTTTGTACGTAGTTCCCATCTAGCACATGCCGCGGCTCACGAACTGTCATGAAGGAGAACCACCTTAAGTCCAAAGCTCCTAGGGTCGCATTTAGCCTCCGTCCTGATTATGCGTGTGTTGCCTAATCCCACACTTACTGCTTCATTCTGCGACTCTAACCTGAACTTCCAGAATAATCGCAGTATGGTCTAGCTATCAGAGCCCTGTGGCCGTCGCTCGAGTCAAGAGTAGTTGAACCAGGAAGAGGAATACGATGTCGTCGCCCGATGCCTCCAGCTTGCAAAGTGCATGTATCATATATCGCACTCTGTAGGTATGTAATTCACCTCACTTCTCCACATCTTAAGTAAACACTGCGTCCACATGTCCTATGCGATGAATGTTAGAATGAATCAGATCGATCTGTAGTTTCACAGCGATCAAAATACGGATAGGCGCCGCCGGGACAGGCAGTGAGTGGTCAGGTTCACTTTTCGTCATATTACGGTGGTTAACGTTTATTATGGTGTCTTTAAAAAGCAAGAATTGTGCATGGTGGCCAAGTTATCAAACAATCAGCGCTGGCTCAGTGGTGGCTCAGTAGTGGCTCAGTAGTGGCTCAGTCAGATGTGGCTCGGTAAAATCCATCGTGGTGGTTCAAAAGTTGCGTTCTTGCTTGTCTTGGCAATCAGACGCGGGAAGGCCCACTCCGCGCACGGCGCGAGGGACTAGCGCAGCGGACTTTTAATGTTCCCCCCCTAGCGCAAGTTGATTTCGCGGGATGCGCTCCCACCCTCGACGCAACTCGTGAATTTTGTCGCGAACGGCCTTTGGAGCTCTCCATCTATCCTGCCCATCTCACCACGCGCATCCACGCCTCGATTCTCGCAAACGCCACGAACAGAACGCTGCACATTATCACAGCGTAGGCGAATGAAATAATTGCGACTAATATAAAATTCCGGAGCCTTAGATACCAATTATTCTTCCACGCCCGACCGAGATCGAGACGAGCCCACGATTGCGCGAACCCAGAGCTATTACGGTGCTACCTGCATCGACCTTCAACCAACGCGCCCCCAGGGCAATCCCTTTCTCTTCTCGCGAAGCCAAGCCTCACCCTCTGACTGTCCCAGTCTGGGGTGAAACCTGGCACACTGAGGATGCAACATGTCGTACGATATCAATGATGTCGTGAAGCGTCTGGGCAGCGCAGACTCGGGTATGCGGACGATACTGCCCTCCACCATGCTCGGCAGCTAACCTCAGTGCACAGACATCAAACTCAAGATCGATGCTGCTACCAAACTATGCGACAGTATCGATTCGTACACGAGTGGCCCGATATACGCGCCTTTCCTTCGGCAATTGCTCCCCATCTTCCTCCAGATCCTGAGCGGACCATGTGTCTTCCACAGCGCCTCGCAGGAGCAGAGGCTCCGACACATCATCCTCGAGATCCTCCACCGTTTACCGATGCAGTCGACCCCGACTGAACCGTTCGAGCCGTACGCTGTCAAGACCGTCGAATTGCTTATGCAGCTCGTGCGCAATGACAACGAGGACAATGCCACGATTGCCGTCAAGATCACAAGCGACATCCTCCGGCACCAGCACAAAGTCATGGGAGAGCATGTGCAAAAGTTCTTGTCTCTCATCCTGGAACACTTCGAGCAGATGGAAAGCATAGTCAGGGATCAGCTCGACAACCCGATGGGCGGCGTTAATCCACAGACTGGCGCCCCCTCAACACCAGGGAGCTCGCAGGCGAACTTTCAGTCCCCAAGACCGGGCTCGCCCGTGGCCGCCATGTCCGATTTTGGAGCAGACCCCCAGCAACACAACCGACCTCTGTTGAAGGGTATGCGATCGTTCAAAGTTATGTGCGAATGTCCTATAATTGTGGTATCCATATTTCAGGTCTATCGCCATACCGTGCAAGCGAACGTCAAGAACTTCATCCCGGTCATCAAGAATGTCCTCTCGATACAGGCGAACGCGCAAGCTCAGGCACATGAGGAGGCGGCGCAGCGAGGCCAGATACACACAGGTGTCGCTTCTGGGATAAAGAACCGGGCTGCTTTCGGGGACATGATCACTGCTCAGGTCAAAACTATGAGCTTCCTGGCCTATCTCCTTCGACAGTACGCCCAATTCCTTCAAGATTATCTACCTATTCTCCCAGTCGTCATTGTACGACTGCTCAAAGACTGCCCGCGAGAGAAATCAGGCACACGCAAAGAACTTTTGGTTGCTATCAGGCACATCATCAACTACAACTTCCGAGCGATATTCTTGCCACACATCGATGAGCTACTGGACGAAAGGACACTCACAGGCGACGGCTTGACGGTATATGAGACTATGCGTCCATTGGCGTACAGCATGCTTGCGGACCTTATCCATCATGTGCGAGATCAGCTGAGTCCGGATCAAATACGGAAGACGGTCAATGTGTATACACGGAATCTGCAGGAAAACTACCCAGGGACCAGCTTCCAGACCATGAGTGCCAAATTGCTACTAAACATGGCCGAATGCATTGCCAAAATGCCGAACAAGGTGGACGCTCGTCACTACCTGCTCATGATTCTCAACGCGATTGGAGACAAGTTTGCCGCCATGAATCGACAGTATCCCAACGCGGTGAAACTGTCGAAACAGTACGAGCAGCAGAACGCATCTGGGATGTCGGATACATACCTCGCCGACAAAGAGGGCGAACCAGAATGGGACGAAATTGACATATTCAACGCCATGCCGATCAAGACATCAAATCCTCGCGACCGAACGTCAGACCCTGTCCAGGAGAACAAGTTTCTCTTCAAAAACCTCATGAATGGACTGAAGAATACATTCTACCAGTTGAGGACATGCAACACGGGGGCGCCTCTCGACCCAGCTACCACGCCCCAACATTGGCGCGAAGTCTCATCAGGCTTCACGGCGGAGGAAGTCAACATCATTGTCAAGCTATTCCGAGAGGGCGCCTACGTTTTCCGCTATTACGAAATCGAGAAGCCGGCCACGGAATCCTCCTACGCCTCGCCGGTGGAATACATGGCTAACTTCTACATGGTATCCAGTACCAAGGAGGAGAAGGAATTGCTCGAGACTTTTGCGACTGTGTTCCACTGTATCGACCCGGCCATCTTCCACGAAGTCTTCCAGCAAGAAATTCCCCGGCTTTACGACATGATCTTTGAACACACAGCCCTGCTGCACATTCCTCAGTTTTTCCTCGCGAGCGAGGCGACGTCGCCGAGCTTCTGTGGCATGCTTCTTCATTTCTTAATGGAGAGAATCGACGAGGTGGGCTCAGCTGACGTGAAGAAGGCGTCGATTTTGCTGCGCTTGTTTAAGTTGGCGTTCATGGCCGTCACTTTGTTTGCGTCACAAAACGAGCAAGTCTTGCTACCTCATGTGGTTAACATTGTGACCAAGTCTATCGAGCTGTCTACAAAGGCGGAGGAGCCCATCAACTACTTCCTCCTTCTTCGGTCCCTGTTCCGCTCCATTGGCGGCGGCAAATTTGAGCAGCTCTACAAGCAGATCCTCCCTCTGTTGGAGATGCTTCTGGACGTTCTCAACAACCTGCTCATGGCTGCTCGGAAACCTTCCGAACGCGATCTGTACGTGGAGCTCTGCCTCACCGTCCCTGCGCGACTGAGCCATCTGCTACCACACCTGAGCTTCTTGATGCGTCCCTTGGTGGTTGCTCTCCGCGCAGGCACAGATTTGGTGGGTCAGGGGCTTCGCACTCTGGAGCTCTGCGTGGACAACTTGACAGCTGATTATCTCGACCCTATCATGGCACCTGTGATCGATGAGCTGATGACGGCGCTTTTCGATCATCTGCGTCCTTCACCCTACAACCACTTCCATTCACATACCACGATGCGCATCCTCGGAAAACTGGGTGGCAGGAACAGGAAGTTCATGAGCACGGCAGTGGCCTTGAAGTATCGAGAGTTTTCGGACGACCCTTCGAGCTTCGACTTGAGACTGATTGGCTCCAAGCGGGACAGAGCTTTCCCGGCCGATCTGGGCATCGACTTTGCGATCACAAAGCTCATGGAGGTCCCCAGAGTTGGCAAGAATACCCATCTGCGGCCCTATGACCCTTACTATAGAAAGCAAGCCTTGCACTTTATCAAGTCGCAGCTGAAGCTCCGCATCGGTATGGACCAGCTCCCGGAAGATTTCCCGCG